CCTGCGATGCATCCAACTGAAAAAAGTGAACCACACACGACATTTATGTGTGACAAAAGGGGAAAACTCTTACTTTCCCCCGAAGAATGGAAGACACAAATATTGAGAATGTTTGCAAACAACGAGTGACAGTAAATGGAAATGCGCGGTAATTTATGGAAAGTCCAATCAAGTTGAGTACATTACTGGCATTCAATCATCACCACCCACAGGAACGTCACGAATTTGCCTCAATAAAATAATCATGCACACAAACAATAGCGAAAAAATACTCACACGAATCAATTCTAATTACTATCAATTTCTGTCCACCCTTCGAAGGGTGGCCGCGGAGTCCATTTAATGATGGGGTTGTTCGTCATGTACTTGATCATTTGTCAAGACTGCGTATATATCAAAGTGACTTACATGCAGCTTTAATGAATTTAAGCAATATCTTCAGCTGAATTTTCAAAATTCAACTTAATTTTCACTGCAAAATCATTCACTGACGTATAAATTCATACCCAAGGGGCAGATAATGTGATCAGCTGTGGTGTACAGTTTGAAAAGAAGTGTTAGAAATTGGAATTGAAAGCTACTGTTTGAACAAATTGAGGCATTTTCTAAATTATTTTGGTTTGAAAAATCAATTTCATTGCTTTTTTGGTTAAAACACAGCTTTAAAGTTAATTATAACCTCAAAAATATCACTTCAGTTTAGAAAAATGTCTCTTTTCTTAGTTTTTTCACGGTTTGAGACTTGATCTAGTAAAAACAATGAGATATTCAATCATTTCTATATTCAAAAGGATTAAAATGAGTTAAAGAAGGATTTTAAGCCTCATTCATAACCTTACAATTTAAGTATCTAATTATTTGAAGAGCTTTCAAACTTCTCGAATCGAAAAAGCGATAGAAAATGTCTTCAAAGGCGTTCAGAAGTGTCTCAAGTGTTACAGATTCTGCACAGAATCCGTGGAAATGTCAGGAAATAGTGTACAGATTTGAGGCATAACATCCCCCCTTGTTTACACCACAATGCATTGAAGAGAATTTCGAAGAGCAAACCTGAAATGAACTTTATCAGAGATAAGACGGAAAAATGTGACTCACCATTGCATAAACACACACCATTTTCGGTTTATCACAGCGATAAACATTTGGTTTGGAGGAAAATTTTGTCGCCTTTTTTCCCATCACAATAAAATGTGAATGTGCAATTTTCCATCCCTTCTTCCGTCGCCCTCAAGCTTCACAGTCACACATTATTATGTTTTTCAATGGCCATCGGCGTGGCTCAGCAAAATGTAAAATTGTGATAACAATTTGTGCCTTGGAGTGGAAATTGTGAACATGCAAGTGAAATGCGGTGCGCGTGGCCGAAATGTGTTCATTTTGCGCCCAAGATAACACAGAGTTGAGGAAAAAAAAACCGTGCAACACCCAAAATTAATGACATGGCCGGTCACTGCACTTTAGTATAAACATTCCTTTTCCCCAACTGATAAAAATAGTTCCTCCCGGAGTGAAATTTTGCCATGGAAGCGCACACAGAAGATTCGCTGCTTCGCCGGAATTCCGATGGTGCAATAAAGGAGATGTTTTATTTCTGCAATTTCCACTGAGACGAAAGAAGAAGAAAAAACCCTTTTTTTCTGCCGCGCCAAAAAGGAACAAAGAGCTGGCAAAAATGTACAGTGAAACCCCTTTTCTTGCGCAAAAAGACAGCCTTGGGCCCCTTATTGGAGTGACAACCCTTCTCGGGTTGTTCCTTATCTACCTGCATGTCGGAGGCGCACAAAAAGCGGGAAGTTTCTGTGCAGTGAAATGCATAAAATTTGCAATGAGGTCCTGGGTTTACGGTGTGGTTATTGTTGTGACGATGAGGGTGCGTTTTATGCTTCTCGGCGAATGCGGGCGGCGGAAGGAGAGACTTTATTGTTTAATTGTGCAAAAAAAAATGTGCCAAAGGATTGCGCAAAAGGGGTGAAATAAACCCTCTCGCTTGTGAGGAAGAGAATTTACGGTATAATTCGAGAATTCCTTGGAAAAAAGACACCGTGAAGATGAGCCAAGGATTTTTAACTAAAGGTCGAACATGAAAATTTCAGTTCTTTCCCCGAAATACACATTTCAATATTCCCGCTGAAATTGGTCAAAATGCGTGTGATTGCTACCTATTAAATATGCTCGAATTCACGAATAATGTATGACAGAATGTGGCCCAATTGAATTGGGGCGAATTTCGGTGGGGAGTGTGAGTGCGATGGTCGAAGGGTGGCGCGATACATTCCCAATAAAAAAGCCCTCCCTTCAGCTCTTCGTATGAATATTTCAGCAGTGACACATTTGACGAATTTTGTGGTTCGTTATTATGTCTTCTCGAGTTGAGATTAGAGGTTTTTCTGCCTTCACCGCAGGCGAAAATTCCCTTGCAAAACCAAATAGAAATTGAGGCTGATTAGACACAAAGATAGACTCTTCAAAAAGTCTCTCCTTATCTAGAGGCGTTTAGTGGCTTATTTTTTGCGTGTGTCCGCAATAGAAACTCTAGAGGGAAAACATTCTGGCCAGAAATCACTTCCGTTTTTGGCAAAAATCAACCACTGCGATCGCCCCGAACGGTGAGAAGGTCTTTTTCATGGCATATTTGGCACTCTTGTCGAGGGGCTGAAGAGGAAAAGAGTGATTACGCCAGATAAAATTGGGCGTTCTTTCCTTTTCAACGACGATATCTCAAAATTGGTGCACACAATCGCGATATATCATGCACACGTGATGCCACCCCCGCCAAAGGGTGAGTGTTGTGGAATATTAAATTGAAATCGTGTGTGTGCGCGATGGACACAGCGCCCACTTCCAAAATTCTATTCGGCATTGCGTGATGATGGAGGAAAATTCACTCGATTGGAGCTTCAATTCGTGAATAGATAAGGGTGGGCTCTTTTTTCGTTTTCGATGGACAATTTCCCACCCCCAATCGACCCCGCACAACTTCTCTGGTGGTGGCGCTCGCGGGTGTGAGTGTCGGAAAATATTGTAATGCGGACAGTAACCAAAGGCAATTTCGGGAATATGTAATTGATGGCACATGAAAAATTAATCAGAACGCCTCTGCGGGCACAAAATACGCGCAGGAAAATTGTGTTTCGTCCTCGAAATGCCAAATGGTGTGGAGGGAAAAAAGCAGCCTTCCGATGGTCAATTGGAAGTGGGTGGGTTTTGCGCCCGCGGGAAAACCCACCCCGCGCGAGGACAGCCAGAAAAGCAATGAATTACTTGAGTGACTTATGTTGGCTGGTGGCACAAATTTATTCACTTCTGACGCATTTTCAGACGACGGGGTGGTTAATAATCAGTGGTTTTTGCGTGATTTCACCACCAAATCTCCAACACCGTGTTTGTGGCAAATTTGCAGAATCAGAAAAAAGGGGAGCATAAATTACCCACGCCTTTGAAGGTGTAATGATTTACGACTGAGTCGGAAATTTCGCACGAAAACCACGTGAATTCCTCAGCATTTCTTCGCTTTGGGGGTGACTTTCCGCCACTTTTATGAGGGTGACATTAAAAAAGAACATTAAATTGTTTTTGCGTCTGTTCTGAAAGCTAATCTAGCATTCTCGTTCTGGATCAAATTTGAGAAATATGTATTTATGACTAGAAATTCAAGTATTCTAGGTTAGAATTACAGTAAGAATTTATGAAAATGAATAAGTAGATACTAAAGACTAAATCAGAGACAAATAGTGACGAGAATGCTTACATTTTTATGAATAAATGGGAATGAAAACAGGAAAAACAATTAGGCTCAAATTACGCAAGTGGGCGGAGTATGCAAAGGGGCGTGGTATCCGAAATTTTTAACTATTCACGCGTTTAATGAGTAATTTCGAGAGAATTGACATCGGCATTGTTCTAAATGTTCATGAAAGGGTGGAAAAACAGCTAATGATGACTGTTTGTGCTAAAAAGCCCCAATCAACTGTGCAACCCTTCTGTGAAGCACTTCCAAACCAGCTTAGACTTCCCCTCAGCGCGAAACCACAGCTTTGGGGTGACTCAGTGGGAGAGTCTGAATGGGAAATCGCCATGAAACCGCCAATGGCGAGTCTGTATGAGTTGGGGAAAAGTCTGTGGTCGATTTTCCCCATCAAGTTTGATGTAAAAAAGCATGTTACACGCCACAATTGGCATCAGTCGACGTGCGGTCGCGGGACAATATATATTTTCTCAAAGTGAGAATTGCGAGAAATTTTTCCACCCAAGATCAAATTGTGGAGTGAATTTTCCCGGTGGTGTGTTTGGATGATAAAAAAGAAGGCGAGACAGTCTGTGCGCGATGGAAATCGCTCTTCGACAAGAGTGTGCATTACAGACGCGAGCTGTTATTCTCTCCCCTGACTTTAGTGTGTAAAAATGACTAAATTGACGATTCTCATGATGTTTTGCCATGTTCCAGAGCCCATCGGGCCAGAGATGCGGGGTGTGCGAGGTTGTGCCGATGTGTGCGTATTGAATTTCTTTTCGGGTTCGTTCAAAATTTTTTTTGCGCCACGCATCGCGCCATCCTGCTCGCGCCCGCGTGCACACGCACTTTTCCTCTCTCGCGCGCGCACTATCGCGTCTCCGTCATTCCATCTTCTTCGCACACGCACCGAGCGCGCCTCACGGGTGAGAGTGTGACGTCGCCGCCACTCTTCTGGCGGCCGGGCGAGAGCGGGACAGGCGCACGCACAGACGGGCGGTGCGTGTGTGTCAGTTGGTGAATTTGTGCGTTGCCCAAAAATTTCTTGATATTTCTCCTCAATCGAAACAGCACACCAGCGAGTCTTTGCCACTTGAGCCCTCGCTCTCAGTCTCATATGGCATTTTGCTGAGTGCGGTCCAAATCCCGGTGTCTGTTCGCACGTGCAATGAGATTTTCCCAGTGCATCCCAAATGGAAAATCTCACCGTGACCATATCAATTAGACGTGTGATGTGCCCCAAGAGTGATTGTGGGGTTGAAGGTGCCCTGAAGCGCTGCTGAGCGCCCCTCTCGCGCACACCAACGTTCTTTTTTACTTCCTTCTAAACACACATATTCTTTGGGTGCCTTTGGGGGGAATTTGCGAATCGTTTCCTGCTTCGGCAAATTCGTCTCTCACACATTTACGCACTTCTTCGCACTGCCCAGAGAGCCGCGAAGTGTGGTGGATATTCGGCTAAAATTTTTTTTATCATCATCAACATCATCAAACTTTTGGTGAATCCGCGACAGAACATTTTTGTTATTTCGCCAAAAAGACGCCCTTTTTGTTTGCGAAAAACAAGCCACGAATGAGGCATTTTTCACCATATCCAGAAAGCTGTAGAAATTCTCTGCGTGCTGTTTTTGATGAGAAATTCTGTTTGTGACAATGTGTATGTGTTTCGTCTCATTGACCAGACCAACGACGACAAATCGACCAACCAGCAGAAATGAATTAATAAAATTTCACCAGCAAACAGTCTAAAAAAGCAAAGCCTAAAAACTCAAAAAATATTACCACAAAGTGACTAAATCGCGACAAAGAATCGACTTTGAATTGAAGTGCCTTGAAAAGGAATAAAAAAAGGACACACACTAACGAGATAATGTGAAGATAAGCAAAGTGATATGTACACTGAGAGAAGAGCAAGACTCATGAGGGCAAGCCTAGTTTGACTAGATTAAATTAAAAAAAAAAAACAAATAAAAAAGAAAGACATTCGCGAAAATTCGACATAATTTTTGGCAAAATTCGGCAAAACCAAGTAAAGTGAACTAACAAAGAATCCCAGCCCCACACAGCTAAAAAACAATTTTTGAGAATTCACCAGAAATCTGAACGAGACTCTAGCATTTTTGGACTTTTTGGTTATATTTTTGGTTGATTTATAAACTATCTTTTTTTTGTAATTTACCTACAAAACTTTTCGGCCTGAGCTGTGTGTGTGGTTTCCCTATTCAAAATTTTTCGTTGTCAAAATTATTCACTTCCCAAAAAACAAAATATCAAAATTCAAAATTTTTCCTGAAAAATCCAACATCCAAAACTATCCCCAAAAAAAATTACTAACCAAGTTAAACAAAAAATTGCGAAATTGTGAAGCAAGAGAGAGGATTAAGGAGATCCTGTGAATTCCGTGGAGAATTTCTCGTGTCGATGCCAGGAGGAATTTGCATCTGCACGGACTTCTTGGTGAAGAGCGTCAATTAATTTTAGTGGAAAACGGTAAGTCAATACATATGCCGAGTTACATTTTGGGCATTTGAGGGTGGATTTTACAGCTTGCACGCAAGAAAAGCCCCCTTGTGAATCCTTATGCAAAGTCTTCCCCCAGCGTTTTAGCATTTTCTGCAGTTTATTTTCGGGCACTCCAAGTCTGAGAGTCAATCACCCTTCGGAGATGCTCTTTCTCTCTCTCTGAGGAAAGTGATAGTTCTTCTGAGCCCCGCAAATGTTGAGGTCTTTGCACCCCCTCATTGAAAATGAATCGACAGGAAGTTTGTTCTTTTTTCCTGGCTCAGCGCAACCCACGAATTCCCCCTTTTTCACCAGCACACACACTGCACTCAGCCGTGCTTCTGGCAAATGAGAGAAATATATATTGACTGAGGAAAAAAACATCACCAAACTATGCTGCGTGGAAATGATCAAAAACGTGGCAATTCATCGAAGCGTGTAGCAAAAATTATGGATGCAAACAGTGCGGAATTCCCACGCATTTCTCTAGAGTGCGCGAAAAGGGCGCGAAAAGTCCACTTACTTACTGAGGGTTGAAGCGAATCAACCCTTGAAAAATTCACGTGTGAAATTACAAATTATCTTCCATTTGCAAAGTCTTTGAGATTCTCTTTGAGGGAAGTTAAAAATGTAACGTTAGAATTAATTTAATATGTATAATTCCTACCCCATAAAGTTAAAGGCGTATATCTCCGGTGTTTGTGAACCGATTTTGATGATCTTTAGCGCAAATGAAAGATAATTTCCTCCTCTACATATCTTAATGTAACATAAAAATTCGCTAGACCACTGCTTTGGACGATAGAATCACATTTCTGAAAGCATCTCAAAATATTAATCAACGACGTACTAATTCTTCTATAAGTCACCATATCTTCACTAGAAATGATTTTGCAAAATTTTACGCAACAAAGTCAATTGAAGAGATTTAAGTCACCTTTCATTTGCGCATAAGATGATCAAAATCTGTTCACAAACACGAGAGATTTCCGCCCTCAATTTTATGCACAAAATTACCCATATAATGATAAATGCGCCACTTCCTTACGATGTCCCTTCGGAACACACTTATTTCTGTTGCCACTTTGGCCGAATGGATGAATTTCGAGAGGCAAGAGTGTTGGAGAAACTCGTACACAAGAAATCCAAAGTGAATTTTTATTTTTAGAGACCAACACAGAGAGACTTTTCCGCCTGCACTGAATTCCCCCTTCTTTCTCAAAAGCGACGCACTCATAAAATTTTCACATATATAAGGAATGAAAAACCCTCAATTTGTCTGCCCTCAACATCTCAAATTCTCTCCCAGACGCTCGATCTTTGCTGATCCTCTGCATAAATCTTTACGAGAGGATCGGAGAAAAATGCACATGTGCATCTTTTTTTTGCTACCTCCCAATGAGTCCACAAAAAAGGACGCACAAGCGTCCTTTTTCGCTGAGACTGGGGAAGAATGCAATGATTTTGTCAATTTGCATATGTGGCACTTTTCCAGCGCTCTCGTCCCTATTTTGCATTTATCACACAGTATGCAAATCACGGCGTATCCCTTTCACTTTCACCCGTGGGTTTTGTGGGAAAAAAGGAGTCCTGCGAAAGGACAATCTCTCTCTTCCTCATTCCCATCATTAGCATCAGTTTTGCATATCAATCAGCTCGTGGGGATGCAAATTGTCTGTGTCACTGGGATGAAAGGATTGCTGGTGGGAAAATTGAGTCCTTCGACAGGGATTTTGCATAAATTTTCGCGATATCACGGGCTTTTGAAGGCCCATGTTTCATCCATGTTTCACACAATTCATCTTTCCTGCCTGCATTTGAATGGGAAAGTAAAGGTCATGGTCTCGCCATTAGACACCGAGGGGTCTTCTTCTCTCGCCTTCAACAACAACACTTCCGTGGCACACAGAATGCGACAACTGAACTGTGAATTTCTCTCTCTCTCTCTCGTCTCTCTTGCAGTTGCATTTTTTGGGGGGTGAAAGAAGGAGAAAATTCAGCAACATGAGTAACAGTGAAGGTCAGACATTCTGCCTGCGGTGGAACAACCACAAGTCCAACCTCGTGGAGATTCTGGACGTGCTGGTGAAGATGGAGAACTACGTGGACTGCACACTGTATGTGGACGGGAATGTGCAGTTCAAGGCGCACAGAGTCGTGCTGGCCGCCAACTCGCCCTACTTCCAGTCCATCCTGCAGGCCGTGCCCAATGACCACTGCAGCATCCTCTGCCCGGGCGTGAGCCAGGTGGAGATGCGCACGCTGCTGGAGTACATGTACTCGGGCGAGGTGAATGTGGCACAGTCCGAGATTCCGCGCATCATGAAGATCGCCGAGCAGCTGGAGATCAAGGGATTGTTCGACATGGCGGACATGAAGTACAAAATGGAGAAGTTCAAGTTCGAAGAGCCACAGCAGTTCTTCGGCACCTTCCACCAGAACAAGCGGCCCATTTCGGCGGATCCCTACACCAGGAGCGGCGACAACGGCGGCCCGAGCAGCTCCAAGTCCAACCACCACCAGTTCCCGCACCACCAATCCTCGCCAGTGATCTCGACCTCGACCAACGTCTCGTCGGCGCAGAGCAGCAGCTCCTCGCCGCCCTACAACTACAAATCGCCCTACTCGAGCCTCTATCCGCGCAGCCCCGGACCCAGCTCGGGGCCCGACCGCGGGCCGCAGTGGCCGCCACTGAGCGCCTCTCTGCCCACACAACATCTACAGACCGCCGCCGCCGCCATGCTGAGCTCCGTATACGAGTCTGGATCGGATATGAACCCACTAAAGCGCAAGAAGATCTCCAGTATCTCCAGCATGCTCATGTCCAGGGACACGCCGATCCTGCGCAACGTTCTGGCCCAACCCAACGTCGCCGACTCCTCGCAACCCGTGCCACTCGTGTGCCAGCCCGGCGACCACAGCGACCGCCAGTCCACGCAGTCCAACGGCAGCACTGACTACTCCTCCAAGGTAAGCTCACTCCCCACCGATCTCTCTCCTTATTACGTTCCTATGCCGCATCAAGCGAATGTGCATCCTATCTTTAATTCAGCGAAAACAGAATTTGAGCGCTCCCAAAATTCCTCGCTCTTCTCTATGCCAATGCTTGTGAAAAATATCATAATGACTCATTCCCTCAGCATTTCCTGCAAATACCAATGATTTAATTCCATTGCAGAACGTGAAGAACGAGGAGCCACACTCGCCGTACACAGACAAGTCCTTCGAAGACGACACCATGGAGTCTCCGCAAAACTTCTCCGGAGACTCACGGATCGCGCCTTACGTGCCACAGCAACAGAAGCCGGAGTGGAAGCGGTACAAACAATACACCAGGAATGACATCCTCTCGGCCATTGAGTGCGTGCGCAACGGAATGAGTGCTCTGCAGGCGTCCAGGAAGTTTGGAGTGCCCTCGCGGACGCTGTACGACAAGGTGAAGAAGCTGGGAATCACGACTGGCCGTCCAATGAATCGCACAATCAAGAGGAGTCCGAGCAATGGCACCAGTCCAGCCGCCTTTCCGTACGGCATCAGTGGGACCACAACACCGTATTCCCATCACTCTGGAGCTGGCCAGGATGGCGCTTCGCTGGCTCACCAGGCACTGGGCGATGACAGGGACAGGGATCAGGCGCACCACTTGCCGCCGACAATTCCTCATCCCGCAGCCGCTCTGCTGGACGCCACTTTCCTCCAGCAGGCACTAGAAGCGCGCGGCGGAGACATCGCCGGCCGGGAAGCGCTTCACGCCATGGCCTTTGCGGCCGCCGCTCACGCTGCCGTCAACGGTATCTCCACCAGTCCAGGCACGCACGGCACCGCGCGATCTCCGAGTCCCAGTCACTTCATCAAGTACATGAGGCGCTCCAGGACGCCGCCAGACGCCGACGGGGACAATCATCATGGGCCAGAGGAGGACTACCGCGCCGAAGACCTGTCGATGGTGAAGAAGGAGATGGCCTCGCCCTCCGGCGCCTCTACGCCGCTGCCCCAGGGCCCGTCGCACCACTCACCGGCGTCTCCGGACGGCTCAGCACCCGGCTCGCCGGTGCACTCGCCCGCGGCGCCGGCGCCCAGCCAAGGCGTGATCGTGCCGCCGCTGACCAAGGTGTCACCCACGCTCAAGGATCCCTTCCTGGAGGAGCGCCAGCGCGAGGCGTCCCCCATGAACGAGGAGCCCCACGACTAAGCTCAAATGAACGAGTTGCTCAAAGTCGCTCAATCATTTTTGATCCCGTGTACAAGAGAATTTCTAAAATGCTTCAATCACCGACTGAATCTGTGCAATAAGGTAAACATTTTTGCCCACTTCAAGAAATTCCTCAAAGGCTCAAAAGAATTAAGATAAAGGAGAAAGAAAAAATCCATGGTAAACATGAGCAAAACCGTACTTTTTAATTTAAAAGATGAAGAAAAAACACTATTTCCTAATTTTCTTTCATTTTGTAAATAACTTTTTTATTATCTCTTTTCTCTCTCTCTGACTTTCCTTGTGCAAAAATTCAACCAACTTTTATTTCCTCTTACTTTAAAATTAAACCCCTTACTTTAAGAGCTGCGATTTATCGTCAACTTCTCTTAAAGTTGTTGCGTGAAATCACAGTTCGATTTAAGCTACATTTTTTTGGTCTTTCGTGGAAGAAAAAAGAAAATTAATGTTGTGGATCGTTTAGTGAGTAAAACTTGGATTAAACTCGTAGATTAACGACGTCGGAAGGTTTCGACGGTCTGTGTAAATTTTAAATCAAATCTGTCCTACCACCGAGTGCCTATTAGAGAAATGTAGCCTTTAAAGAGAATAACTAGACAAGAGAGACACTATATATTGAATGTTTTTGAGCATTTTATTATGATTTTTTTTACGAGGAAGAGTAAAAGAAAGAAAAAAAAAACTATATCGCATAGTTAATCACCGCCATTTAAGTAATCTTTTAGCACTAAGTCGTTTCATTTTACAAAACTCTAAACATAATCATGAGACAACAATTTTACGTAATGTATTTAAATGGAAGGAATTCTATAGTTGTAATTCGTTGATAGAGTGAAAGAAAGTCCATCTGGCGATGAGGATTAATAGAAAGTCTAAATGATATTTGAATAGAGTTATATTTTTAACGAATATGTAAAAGTAAATAGAAGAAAAGAAAAAAAACCAACAAAAGACTGATTGATGGTATAAAGTTAAATTGTGGAGGATGAAAGATGTGTAATGTAGCCATTCTTAAATGTATTTTAACTCTTAGTTGGTGGGAAATTTTTTCACTCTCAATTTCGACCCACAAAAGGACATTTTTGAGAGTGACTAATTTGGTAGAGCAAAAATATTATTTAATTAATAAAAAAAAATCTAGATGAGACTGATTGATTGAATTTCTGTAGTTCACATTGGAAGAGCATTAAAAAAATATTTCTGCACAATATTTTGCAAAATTTCTTTGTAAATGTTCAAACAATGCACACAGTAAATGTAATTTGTAAAAAGTGTTTTAAAGTTGAAAGAAAAAAATTAAACATTTTAATCTTACTCAGAATGCTGAAATACAAAAAATATTACTTCTTTTCCTATTTTTCAAATGACGATTAAGAGGATTTTTGCAAATATTAAGAGAGAGTATAAAAATGCTGGGGCGATGCAATATTTTAGTATTGCTCCTGAGAATTCAGTGTTTTTTTTTGTGCGAAGGATGAAGAAAAAATACACAACAAAAAGAGGACATATTAAAGAAATTAGCTTTAATAGGAATTTTTCGGAAGAAGAAACAATAGATGATAAAAAAAATAGGATTAGAATTGATTTGGAGAAAAAAACATAAAAATTCTTGGCAAAATTTTTTTAGGTAAAAATTAAGAGTTTAATCAACTTTCGGTTTAGTAATTATATAACTTTTTTGGCATTTAATAATAAAATCTCAGACATGGAAAAATGCAGAGAAAGAAAAAGAAGATTGAGAATAAGAAAAGAAAAACAGGCAGAAATCTTGCACAAGACATAAAAAAAGAAAGAAATTTCGCGCTAAAAAAAATAGATAAAATGAGTAAAACATTTTTTATTTCCTGTGATCTTTTTAATAGACTGATAAAGTAATAAATAAAACCTAATAAACATATAGTTGTATAGATTCTTAAAAATGAAAAACTAAAAACTGAAATATTATTGATAAATTGATAATTGTTAATTTGTTTTTCTCTCCCGTTAGACTGATTTTGTGTTTATAATTTTTTTTCGAGGTGAACTTCGAGCGAGAAAGAAAGTAAAAGATTTTATTAAAAAGATAAAATTGCAATACTCAAAATTCAGATTCAACATCAAGACAGTAAAAGAGAAAAAAAAACATACAAAAATTTTCTGCGAAATTATAAAAGTGAACAAGATTTTGTAAATAATAATATTGGAGAAAAGAATTCTTCTTTGGAACACAGAAAAGAACTTCTGAGAAAATGCATTAGATTTTCTTTCTTTTATAAAAAAAAAAAAAATGTTTTCTTTTGGATAAAAGAACGTATAAATTTTAGATGGAAAGACTGGCAAATTTGAATTTTTCTCAAACAAACAAAAAAAAGTGGCTTGAAAAATCATTCTTGAATGTTGCAAATATTGAATGATGTTTATATGAATATGTAAAATCTTTCAAAACTTATTCCACCCAGTTTTTGTGCCTTTTTTGCCATAAAGAGCGTGTTTTTGTACGAATGACAATGAAAATATCGTGTCTTTTTTAGAGAAGAAAGAAAAATCACTCATTCCAAATGTATTAATCATTAGACGTGGTGAAAAGGTATAAAATAATAAACCTGCAACTGTAAGCAAACTGTAATCAAAAGAGGAGTAAATAGATTTATATATTTTATCACAAGTGTTTTCAAAGTAAAAAAAAAAAGAAAAGAGAAAATTAATGTGGAGAAAATTATGCAAGCAGAAGAAAGATTGAGCAAAAATTATGGATACAAATTAATGTTTTCGTTGTTTGCAATATGTATACATTCTTTTTCGGATGATGATAAATGTAATATTAGATTAACTTTTAATATACGTATGAAAACTATTGTAGAAAGTATGAAATATATAGATATTTACAAAATTACTTCTTTCAAATTACTCCAGAAGTCTCTTAGTATCAATTGGTCACGGAGAATTGCAGCTAATTCGCCGGCATTTGTGAATTTCTCTCAGTGTTTTTCTCGCCCGGGAAAAGGTCGAGATTGAGAAGCGCTTCAACAGCAACCGGTGAGATTTTGACACGGCGATTCGCGACGCACTTCACGCCGAACGGCAGCTTGAGCTTCTGTCAAAATTCTTTCGAACGTCAAAGGGGAAAATTTGTTTTACCAAGTGGTTTTATTGCGATTTCCATCCCAAAATAGCACCTATAAATGTGGCAAATTGCGTGTGACACCACCTTATGTCGCAATGACACCGGAAATTCGCATGCATCCCCTAGATGAGGTCTGCTTGATGTGCGCGAAGATCAATGAGGGGCCCCCAACAGCAATCTTTGAGACGCCAGATTTGATGAAAATCTTCAACACCGTGACCGGAATCCAGGTGAGTGGCGAGTGTGTCCCGTGGACGGAGTGGCGGGCGTGCGTGGCGCGAGACTGGGCACTCACGGCGTGGCTTCTCTCCCGGATAGCTCACACGGGAGGAATATCTGCCGGAGAACATCTGCTTCGCGTGCTCCTTCACCCTGTATCGCATGCTGGAGATCCAGAGGACCATCAAGAGGAATATAATGCACTTCAAGATGAACTACCAGTACCGGAACGCGAGCGAGAAGTCCAAGCTTCTGCTCAACACCAGCGTGATCCGGAACAGCAATCCCAACGGGCTGATCATCTCGGACGTGCGCGGGCAGGTGCAGGTGGCGGACGATCACCTCCTCTACTCGCCGTACGACGAGACGGCGTGCCTGGCGGGGCGTAGCCCCAAGCTGGACCCCGCCAGCCCCTCCTCCAACACCAGCCGCGCCTCCAACCTGCTGCGCCCCATCTACATGAGCGTGGAGAACATCCGCGACACGGAGTCCGGCGGCGCCATGTACAGCGGCACGGCGTCTTTCCAGTGCGGCCTGTGCTGCAAGATCTTCTCCCGCCGCTCGCACCTCACGCGCCACGTGAACAGCCACCGGGCGCAGACCCGCGCCAGCTCCAGGGCCTCCACGGTGCGCAAGAAGATGGTGTTCAAATGCCGCGTGTGCGGTGAGTCGTTCGCCGAGAAGCGCACGATGCTTAGCCACAGATTGACGCACCGGAGTGAGTTTCCGTGCCACAATTGCCTTAAAGTCTTCTACCTGCAGCGCGAGCTGGACTGGCACCAGGCCGAGTGCCAGGGGCGCACGAATGCTGGCCGGCGGAAGGGTCTGGCGCGGCACAACACGCGCCTGAAGAGTGTCGCGCTGGAGCTTGACGAGCTGGAGGAGGAGCAACAGAAGCAGCAGCAGCAACAGCAGGAGGAAGAAGACGTTTTCCGGATAGAGTCGCTGCGGCTGCTCTCGAAGACGCCCACGCTCTCGGAGAAGCTCCAGAGTGTGCAGAACTGGTGTGACAACGCCACCGGCTTGGCCACAAATGCCGAACCGGAGGCTGAGCCTGAATCTTCCGCGGAAGCACAGCCAGCGGAGGAAGTTGAGCAGCCTGAGCGACCACTTTATGAGGCTGATGACGATGCGAGATCCACAATTTCGCGATTCACGTCTGTGTCGCAGAAGACAACGTACTCGTGCTTCTCGTCGCGCAGCTACTGGTCCGGCACGAGCATCTCCGTGCGCACGGATTACAGCTACAAGACGGCCAAGACGATGCAGACGCTGAAGACGGAGCGAGAACACCTTCAATCGCGTCGCATCACGCGCTCAGTGACGAATAGAATCAAGAAGATCGACATGGAGATCAAGGTGAGAGAGTTGCCCAGGAGATCCTTTCGCTCCAGCAAATCTCAATTGTCTTCGCGCCGTCATCATGACATCACGAAGAGAGGTGAGTGTTTGGGAATTCATCAACACTGAACATATCATTGAATGATTGACTTTTGCAGCGAAACTGGTGAAGAGCAACAGCACAACTGTGCTTCCGGACGCCTTCACGTGTGATTGCGCCTTCACGTCGAAGAATCTGCAGGAGTTCATGGAGCACGAGATCGACTACCACAATAATTTGGCTCTGTTCGCGTGTCGGGAGTGCAAAGAGAGATTCACGCAGAGGTGAGAGTTTGACCAGGAAATTATCAAAGACGCTGTAGAGCTGATGATTCTCCCCTTTTTACAGGCGCTTCCTGGAGAAGCACAAGGAGGTACATAATAGAATCTACACGTGTGTTTGGTGCTTCACGAAGTTCGTGAATGAGGCTGAGCTGAAGGTGCATTTGAGGATGCATTCGCTGAATTCCATCGCGTGCAACTTCTGCGAGGCGTCATTCATCACGTACAAGGAGTTGAAGGAGCATTTGGATGATATGCATTGGAAGGAGAATGAGAAATCCAGTCGCAAGTCGTGCATTCTCATCCGGACGGGGCAGAAGAGGAGGAACACAGTGGAAGTGGGCAAGGAGTATCGCTCAATTGAGTTGCCTCAGCGATCGCCACTGAATCGGCGTCGCACGACGTCTTATTCGCAATACAGGGCGATTCGTCTGGGCTCAGTGTGCAGGGAGAGATCGCCGGATGACATGGCGATGGCGCCGGTGGAGGCAGCGCCGCCGCCGCGGGAGCAAATCCAACTGCCGGTGGCAATGGACATCTGTCGCTACAGCACGCCATCGCCGCAGATCAGCGAGGAGCGCGGCAGCAGCATTGCCAAGATGACCAACACGCCGCCGCCGAGTCTGGAGGAGCTTGGGCTGTTCGACACGAACTTCCCTCTGACCAATGGCAGTGCGGAGCACGCGGAGGAGGATGAGGAGGAGCACGCGTCGCCCGTGGCGAGTCCCACGGGGCGACGGAAACGCTCACGCTCGCGAATCACACTTGCGCATCGCGTGACACGGCAGACGCTGGCGCAGCCGCAGATGCGCAACGGCTGTGACAACATCCTGCCGCCGTACGAGTCCTGGCCCATGTACAGATCCTTCATCACTGTGAAGACGGGTGTCCTGCCGCAGCCCTGCCGCATGACGTGAAGCCCGAGTGTGTGGTTTTTTTGTGTGACAAAATGCCACTTTGGCTGATGAATTTCAAGAGTGCAAAAGTGCTTTCGCGTGACGAAGAAAGAGAAGGAGAAGGAGAAGAAAAAAGGTCTCAATATTGTCCTGACAGAGTTCTCAAAAGTATGATAATAAGTATGAAATAAGGAATGTGTATATAAAATGGTTAAAACGTTAAAAAAGAAAGGATATTTCTATGAAATTTTTATTGGAATGTTGAATTGGAAAAGAAAGAAATTTTGTATTATAACCAATTTTTTATATATATTTTCTCTCCAACTTTCTCTTGAAAAGAAGTAAAAAGAAATTTCGTTATAAGTTATTAATCAATAAGAGAGAGAGAGAAAAGCAATAACGAGTTTCGTTTCTTTTTATTTTGGATTTTTTTTTTTTTAGAAAAGATAATTATCAGGATTTTAGTCTTAAAAACAAAATATTTACCATTAAGTAATATTTTTTCGGCATTGAGCTTTAAAACCCTTTTTCATCATAGCAAGAAGTTTTAGCAATAACAAAAAAAAACGCTGTGCTAAAGCGCGAACCTCAGTTTGACATGTGTAAACTTTACTTTTAATGAATCATCTAAGCCTGCTTTATCTAGTCATCCGTAGAATCTTCATAAGCTAATCTTATTATATTAGTTTTTTCGTGTTAGAAATTTATCACACAGGAAATATGTTTTAAAAAATCGCAAAGGAAAAAATCTCTGACTGACATTTTGGGGCCACCGCGAATTGACACAATTATAAGTAAAAAAAAAAACGAGTAAAACATAACATAATGTTGTCTTGCCAAAAAGGAACATTAGCATAACAATAGAGAATACTTGAAAAAAAAAGAATGAAAGTAATTGTAATACAGATTAAGAAGGATTTTAGAGTGTTAGAAAAGCTGCCATTGCAATTGAGTGACGGTTTTTTCTTTCTTTCATCAATTCCAAACCAAAAAAAAGAAAACACAATTCTATCTCACCATTAGACAATATATAATAATTTGTGTGAAAGCTTATTTATTGTATATAATATAATTGATATAATTTAATGTAATAACGATGAATTTGGTGCCTTTTTGCTCTCATAACACGCAAATTCAATTTTGATGATCATCCCTTGACAAACGCCATCTCGATTTTATCACACTTTAGCTTTACGGACATTTTCTTTCCTCCTGTGATGATCTTAAGATATAAGCTATATATATATATATAAATGATATATTTGAAATTATAGACGAAGAAAAAAACGTGGCGCAAAGGAAATGAGATTTGTGAACTGTACAAAGTTGTGTATTACTTTTTTTTCTGAAAGAAGAAAAACTATAACAAATTAGTTTTAATCAAACTTGGTATAGTCAATTTGCCAATTGTATCGTAAGTTTGACAACTTCAGCGTCTTAATCACTCAAAAAAAATAGAGAGAATTATTAGCTATTCAGAAACAACAAAAAACACTATTTAGTGAATATTCGTAAGATAAAGTAATGTATTTTTGTGTAAAATAAAATAACAGATGAATTATAACTCAGTCACTTTCACTCCAGTTTCTTCTTCACAGCTTCATTCAAGGCGTTTGGAAGGCTCGTGAAGATGTCCAGAATCGACACTGGGCAGTTCTTAAAGATTTCACCGCAAGGAGCGCCGGATTTTCCTTGCTTTTCCGCGTGGAAATACTCGTTGTCGCTGTTGTGTGAGATCTTATCGTTGGTCGACGACGGCGCGAAGACGATATTCAGCAGCTCCGCCATCAATCCACTCTTGGCGCTGAAGGGCCTCAAGGCGGCTTCGCAGATGGATCTCAAAACGCACGATCGACCGTCGAAGCCATTGCTAAAGACGCCAAAAGGAGGAGTTGACTTTGAGTTGGAATTTGAGCAATTTATATGCAAAATCATTAAGATTTTGACTGGAAATGTTTTTAGAAGCCAAAAATCTTGAATAAATCTTGTTCAAAGCCTTAAAAAAAAATGAAAATCAAGTTCTCCAATCTTGACATTCAGATTTGGACTCCTTTTCCATTTTCTAGCCATATTAAAAGTCTTCGAGACACAAGAACTCACTTTGATGCGATTGCTTCCAATCCTTTGTACGTATTCCATCGAGATTTCTCGCCGAAATCCACATCTTCAGGTGGTTTTCCCCAGAAAGCCTCGGCGGCCTCTTTGGTGGCCTTCTCCTCGTCATAGGGATAGTCTTCTTCCAGGAACGAGAGATCTTCTGGTGGATTTGTGGACTCTTCAATCAGAATCTCATTCACTGTGTAATTCTCCACTTTCGTCGCTGTGTCTTCGAGATCTCGTTTCTTGCGCCACTCGTGATGCCACGACTCCTCGCTGGGCCGCCAATCCGACGCCACAGTGGGCAGGAAGTACTGCGCCTTGAACACATATCCGGAGGTGATCGCCACGCTCGTGAGATCGACGGGAATGCCGATGCCGGCGATGAACTGATGGCGCGTCGGAGCGGTCGGAGGGACGATGAGGAATCTGCGATTCCTGGGCAGCAGCGCTGGCTTCGCTCCCACCAGAGCCAAGAGCCCAACTGAGGCGATCAGGAGAGGAATTTGCTGCATCTCTACACACTGAGAACTCACTGAAGAATAGAGCGTTGAGCTTCTCTTGGGCTTCTATTGAGATCAATTAGCACCTGAGCGACCGTTAGCATGATCAGCGTTCGCTCCATATTTCCTCTTCTCTCCGGGAGTTTTTATAGCCAAAATTCTGGTCATTCTAATTGATGAGTTCAGGGGGTGAATAAGAGGCAGAAAATTCTGTCCCTTTCCCGGAAAACCCCGCAATTTTCCACGTGAATTTTATGAATTGAAAATGGAAGAATTCCCGGGAATTCCTAGAGTTTTTGAGAATTAATCATTGTTCTGAGACTAAATCGGCCCCTTGAAGATGCCAAAATTCCCACTCTTGAGACAATGACAACTGTCTCTCATCTTTCACTCTCGATTATTTGATGCTTAGAAGAATTTCCTGGGAAATGCGGTCAGTTGATTCCGGACAAGACAACCAGAAGCATGAAGACCACCCAATTGATCGCGATCATCTTGCCACTGATCATCCTCATGGAGACAGTTTCCTCATCCCAGGAAGTGCTGTCCAGAGACAAGCGCTTCCTCTTTCCGCAGGGCAGTGATATCGGAGTGAGTCTGGAGAATTTCCCAAGCGCTTCTCTTCTCACGATAACTTCCGTAGGTTCTCGTGGCGATCGCCGTTCCGCTGGATCTTCCGCACAGAAGTGTCTTCGTGTCCTACAACTTCGAGACCAACTACAGCCCGCCAACAATGGCGTCAGACATCATTCCTGGTCCTCTCAAGTTCCTGGAGTTGATCGACAGACGCGGTTTGGGTAGGAAGAACGGCGGAGGAAGTGTGATTTCAGTCACGGAACCGTACAATAAATCCACATCGATGGATGATGAAGAGCGTGGAATGAAGGACGATTTTGTGACCACGGAAGTTCCTGAAGTGCCCAAAGTGACCAAGAGTCCCCACAAGAGATACGCCAGTGATTCCCTTTTGACCAGGAAGAAGGTGTACAAAATGCTGGAGAGCAGATTGCAGAAGTATGTGAATTTCTCAGGGATTTTCCTGTGGGGTGTTTAAATATTCTTTCTTCCAGTCACGGCCTCAGAGGCAGAGCTTGTCTACTCAGGGCAGTTTGTGAGTCCTCCGAAGGACCAATTCACGAGCTGACAGGTGTTCTTGGAGACGTTATTCACATAATTCTCACGTAAGGAGAGTCAAAAGACAATATTCTGGTCATGAAATGATCCTCAATCTCTTCTGCAGACCCTCAACTTCCGCTGCTGAGGATCTCAATCCGGAATACTACAGAGCTGAGGAATTGGGACGCTCTGGAGACTGCGCCAAGTACAGGAAATACTGCCCTGAGTGCATTCTCGATTACATAAGCCAAGTGATGCACATGAAGTAAAGAGATTCTCCCCAGAAATTGCAATCTTTTAATTGGTCAGGCACGCTTCGCAGCATCTGCAAGAGATCAATGCTGAAATCACCCTCATTTGCATTCTGCTGCACAATGAAAATCCTCGTCTTTGTGGCCCTTTTTGCTGTGTCTTCTCAATGTGCGCGAGAGGAGAGATTCGTCGTCTTTCCGCGAGGCAGTGTTGTTACTGTGAGTAGAATCTCCTGGACGGCTCTTGAGGGCAGTTTCTCAGTCACTCTCTTGTAGTCCATCATCGCCATTGCTATTCCGGTGGATTTGGTGCAGCGCAGCATCTTCAATTCCTTCAACTTTGCCGCCAATTATGGTGTTCCCACGAATTCCACGCACTACACGACAATCCCGGCGAGATATCCCGGCGTCCTGGCCAGATCCCGCCGGAATATCATCAATCGCAAGTGGTTTTATCGTATGACTTCCAACTATCTCCGGCACTTTGGCTTCAACGGCACTTCCTGTCTCCTGAGGACAATCTGCGAGGCATCAGAGACTCCTCTGGACACAGTCAACGGTCTTCATGGGGAGATCTTGCAAATCATTCTGTCGCCATCATCGTCCGAGGACGAGAACCTGCCCAGATCCTTCTATGAAGCTGAAGAGCACGGAAGGGCGGGAAATTGTGAGCAGTACAGCAAATTCTGCCCACAAAGTATTCTCGATCTCTGCACGTGTCGTCGAGATTCGGTGTAATTGTTCTGGAAAACATTAAAGCAATTATCACCTGAAAAACCGTTACCAATTTCTTCTCTCTGTCCAAAGACGATGGTTTCTGCAAGGCTTTAATTGATGACACCGTAAATTTATGAGACAATCTGGCCAATTTCCCCACTCACTCTCGCCAGTCGCGTCCCCACCAGGCGAGAAGAATGAAGATCACCTACTTCTTGACAATTGTCTTGGCGTCTGCGGTGGCAAAAAGTGATCATCGCGAGAGGGAAAAGCGATATCTCGTCGCATTTCCCACCAACAGTGCGACTGGAGTGAGTTTTTTCGCCAAAATCGTCATTTTGGGTGTCTTGAGTGTGTTTCTTATTTGTGGGCAGATTCTAGTGGCCATCAGTGTTCCTCTGATCCTTCCCCAGAGGAATGTCTTCGTGTCATACAACTTCGAGGCGAACTACAACATGCCAACAACGGCTGCGGATGTCATTCCAGGTCCTCTTAAGAGATTGGATCTCATCGATCGCCGGAAGAGACACGACAGAGAATCCCTCCTGACCAGGAAGAAGATCTACAGAGTCCTAGAGAGGAGATTCAAGCGATCGTGTCTGCTCAAAGCGATTTGCCAGGAAGCTAGAGAGCCTATAAATGACCACAACGGTCTTCACGGGGACATTTTGCACATAATCCTCACGTAAGGAGACTCAAGAGACAATCCTGACCATAAAATAATCCCATCAATCTCTTCTCCAGACCTTCAACTTCCGTCACAGAGGATCTCCATCCGGAATACTACAAAGCTGAAGAATTGGGACGCTCTGGAGACTGCGCCAAGTACAGGAAATACTGCCCGAAATCAATTATTGAAAATTATCTAATAAATTAACTCCATTAAATTGCATGCGATTTATTCAAACTTGTGAATCCCTTGAAATTCTATGAAATCCGCGCCTCTGTGATTGTAGCGCCATGAGTGACGGTGGGCGGAAGTTGGGCGCACGTTTCTAGAAATTTCATGAGCGCTCGCCGAGTTTTCATCAGAGCTCCTGTAAACTGCATTTACCGCGGATTGCCGTGAAGTCTTGTGTCCAGAGCACTGAGTATCTCTTGTTGAGCAACCAGACACCGCACAGAAGTCAAAGGTGAGTGGGAAATCCTGTCGGAAAGGACGGAAAAGCGGGCTGAAGTGCGAGGATGGGATGAGAGATGGGATTCGATGGTGGAAAGGGTCCATGAGGAAAGTGCGTGATTACGTAACACGCAGGAGTCGCCGGCAAAGGGCGCCCAGTGCTGGTTTTAAGCAGAAATGTGACCTATAGGGTGCTTTGTAGCCTCATTGTGGATATTCGCCGGATTGATAAAGAATTGAGGTTATGCTTCTCTGTCCGGCAGATGTATCGCCTTCCCAGTGTGTTGAGGATGTCGGCGGGGCGCCAGCTGGCGCTGCGCGGCTACGCCAAGGACGTGCGCTTCGGCGCCGACGTGCGGGCGACGATGCTGAAGGGCGTGGACGTGCTAGCGGACGCCGTGGCGGTGACGATGGGCCCGAAGGGGCGCAATGTGATCCTGGAGCAGAGCTGGGGCTCACCCAAGATCACCAAGGACGGCGTGACGGTGGCCAAGGGCATCGAGCTGAAGGATAAGTTCCAGAACATCGGTGCCAAGCTGGTGCAGGACGTGGCGAACAACACGAACGAAGAGGCGGGTGACGGAACCACCACGGCCACGGTGCTGGCCAGAGCGATCGCCAAGGAGGGCTTCGAGAAGTGCAGCAAAGGCGCCAATCCCGTGGAGATCCGCCGCGGCGTGATGCTGGCGGTGGATTGCGTGAAGAGCAACCTCAAGGCGATGTCGAAGAACGTCACGACGCCCGAGGAGATCGCCCAGGTGGCTACAATCTCGGCCAACGGTGACCAGGCGGTGGGGAATCTCATCAGTGAGGCCATGAAGCGGGTGGGCCGCGAGGGCGTGATCACGGTGAAGGATGGCAAGACTCTGCACGATGAGCTGGAGGTGATTGAGGGCATGAAGTTCGACCGAGGCTACATTTCGCCGTACTTCATCAACAGCAGCAAAGGCGCCAAGACGGAGTTCCAGGACGCCTTAGTGCTGCTGTCCGAGAAGAAGATCTCCTCCATCCAGTCCATCATTCCGGCACTGGAGCTCGCAAATTCGCAGCGCAAGCCGCTCGTGATCATCGCTGAGGACGTCGATGGCGAGGCTCTGAGCACGCTGGTGGTCAATCGCCTGAAGATTGGCCTCCAAGTGGCCGCCGTGAAGGCGCCCGGCTTTGGAGACAACCGCAAAGCCACGCTCCAGGACATGGCCATCGCCACGGGCGGCATCGTGTTCGGTGATGACGCTAATCTCGTGAAGATCGAGGACGTGCAGGCGGCGGACTTCGGTCAGGTGGGCGAGATTGTCATCACGAAGGACGATACGCTGATCCTGAAGGGCAAGGGCAAGAAGGACGACGTGGACAGGCGCTCAGAGCAGCTGCGCGATCAGATCCAGGACACCAGTTCGGAGTACGAGAAGGAGAAGCTGCAGGAGCGCCTGGCGCGTCTGGCGTCCGGCGTGGCGGTGCTGAAGGTGGGCGGCTCAAGTGAGGTGGAGGTGAATGAGAAGAAGGATCGCGTGAATGACGCCCTGAACGCCACGCGCGCCGCCGTCGAGGAGGGAATCGTGCCTGGTGGTGGAACTGCTCTGCTGCGCTGCATCCCGGCGCTGAATCAGCTCAAGGGCTCCAACGCTGACCAGTCCACGGGCATTGAGATCGTGAAGGGCGCTCTGCGGATGCCCGCGATCACCATTGCGCGCAACGCCGGCGTCGATGGGCCGATGGTGGTGGCCAAAGTGGAGGAGCAGAGCGGAGATTTCGGCTACGACGCCATGAACAACGAGTACGTGAACATGATTGAGAAGGGCATCATCGATCCCACCAAGGTGAGAACATCCTGAAGTCCCCCGCTGGCTTTCCGGAAAGCTTGACTGACTCTCTGTCTCCTTGCAGGTCGTGCGGACGGCGCTCACCGATGCCGCCGGCGTTGCTTCCCTGCTCACCACCGCCGAGGCCGTCGTCACAGAGATCCCCAAGGAGGAGCCGCCGATGGGTGGCATGGGTGGCATGGGTGGCATGGGCGGCATGGGCGGGATGGGAGGAATGGGCGGAATGGGAGGCATGATGTAAAGTGTGTGAATTCCAACCGATAAGGGCATAATTTTAAGTCGCCAGTGTTCACTTGTCGAATAATCTTAAGGCATTCTTTTCTATCAACTATGTTCGGCAAATCATTATCATAAATCATTTTTTTCTTTTTGTAGAAAAGCGATGGGCAAAAGTTGTATCTCACAAATGCATCACTAATATTTTTCAATTAATTAATTTCTATAAGGACAATTGCCATTTTCTGTCTCTCGGGGTTGATTAATTGAGAAATTTGGGGTGAGTTTTCAGCGGTTTCCGTGCATTTTCCCATAATACAGCTAAAGACCAGAGAGATTTCTGAACAAAGCACGACTTTATGTGAAAGTATAAACAATTAAAATGAGCAATGCATTTATTTTTATAAGGATTTCGCGAGGAAGTTGAACGGAAACAGCGCAAGAAACTCAGTAGATTCATTTGATTGTAGGATTGTAGCCATGTTGAAGGTGTGTTAGAAGGACAAATAGGTAGAATACTGTGAATTTAGCTATTACTGGTAGAAAATACATTCGAGACATTTTTAAAACTGCATTTTTCCTTCCAAAAAGAGACCCAAAATAAAGTGTATTCTGAGTTTCTGAGTGCGCCACTGGTGGAAAAATGGCGCACGAACGATCGCGGTTCAATTGGTTCAATCGGTTCAATTCTGCGAAACATGCTCCATATTACCGCAACGTCGGGCAGCCATTTAAAAGGAAACAGAGTGCGTGAAGAACGTGGAGAGAAAAATGGATGTAAATCCAGAAATTGAGCAGGAAACAGAAGATTTTCTTGATCTTCCGTATTGGGATGACGTCTTGGTCAGTGATCTCCTGAAGGAAGAGTACGAGATATACAATGGAGAGCTGTCAGATGACGAAAAGTGAGATGCTAAAATTTATAATCTTTCTTTCTCGTTTGATTGCTTTTATTTCACAAATTTCACAGGATAATTGTCGGAAGTGAGGAAAAGCAGAGTGAGGAAAGGCAAACTAAGGACACTTCCCTCAAATGTGGAATTTGTGGAAGGTATTTTGAATACAAGTCCTTTTTGAAGAATCACATGGTTAGCCACTCCACTGAGAAAAAATTTGAGTGTGCTGTTTGCTCAAAGAAGTACAAGAGCAAGTTATTGATTTTGAGCCATCTGAAAACACATTTTAAAAAGCCTCGTTCGTGTCCACACTGCAAGAAGAAATTCGAGAATGCACTGGAACTGCAAAAGCACATCCGGAAGGAGATTTGCTGGCAAAATGTTGCATATTTATGCAAATGCGGAATGTTTTGCCAGAGTCGTTACATTCCTCACAAGCATTTGGAAAGTCACAAGACGTATCAATGCAACAGTTGCGATCGCAAATTTTCGTACGAGCATTCACTGATTCGTCATATGAATCTGCTAAGAACGGAAAAGGCATTTGTTTGCGAGATTTGCCAAAAAAAATTCTGTAGGAAGTCGGATTTGAATGTCCATAAAGTCTCCACGCCGACTTGTTCGATCACCAAATGTCCTTATTGCGCCAAAATCTTCGAAAAGCAGTACCTTTTCACCAAGCACATGAATAATCAGCACAGTGGTCTTCCCAAACAGCCAAACAGTAAGAGCCTTTTATTTCTCTGCATCATCAAGATGTTTCCATCATATTTACTATTTTGCAGAATCTCTGTCGTGCCAGATCTGCAAGGAAGTCTTCGTGAATATTGCAGATCTAATGGATCATGTGAAGATACATAAACTTGAGGACAAGCGTGTGATTTGCACGATTTGCGAGAGTATCTTCAAATCAAAAACCAATCTCGAGAAGCACTATAAGACATTCCACAAGGAGTCGAGGCTCTAAATCATAGTGTTGGGCAAAAAGGATTCTGAATTATCAAACAAACTAAGACAAACTGGATATTTTGAAAAGCATGAATTCAACTTTAATAAACGGGAAAATCTGAAACCAATCTTTCATTGCAGAGAAAAGGCAACGGAAAAATGGAAATTTCCTGCGTGCATGAAAACCACAGTAGAACAGTTGTTAGCACAGTTTCGCAGAATACCGTCCCCAGAGGCGCTGCTGCTCGGCCGCCTCTGCGCTCCCTGGTGGCGGACAATGTAAGTGCGTCAACCATCTTCGTCGACAAAACAAAAGTTACGCTGCGAAAAATCCGTGCGAGTCGCCGTGAAAGCCGCCCAAGAGCGCCGTGAAAAGGCGGAAAAGGTACAGTGAAGTGGCGTGAAGTGTTGTGTGATGCCAATTGGGATGGTTTCCATGCGATAGGGCCCAAATTGTCGGATGACCTCAATTGACGTTTTGCTCTGAAAACGCCATTAAATTGCAGAAACTGCCACCAAAGTCTGTTCTGCGTGGACTCTGAGGGATTCACGTTTTGGGGCTCCGCTGGCGACACAGGGCGTCTCTCGGGGGTTTTGCTGTGGGTGTTTTGGGGCGAGAGGGGAAGGGCTTTTCCGGGTATTTTTGCGGTGTGTAAAGATCCGTGGCGGCGCATGAGAACTACGCGTTTTTCCACCATCGTCAGCCTTCCGGAGGGAGAGAACTTCAGGAGGGGCTCCAGAGGTCCGGTCGTGTGTTGTCCGGGATGAGTGGTGTGTGTGAGCGGGATTTCTGGGATTTAGCTGAGATTGGGCTCAGGTGGTGTTTTTTTTTTCTTGGGCTGTTTTTATTATTCTCCTTGAGGACAAAATTGGCCGAGTCGCCAAAATAAAGCGTGATTTCCGTATAAATAGCGTGACCCCCCATTAATCACGGCTGCTGGGCAGAAGTTGGGAGAGAACATACATTTCCGTGGCTCTTTTGACTAATGTGTTGTCTCTCTGTTGGCAGAGTGCGAGACGCGCGCCTGGGATTCTGCGAGCCCGCGTGAAGTGCCGTGTGTGCAGTGATCGGAGCAGCGCCCCACAATCATTTGGATTAGCGGAAGAGTGAAGTGGAGAGCGAGAGAGAGAGAGAGCCGTAAATGAGTGGCACATCGCCATAAGTATCGAAGAGTGCGCGGGCTGGAAAGAACAGAAAGAAGGGCAATTAAGTGTTGGACAGCAATGTAGATTAGGAGGAGAGGAAAAGCGAGTGTGTTCAATGGGAAGCGAGTGTTGATGGTGCAGAAACAGAATGGTCGGTGTGCCTGACGACAATTTGAGTGTCCAAGTGAAAAAATGCAGTCAACAGACTCATCGCCATCGTCCGGAGACTGTTCCCGCTACATATTGCAGGTAAGAAGAATTAAGGAGAATTCACTTGCATCCCTGCACAAAACGCACACACGCGCACTGGCTGCAATCCGGGGCTTTCTCTGGGCCTTGGACTGTCTCTCTCCCGGGGTTTATTAACCCATTGCAACAGGTCACGGTGTGTGTGCGTGCAGAGAGAGAAGGTTCCACCCTATTCCCCCGGCCAGAGAGCCAAATCCACGAAATCCCTGGCCATTTCCACACCTTCTCTTCCTTCTCTTATGCGTGGCGCAAAACCCGTTCGCGATCTTGACCAACAGCGTGCGCTCTCTTCCAACCCACCAGCGTCTATTTTGGTCAATTTCGATCATGGGAAGAGTTCGCAGCGAATGTCTCCACACTCGGGCATCTCAATAGATAATCGACGACAGATATTGATACGCACGCTTGTCACGGTGTGATGGAAAATGTGAGAGAGAGACAAGATAAACATGCGAGTGACTTTCACGGTGAGCCTTCACTTGTGGTCATTTTAAAATAGAACTTTTTAGAGACAATATGGCAAATTCTCACGGTGATTTTCACCCGCTCTTGGGGTGGAAATTGCGTGAATCAATTGACCGATGATTCAGCCATGGGAGATAGAGAGACAGAGAGAGAGAGAAGTTAGTGTCTCTCTTTTTTGCTATTCTTGCGGCTCTTCCGGGAGGAATTTCAAGTGTTCTTACACAAGAGGCACGTCGAAAAATCGCGTGAACTTTGTCGCTAACCAGAAAAAATGGTATCAAAATCGCGTGCTGGAAGCTTATGACTCAGGAAAATGACTTATTCTGCAATTCTGTAGTCTCGAAGAGGGATTTTTTGAGTTTTCTGTTCACCTGCAAAATCACTTTGATACTGAGATTATCGTCCTTGATTTTACTAAACTCTCAATCGCTTCTGTCTTGGTTCAGAGCTGAAATTGACTAAAATCCAGCTAATTAATTGCAGATAACACTTCACATTTTCCTACACGGAGATTTTTGTGTGACGCGTCTTTTTCTAGCACTGTTTCTGAGGCGCTCTTTAGTGATTTAGTGAATTCCAATTGAATGAGGAATCTTCGAGGAAATGTTAGTTGGAAAAGACATTAATATTTCTGTGTATTCTTTCAAACCACGTGTTCGTGGATGGAATTGAATGATGGGGAGCGGCATATTAAGTATCAAATATAGTCTGTAATAAAGAGTTTTGTGTTCACATCCGAATATCTTGTTGGCTGAACAATTCAATTCAGAGGGGAAAATTCCCAAAAGGAGAGGTTTGAATGCGGATGAAAATGATAAGAATTCGCTGAGTATTTACCTAATGTGCAATTATTGAATTACACACTATAAATTGTCAGAGATAATTTCTATCTCACACGTTTGCCGATGGCTTTTGGCTCTTGTTTGTGTGGTTTGTGTTTATTGGTGTGCGAGGAGAGTTGGTTTGGTGGCTTCTTGATTGGGAACCGTTAATGGAAAGTGTAAGAAGTGGCGAGATGGAGGGAAAGGAGGCATGTTGAGAAGAGACTTTTGATGATTTTCAGATTTTGTCTCACTCTCACCCGTTTGACCAATTATCAAGACACCATGGATGACGACGACGATGATGATGATGATAGCAAAATGTTTGTATAATTAAAGTGGTGGAATTTCATATGGTGTGCAAGGGAAATATTTCTCTTGCATCGCGCGCGCGGCTCGCATTAGGAATCCACACACAGCGAGGACACGAGCTGAGTTGGGATGATTGTTGTTGTTTCTTCTGGTGCTGGACGATGATGGCGAGTGTGTGATTGGAAATTAATGCAGTGGCTAATTATCTCATTTGTGTGTCCAGAGGAGGGGAGAGTGAAAAAATGGATTCAATGAGAATTACATAAGGCCGATCGGTTCGATATGACAGAGAAAAGGAATAAACATGAGGAGAAAATGTGATGGCGAAGGAATATAGAGAGTGAGAGAGAGATTTTGTGATTTAGACTCAATAGCTATGGAGTTAATTTGCCAACATGGATGAGGGCGAGAGAGAGAGAAAGAGAGACCGCAAGTCTCTCATCGTATAACTTTTAAAATTATAGTAATGAGACGATTTCATTTCCTTCAAGTTCAAGTTTACACAAGCAAAGAGTTCTTTTTTTCTCTCTCGCTCGCTTCGCGTCTTTTTTTTTTTTACTAAAAATACCACAACACTATATGGCAATGGTGAATATTTCTTTCCTTATACGCCCGGGAGAGTGAGAGCACAAGCCATAGAGAAGCAAGCAAAAGTTGTGTGGATTGAGCTGTGCTGTGTTGTGAGTCAGTTTGGAGGAAATTGAGTATCGCACTTCCCATTCTCAAGTAGTACAAGTCACGGAAAGCGATAAGTCTGTCACGTCGATGGGGATTTTTGTCCGTTTTCTCTATCTCAATTAGTCCCTCAGAGAATGGGAGATGAAATGTCCATCAATTTGCCCACTTCTTCACGTGATAATCGCCAATAGATGGGATCTATTTTCGTCAACACCACAAATACACGTTGTGGCAAAATTTTTTTGCACCAGACACACACACGATTGGCCAAGAAGAAGATGGCAGTTGAAGAAGAAGACATTCTTATTTGTGCATCGCGCAAAATTGCATGCGGCGAAAGTGTTGTTGTTGCTGCACAGCAACTGAAATGCGGGAGTTTTGAATGGATGGCGCAAGAACAGCGTGTATTTTTCCTTGTCTATTATTACGCGACGGGGGGAAAAAGGGGGAGGAAGAAGAAGAAGAAATATCATTTCACATCCAAAAGGTAAAGTTGGAGAAGATATAGCATTTTTTCCGACAGCAGTGGCGATAAAAAATAAAGAACGACGACGGTGTGGAGAGTTTTGTGTGAGTGCTTTTGGAGAGGTTCTCTTCTCCTTTTTGAATTCAACAATCTGCGGTGGTCTCTCTTTTCTTGCTCATTTTCCCCCCCCTTGGTCTTGAAATATAAGAATATTATGTGCTTGTATGTAAATGTCTTCTTTTTCCCAAAGAAATCAAATCCTATATACAAAATATCTCGTGCGCTATTTTTGAGTCTAACACACAATTCCATCCAACTTTATCGCTGTAAAACAAACACACCAGCAAAGCAGCAAAGAGAGTCTGTCCGGTGTGTGGAGAAATGGGGTTTGTGTCTGTTGATGAGGGAGGCAAAGAAGATTGGTTTGGAAAAAGTCATAAATTATCCATTGCAGAGATTGAAATATTATCATATGAGATTACGATGTTATTTGGTCATGTCAAAACATTTCTCACTTTGCAGACAATTATTCTCATCTGTGCGCATTGAGAATCTTTTTCTCTGCACAATTTAACATAATTTTCACACTCTTCGGGCCAAAGAGAGAGCGAGAGAAGAGAAGAAGGATATTTTGGCAGCTGAAAAAGTAATTTGTTGCTTTTCACCACTCGCGGCCTTCAATTCTTGGGTGCGTGGATGGTTTTCCACAAAAATCTCAGCGATGCTGTTTGTTTTCAAACCACTTTTCAGTTGGCATGTTTTAGTTGTCTGACAAATTTTACGGCTGTTTTCTCAAAATTCCAACCAAAGAGAAAACATACTCCTGAATTTTCTGTAATAATGATGATGAGATGGTTGAGCTGAAGAGAGAGAAGGAGAGAGAATAGAGTGTTGGTTGTTGTGTGGAGGAAAAATTCATAAATTTAAAAATAATAAATATTGGTTCAGAAATATAGAGAAGGCGAGGGTGTGAGATTGGGACCGACGCAGATATTTGAAATCACTGAACCGAGAAGAGATCCTCTCACGCGGTGGCTCTCTTTCGCGCGCGCCCCTTTATGGCTGTGCCATTGCGGGGGAGGGAGGGGTTCGGCCGGGCGGTGCGAGAAACATAGAGAGAGAGAGAGAGAAGAGCGCGCAACCCTGAGTGCTTGATGAAATTGCGGAGAGGAAAATGTGTGTCCGCATGACGTAAGTTTAGTGCTGGGCGAGAAGAGCAACAAGAGAGAGAGAGACTATGAATTTATATGATCCGCGCCAGTTCACCTCCTCTTGCCGCCCGCGCTCTCAAATTTCAATCACACAAGCTATATTTTCCTTCCAGAAGACGCGCGCTGTCTATGGAAGAGGGATGAGTTGGGAAAGGGGGAGAAGACGGTGCACAATGAGTGATCTAAACAATATTTGTACTTCACGCACTCTTCTCAATTGCATTGGCACTCGGATATACATTACCATTGTTGCTATAAGTGAGCAGAAAAGAGAGAGAGAAAGAGTGATGTTGCAATGCAATTTTCAACAATTTTATTATTGTCTCTCGTGTGGCATCTTCCTATGACGAAATGTTCAAGGTTTCATATTTTAGAGAGAGACTAATCTGCGTGTGTCAGAGGCCACTCGCCACGGCGCAGGTACTGGATAATGATGAATTTATTTCACAAAATTGAATAATAAGAATCGGCATGAAAGATTATGAATTTTTAGATGAAAAAACTGTCTGGAAATGCTTACGATTCAATATCAGACATGCATACAAGTCTTATGTTTCCTGGTCGTTATGCCTTACAGAAAAATTTCCTAATCATAGTAACAAAAGGCATTCTGGAAGGGTATTCGTTAGCCATTCATGTCTAATAAGCCACACCTTTGGACTATTTCTTTGAAGCTATATTATTGTACAACCAATTAGAGACTAAGAAAACTATCTGCAGAAATCCTATTGAGAGTGTTTCACTGGATTTTTCTAAACAATCTCTTCTGTTCTTTATTATGGTAATTCTGAAAGCTTTCCTGTGTATATCGAGCGCTAAATGATGTGGTGTTATCAGAATCATGAATTTAAATGATTCTTTAATTTGAACACTGTCTAATTTTTCTCTCATGACTCAAGATTGCATTCGATATTAATGATTTTTCTTCAAGAAAATTTCACACATCAAAAGACATGTGAGATATGCTATAAATGGTGGATGTTGATGATGGTTTGAAGGGTCAATTATAGGGGGAGAGAGAGAGAGTGAGGGAGAAAAGACAGAGAGAATGGAATTGAGCTATAATTGCTCAAAGGTTATTAATCAGGCTAAACACTCTGTTCCACTTCTTTGGTGTCCACAATGGTGTTGTGCACATTTCATGGGATTGTTTCGTCGAAATTCCCTGCGAAGAAGGAGTGTGCTGTCTTTTGCGCGCAGACAACAAAATACCATATGAAATAATGCTGTGTGTGGCAAAAAGAAGTATAAATTGGTCAATTTAGTTGCGATATATAATATTAGTTGGGTCTCGAGGTGAAGAGAGTGAGAAACGGAGAGACTTTGTCGATTCCCTCAACACTGTTTTCTCTCCCCTTTTTTTATTATTATTATATTTTCTGTGGTTTTGATAAATTGTGTTGGGGATTACGAAAAGAGAAAACTGAAAGGAATTCGAGGGTATAATTTTTAATTGGAGACGACAAACATACACACAGAGTACAAAAGGAAGCACTTGAGGAAATAATAATGTTCATAATATACTAAAAAAAATTTATTTATTTCTCACACTATTCAACTCTTTGTGGTGCTCTTTTGTGTGCTGAATTGTGTTAAATTATGGGGCGGGAGGAGAGAAGAAAAAAAAAGGAATGAGAGCTACAAATGTTGCCAATGCAACTGATAAGGGAACTTTTGTCGCACTTGTATCGCAACATGTGTTGAATAATGTTGGTTGATTTGTCGCGATGTGACGATGGAACAAGGAGTGTTGGTTGTATTTTCTGATATCATTTATTATTTCCTCTCATGAATCAAATCGAATTTTGTTGTAAATACTGTTTGCCATTATGTGTACCAAATGGCAAAAGAAGATGAGGAGAAAAGGCGGGTTTTGTTGGGTGGAAAACATCGCACACGCTTGTTTGTTGATATTATTTCACCATCAAACATTTCCCAAACACACAGAGAGAGTGAGTGAGAGAGACAGAGAGAGAGAATTACATATTCTGTTGAGATGATGATGTGATAATTGCTTGAATATAATTTTTCCCTCTTCACCCTCTTGAGTTGGCCTTTTAATCAATCAAATCGTTAAAATTTCCTTTCTCTATAAATAAATTCACAAGTGTTTGCCACACATTAAATATAAAAGCCAACTCTTGAAGGAGGAGGAGAGAATTTCAACGATGGGCGCGCGCAAGAGAGATGAAATAATCTCAATGTGGTTTCCTTCTTCAGATTATTATTTCATGATATGACACATTTGAGAGACGAGGAGTGATGAAGAGTTGTGATGGAGAGGAATTTCTGATGACAGATTTGACTTGCCATTAATGAATGCAGACGAAATTCACAGATTTTCAACAATGATAGTCAAATGTGATTGATATTAATGCTTTTTATGCACTTCCGGGCAGCATTTTGTCCATCGCTTTGATCTATTAACATGATGTTGTGGGGCTAAAGTTGTTCCGTATGAAAAAATTTCCCTAAAAAAATTCAATATCAGCTACAGTGTCTGCAAAATAAATAGGGCATGGGAATAATTATTAATAGTAATTTTGTAGGTTTGTTTTTAGGGAAGGAAAAGGAATATCTCCAATCTTTCTTCCTTTATTTCTCATTGACTTACAAAAATTCAATAATTCAATCTGCAACTGAAGCTGTTCTTATTCAATTTTACTACACTGTAAGACTAGAAATTTAATAAAAAGAGCAACTCATAAAAAGAACTCATTGTGGTCGGTGTTTTTTATTCTTTCGCCACCACGAATCACGAAGATTAAATTCAAATTATTCATGACTAATTTCAGTTTGGCGAATGATAGGGAAAAAGATGAGATAAAAAGTGAGAGAATCACGAAATCTCACGAGAAAATTCTGTGACAATGATATTTTTTTCTCTCACTTCCTTTGTCATTAATTCCAAGAACATCCTTATTAAGTGTTTCTAATACATATTAGCAAGTATTTTATACATATATAGAAAACATTAAGCAGCGTCAGAGATAGACATAAATGGGAGGGATTTTTGATTAGGACAACACACTAAAAAACGGTGTAAGAAAAATGCACAAAAAAGGTGTTTTTGCAGTGAAGGTGAGGAAAAAAAGAAAGAAATATAATCTCAATTCGTCATCGAGATGTTAATCTGGATTCTTTTTTGCCCACTCAACATTGTCGGTTCTTTTTTTTGTTTCTTGTGTGCAATTGCGGCCATTTGTTGGGGTTTGTGTTTGTGTGTCTTTTCTCAAAGGAAGAGAAAAAGAGATCTTTTTTAATTATTATTTTTATGGTTCTATTTACACTGTTCGTACAATTCATCCTCAACAATTCAAACACATAAAATTTACCACAATTTTCCATCTGCTGCCTTTTATATTATTATTTTATTATTGGTTGAATTGTATGTGAATTTTTGCTCTAAGACGAGACGTTTATATATGTATATAATTATATTTTTTTCTGGCTGGGCGAAAAGTGTCTGTGTGTGTTTTATTTATAATATTTCTATAGTCATAAGAGTGATAAATTCTGACAGGAGTCGCGCATTTTCCATCTTTTGCGCCCGGTGTTTTTTCTTCTTTTGCTGATGGTTTTAAAGGCAAATCATGTGAGGAGAAATTATTGAGGAGCTCAGATTGAATGACATGTTAATTTTTATGCTGTCTGTCGCGGCCTTTTTCCTCATCTCAAAGGAAGAGTGGCTGTCTTGTGGATGTGGAAAAGAAGGAGGCAGGCGCGAATCTTGTCTCTGAATTTTCCATCTGGGTATTTTTCCCTCCCTCAATTCTCAGACACACATATACTATATATATTTATATGTGATGGAAAGGAATTTTAATGAATTTTCTCTCTCTCATCTTGTGTAATATTTTTGCACATTGCGCGTCTTGTCTTTCACTTTGTGTTTGTGCCACAGAAGAAGAAGAAGTGTCTTAATAATTTTTTCTCATTTTTCCTTTCCATCTTTTCAGGTGTACGTGGGAGCTCTTTCCCTCCACTATGAGGCACTGAGTGTGGAAGCGTCTAAACAAACAACCGCCGAAGAAATTGTTTCATGTATTGTTGAACGCTTAGGGCTACCGGTGAGTCTCTTCTTTTTCCCTCTTTCCTCCACATCTTTAGTATTCATCTCAAAGGGAAGATGAAAAACAGAGAGAGAGAGAGAGAGACACTTTTGTGTTGTTGAGAAAATGCACAAGGAAAGAGTTTATTTTGCACCTTGACATATCAATCTTTCTCATTTTTTTGTCCTTAACGCTTCTGTTTATTCAATATTAGGCTTTTATCAGGTTGAAATCAAGAGGTGCTCTTGATGAGTGAAAAAGTGGCTTATCGAGCACTTGCGATGAGGTTTTTTTTTTCTATGCCTCTTCGCCTCTCCAAAAGTGTCTGAAATTCTCTTGTCATTTGAGTAAATAAAATCATAAATATATTTACATTGAGAGAGAGAGAGAATTATTGGACAAATATTTGATCTAAATGTATTTTCACGTGTTTGATTATTTCGTGTGGTGACAAGAAAAGTAATAATAATAATAAGAAATGGGAAGAGGAAGAAGGTGTGAAATGAAGGAGGAAACAGTTCTCTTTCTCTGTGTACACAAGAAAAGAGAAGAAATTCTTTTCCTCTTTGGCGGGTTTTTTTTCTTATGCACTAATTTGTAACACATGAAATGACAATAAAAAAAATGTTACACTGAAAATATTGTGTAACACAATCAATTTCAGGTGTAACAAGTTTTTCAAATTGTCTCAAAGAAACTGCTGAATTGACAAGAAGAAATCTAGGAGAAAAATCAAAGACAGAAACTGTGTCAAAAACAGTGAATAACATCTATGATACTTACATTTATTAACTTGAAAATTGTCTATTATTGCAAAATGCTGATTGAATTCCAAAAGAGGTGTTTTTACCACGCTATAGTGAGATTTTAAAGTCAAATTTTGCAATAATATTTGTTTGGAAAAGACATGAGAAACGTCAAGGTTCAGTTATTATTATTATTATAGTAATGTTTTGTGTGTGAAATTCTTGTCAATATTTGATTAGTTCTCTTGCGAAAAGAACCACTTTTGGGTGAATTGTTGCTCTGAAGAGTGCGCGAACGTCTTGAGTGTGAGGAATTCCTCTAAATCCACCTGTAAAAGTGTGCAAGTCACTTGAATGGCACTCTTGAGAATATAATAATTGAGGCAATTACATGATTCACTTTACATTATATTTAGATTGGCTTGAGCAAATGCAATATGGAGAATTTATTTCATGACTGTGTTTCTCTATATGCATTTTAATAATGCACTCTTCTAATGTTTTCTATGTGTGTGTTTTTCTTTTTGTCTTTGCAAATGGACAAAAATTGCAGGGAAGCAATTATGAACTTGCCGAGGTGGCTGACGAGAGCAAAGAGAGGCGATTGTCGCCAGAGGAAAAGCCCGTGTCAGTTATGCTTCTGTGGCCAATGCATTCAGAGAAGGATTTTCATAGGTGAGTTTGCAGAAATGTTGTAATTAATTTCTTGTCATTGTGCTAAAATCTCTCTCTTTCTTTCTTTCTTTCTTTCTTTCTGTATTTGTTTGAAATCAGGTTTTATCTACGCGAATCCCAAAATGATATTCCCTGGCTAGACAATTTTGGTCTGGATCCGCACATCTTGCGGGATTTCATACCATTTCTGCTGCAGCCAGAAAATCGGGAATATCCAGACTTGTGCCAATTGCCAGACTTGAATGAGTCAACATTGTTGGAGAATTTAAGACAACGCTTCGATGCTGGTCATATTTATACTTACGTAGGGAGTATTTTAATAGCTGTGAATCCATTCAAATTTCATCCAATCTACAATCCCAAGTATGTAAGGCTGTATCAAAATCAAAAAGTCGGACCCATTCTTCCGCCGCACATCTTTGCAATTGCCGACAATGCATATTATTGTATGCTGAAGGAGAAAAGAAATCAGGTGAGTGAGCGTGAGATTTCAATATTTCACTATATTTTCATTTATTGAGAAGTGATTTTGAAGCAATGAAGAAAACATGCCTGCGAACAGGGAGGGAATGAGGAAAATGTGTGTGGAGAGTTGTTTGTGTGATTGTGTTTGGAGAAATTGCAGTAATAAATCATGTTCTAACTTAGGCGCAAATTGACTAATTTCCCTTCAAACTTATTACTCTAGATTCAGCCATAGATTCAAAAGTAGAGTGATTTTATTAGTAGAACAAGATTTGCAGGTGAGAATTTATAAGACAAGATTCACAAAGGTAAAAGATGAAAAGCTGTTTTATTTTATTCATCGTTTTGTTATATTTTAATTAAAGTTAGGTCTTGAAATTTTGACAATTTCCGTGCGATTTTTAAGTTATTTTGTGAAAATTGCCTATTTTTGGCACGAAAAAAAAATGTGAAAATACATTTATTTTCGCGCAATAATCATCAATTAATAACCAATTTATCAATGCCTGATTCATCTCTGACCACATCAGTGCAAACAGAGATTCTTCTTTCCTCACGATTGTGTGTGTCTGTTTGTGTTGTGTTGAGTGAAAGAGATGTGAAATATGTTTAATTTGCAATTGGAATTTGTCTGTTCCATTTAAATCACTAATACGCTATGTACTCACCTGAGTATCTTCGCACCTCAATGATCTGTTTCCTTCACCTCTTTATTTCATGCTTCTTCATCTTCTTTTCTTCTCCTTTTGCCAGTGTGTCGTGATAAGTGGCGAGAGTGGCTCGGGAAAGACAGAGAGCACGAATTTCCTTCTGCATCATCTCACGGCGCTGTCACAGAAGGGATCACACGGATCTGGTGTGGAGCAGACAATTCTCAGTGCTGGTCCTGTTCTTGAGGCATTTGGCAATGCTAAAACGGCGCACAATAATAACTCGAGTCGCTTCGGGAAGTTCATTCAGGTGAATTATCGCGAAAATGGTCTTGTTCAGGGTGCTGTTGTGCAGAAGTATTTGCTGGAGAAGAGTCGAATTGTCTCACAGGTGAGTGCATTGAGCATTTTCTACAATAATAAATAAATAGTATAATTGAATTGCCCAGCGAGAGAGTTTAGTCGCGTGGAAAAAAGCTCTCGGAAGAGTCATTAAGCAATTAAGCCATTTGCTCACTTCTCTCTCTCTCTCTCTTTCTTTGCTTGCGATGCTCTCAGGGTCCGTACGAGAGGAACTACCACGTCTTCTACTATCTGCTGTCGGGCGCCACGGAACAGGAGCGTGAGGCTCTGCACTTGCTGCCGGCGGACAAGTATAACTACTTGAATGCAAAGAATCTGATCCTGGAGAACTGCGATGAGAAGTATGAGTTCTCGCGACTGAAGCAGAGCATGGAGATGGTTGGATTCTCGGCGGAGAAGCAGCGACGGTTGTTCAATGTATTGTCAGCAGTTCTGCTACTTGGCAATGTTGAGTTCTTCCCGAAGAAGTCCACCTATCACCATGATGAGAGTGTTCAAGTGCGCAATTCTGATGTTGTGTCGATCATCTCGGAATTGCTGAGGGTGAAGCACGACACACTGTTGGCAGCATTGACATCGAAACGCGTGAAGGCGAGCGGTGAGACGCTGATTATGCAATACAAACTACCTGAAGCAATTGCAGCGAGAGATGCATTGGCCAAGTGTCTGTATGGGGCGTTGTTCGATTGGATTGTTCTGCAAGTGAATCATGCACTGCTGAATAAGGATCCAACGGGACCACCGCACACAGGTCACTCAATTGGCGTGCTGGATATATTTGGCTTTGAGGACTTTGGGGCACAGAACTCCTTTGAGCAGCTGTGCATCAATTATGCCAATGAACACCTCCAGTATTACTTCAATCTCCATGTGTTCAAGTATGAGCAGAATGAATACAAGCGCGAAGGCATTAAGTGGCGTGATATTGAGTTTATGGACAATTCGGGATGTTTGCAGTTGTTTGAGTCCAAACCAACGGGTCTCCTTTGCATCCTTGATGATCTCTGCAAGTGAGTTTGATGGAATATTTTTTTTTATAAATTGCATGATGCATTATTTCTCATGTCTTTTCCCCCCAGCTTTCCCGGAGCGACAAATGAGGCTCTTCTGCAGAAATACAACACCGTTCACAGAGATAATCCCTTCTATGAGAAGCCACAGAAGAAGGAGAATGCTTTCATTATTAAGCACTATGCGGGAAAAGTGAAGTATCAGGTGAGATTGAAGAAGAAGAAAGTGGTGTTGTTGAGACACAATCTTCATGCGTCGTTCTGTGATGATGATGATGTTTTCAGGTGGCGGAAATGCGTGAGAAGAATCTCGATCTCATGCGTCAAGACATCGTGAGTGTCCTGAAGAATTCCAGCATGGCTTTCGTGCGAGAACTCGTGGGCGCCGATCCGGTGGCTGTGTTCCGCTGGGCAATCCTGAGGGCCTTCTTTCGTGGCTATTTTGCATTCAGGACGGCTGGCATTAAGCATCGTCTGGAGAGAGCTGATCAGGCATTCAGCAAAGTGACGGTGAAAACGCGATATAGACCACACAACGATTTACTAATCAGGTGCGTGTGTTGATTTATGTCTATTTTCACTTTTAATGCCGCCAGTGACAGAAAATGGTCTCGTTGTTGGGATTTTTTGCTACTCTCTGGCTTGGGCTTTGGCGATTGATGGAGAAGAGCAAGAAGAGATGGAGTGTGCGCGAGCCACGGAGCGAGAGAGAGAGAGAGAGAAGGATGGGTGGTGGGAGCAAAAAGTTAATTAGATTGGAAAAAAGTAGTGCATATTTCTATTAATGATTGGAAAAAAATTAAATGGGGAGAAAAGAGAGAGAAAGACTCCCATTTATTGATAAATAGCCGTTAACATGCCAACAATTTATTAAACTCACGATGAAATAATACTTCTCATTTTTTTCTGCTATGCCGCTAACAGTCATCTTGTCACCGTATCCGCTGTGAATTTAACAATTAACAGAATTGCGTAAGTGATGTCGATGTGAATGTCTCTTACTACTCAAAGTCTACAGTGCATCGCAGAATTGTGCAAACTCAGTCTGGGGACAATGACTTATTGCTGAGTTGTGTTAATTTGTTCTTCTTTATCTGCTATGAAGGCTATGAATTATTCGGTTGTTTGATAGTGAATTGCTGTGGCTTAATTACCACAGAATAATGGCAAAAATGGTTTTTTCATGATAAACGTGCAGATTTCAAGACTTGTCAAGCGTTTAAGGATAGTAAGAAACGTCTTAGACAATTCTTGAAGATGTTTTAGATAGCTTAAACAACATTTTAGGGCTAAATTGTCAATTAATCAATCACTTTGAATACTCAAATCTTCAACGATCTTCAAGTAAATGAAGCATTGATTGCTCAGATACTTTTGCGAAGCACTGTTGCGAACCAAACTTGGGGAAAGAGAGTGTGAACAAGAGTGTCAATGAATGTCTTTTCTGCACTGTTGTTGTGTATGTGTTGAATTGTTATTAATTCCGATTGCACGATACTTTTATTATATACTATGCAACAAATATTATTTACTCGATGGCTTTTTTTTACTCTTCTATTTGGCCATGGTTTTTGCTGTTGTTGTTGTAATGTTGTATGATTTTTTTTGTATCAGTTTCACATATTATTTCTGCACATTTATAATTTTTTTTCTTTCCTTTTCTTCTGCTCTTTCTCGTTTTCCCTCCGCGTCGTCTGTGTGTATTCACGTTGAAATACGCGGAAAAAACATCGTCAATGAATATTGAAATGAAATGAAATGATGATGACGAAAAAAAACAACAACGACGACGACGGTACAAAACGTGCTCTCTATTAATGTGCGACGATGATGATGATGATTGCGGAAATAAATGGATACAGCAAAAGGGTGAATAATACGACGAGTGACTTGACATCGATGCATCATCACCAGCAATCGCCGATTCAGCAGTTCAATTACATGAACAAGAGTCCGAGGCGATCGTGGTCCAGCATTGCCTTCAATAACAAGAATTTTCCAGACGGAAAGCTGGGGTATGAAAATAGCCAAAACAGCAATAACAACAATAACAACTCTGATAGCGGTGGAAATAACAAGCTGTTTGCTAAAGGATTTTCAAAGTTTGAACGGTCCAGTCAAGATGTAATGGCACGTGCTTCCCAAATTGTTCAGTAAGGCTTCAATTTTTTATTTCTTATTATTTCTTATCATTTCCCATTTGTTACTCACACACCCATTATTATTATTTTGTTATTTGTTACTTAATGGTAAAACCGAGTGTGTTAATTTCAATTGATTAATAAGTTCTCCTTTTTTGCACTACTTTGTGTGTATTTTTTCCATCTTCTTTTATACCTTTTGATGTTATAACAAAAGATTTATCTGTTGTTTCTCTTGTGTTACCTGCATATCTACATATATATATTTTTTGCTGTGGCTTAAAGACAGTTTTGCTGTGAATTGTGCGCACGGCTGAGGAATGAATAGACATACAGCGCATATTAACTCTCTTGTTATAAATTTTCATCTTGAATGTTGCGTGAATTTGATTATTGTGAATTAATGAGAGAAACAAATATTATACAGTAGAAAAAAATACGCTTTCCTCCAAGAGTTTATTATAATAAATCATGAGGGGAAATTATAATATGAGAGAAAGATAAAAGTTATTGTACAAAAGACTCATCCATTTAATTGAAATTAACATGAATTGCTGTCTTTGTCTTCGACAATACAGAGAAATAATCTACATTGGACGAAATGACAGTATAGAATGCAAATGAAATGAAAAAAAAGATGCCAAAATGTGTTCTGTGAAATTTTTGCAGGAAGAATAAATCATTCCGCCCTCGCGAGCGTCCAAAGAAGGGTCTGAAGAATCTGCAGACAGTGAAAACACTCACAGCCGGACAGAATTTGTCCAATCAGACGTCCATCAAGACGAGAAAGCAACCATTGACGGTTTCAGCGCAGTTCCAAAACTCTCTCACCGCCCTGATGGACACCTTGAATCAGGTGATTTTCTGCCACTGTATTCGCACGTGCTGAGCATTTTCTCTAACGCCACTTTTACACTCTTGTATTTTGCAGGCTAATCCCTTTTTTATCCGATGCATCAAGTCAAATCCATCCAAAATACCCAACAAGTTTGATGACAACACTGTGACGAGACAGGTAATTTTTGGGTGTAATGATTTACTTCCTCAATTTTTGTAAATACTGACCTTTCGTCTCTCTCTCTCTCTCATTTCCTCAGCTACGATACACGGGAATGCTGGAGACGGTGCGAATCCGTCGCGCGGGCTACAATGTGAGATTGACGTACGAGGAGTTCATTCAGCTGTATCGAATCCTGCTGCCAAAGGGTCTCGTGAGCTCGCAGAAGGACGTGCGGGACTTCATGAACACGATGGACTTGAATAAGCAACACTATCAATTGGGTAACAAGAGTAATCAAGACAGTGTTAAGGATCTCTAAATGCTCACAATTTGCCTCCTATTTTGCAGGTGTTACGAAAATCTACATGCGTGAATCTCAGAAGATGCGACTGGATGTGAAGCTGCACACAAAGATCCTTGGCAGTATTGTGAAGATTCAACGGTGGTTTCGCAGTATTTTGCAGAGACGGAAGTTTGTCAATGTGCGTTCTGCTGTTGTCACGCTGCAATCCTTCTGGCGAATGTGTATGGCTCAGAAGCAATTGCTGGGATTACGACAGGAGCGTGCGGCGGCCGTGATTCAGGCGACATGGCGAATGTATGTGACAAAGAAGTGGTTCACGAAGCTGAAGAATGGCACGGTGCTGCTGCAATCGCACATTCGAGGGAAATTGGCAAGAGCGAAATTCAAGATAATGTACAAACAGGTAGGTTTTGCCACTCCACGCACATGCAACTCTCGCGCGCGGGCACTTAGTGTTTGTTGTTGTTATATTATAAACTTGAGCAAAAATTGCACTCATCTTCTCGTTTTCATGTCGCGCGCGCGCCCCACTCGCAATGTGCAGAAGTTGCTGAAAGAGAGATCGAAATTGCGACCAACACAGAGTTTGCCAGCCAATGAGAGGTCGATCGATGTGCTGCCGCCGGACGTTGACACGTATGGTCAGAGAGTGACACTGACAAAGCCGCACAGCAGTCTGGATACGGAGCTGGAGAATGCCGCCAAGGTGCGCAATATTCATTCACAATACTATCATCATGTGAACAGGAGTGAGGAGAATCTCCTGGACTACTCGTTGCTGACACAGGCGTCCATGGAGAAGCGTGATGTACTCAATAAGGCGGAGAATCAGTTCAGGAGTCTCATGATATCGTCTGGGAATAACAATAAGAGCTTCAGCAATAGCAATAGTGATGATTATCATCATCCGGACTATCAGAATGTCAAATACTCACAGCATGACAAGCAGCAGCACTTCCAGCGACAATCGCATCAAGAGGAGCCAACCAGTCTCGTCACAATGAATGACATCCGCAAAGCCTACATGACGTACATTGAGCCACCGAAGAGGTGAGTTTCCCATCATGCGCTGGAAGATCTGTTTTTTAATGTTCTCTCTTCTCCTTGCAGCTACGATCCTCTGAAGGCTCCTGTGCGTCGTGTGGATTCAGGACCGACGCCAGTGCGTCGCAGTGAGATGAGGTATGAAGAGTCACCGAGTAGGATGCTCGGAGCGGCGAGAAATGTGGGCAGTTTGGGCAATAGTAATGTGGAGATTGTGTATGTGGACAGCAATGTTGATCCCACGGCGACTTCTTCACTGGACAGTGTCCCACTGAGAAATCCACCGAGTGTGAACAATCAGCAACAGCAGCAGCAGCAGCAATATTTGTCATCATACAAGCCGACACGCCGGGAGATCATCTGTCGTAGTTCAGGAGATGAGATAAATTCCAACTACCAAGCATCATTGGCACAGCAGCAACAGAGCAAAGTGCAGAGTGTGAACTATTCAGTGAGTCCATCGCATCAGGGTACATCGAGTCAGAGTGTTTATGTGCAGCAGCACAATCAGGAGCATCCGGAGTTCCTGCAGAAGGCCTTCTATTCGGCACCCAAAGGTAAAGCAGCAGCTCTGCTGGGCACAATTACGGAGGACAAAGTGAGAGCGGCGCATGCGAAAGAAACCAGCGATTACACTTATCACAGCAAGACTGGACGTCGTGTGAAGACCAATTTGAGTGATGATGTGAGTGATGTCAATCTGCACAGTCACATTGTTCATCCGCGTCGCGGTGCATTGAGTTCTGAATCGCTGCGAAGGAGGAATTCTGATCCGACCACCAACAAAGTGCCACTGTTGGAGGTGAATCGTGGCAATGACATGTATCAATCCAGCACGCACATCAACATTGCCGGACACAGATTCCGGAAGGCGGCGCGGATTGGGAAGGCGGAAAAGTGTGCGAGTTGTGAGAAGAGTGATGCATTTGTGAATGAGGGTCATCGGTGTTTGGATTGTAAGGTGCTCGTGCACACGAAGTGCATACAGAATGGTGGCGTGAAGACGCTACAATGTGAGGCGAAGCGATCGAAGAGGCGAAAGATGATGGAGAAGGGCAATGAGAAGCCAATGACGCCCAATTCGAAATACTCAGGAACGCGAGAGTACACAGATTCGACAGATAAGATCATCAGTGATGCCAAAGAGTTGCAATTGATGCAGGATTTCATCACGCAGAAGATATGCAAGATGGAGAGTGACTGTGGGAAGCCTTCGGAGGTGGATAGAGTGTTTAAGCAGGCGCTCAGGGAGTTTAAGGACAACCTCGTGGCACACTACAGTGTGGCGCACAAGCAGAACTCCGATGCGCTTAACATCAAGTATCGTGACTTGATTGCCAATTTTGAACAGGTGATGGAAACGTGTTGCGGCCGAAAGGATGACTTTCCACTCACGATGGGTGTGAATGCATTCAGGGGTTTTATGAATGAGTTCATGAACTCACGCGAGACAGAGAAGCCCAAGACGAAGAGGAAGAAGGACAAGAAGAGGAAGATTGAGGAGCACACAAGTTACAATGGTGAGTTTTCTTCTTCATCTTGTGCTTTGTCAAGATGGAAAAATCACAGAAGATTCTTTGTTTTTAAAGGTCACACCTTCCAATTGACAATCATCAACATTCCAACGGCGTGTGAAATTTGTCAACTTTTCCTGCTGTGGCCCATTGAGCGTGGATTGGTGAGTAATAACATATCGATGGAGGAAAAGCGTTGTTACTTTCATTTGCTCCTCCGTCAAACTCTCAGGCTCAGCATTCTTTCAACCAAAGGGGTGAATAAGTGTCTTTCGCAGTGTATCTTGAGTGGCAGATTTAGCTTAATGATGACTATTGAAGAAAATATCGAACATAAGTAATGAAATATTAGTGAAAAACCGTGAAATCGCCATTCAAGTGAACTGTGATCATCACAGTTGTTTACCCCTTTCTTTCAGCTGACATGCAATGGATATCCAAAGTGGTTCAGCAATGATATGTATCTTATGTGCGCGTGTGTGTTTAATGCAATTTCTCTCTCTCTGTCTCTGTTTTGTGCCTTTGCGCGCGTAGGTGTGCCAAAACTGCCGGCTGACGTGTCACAAGAAATGCTATCAGAAGACGGCGCCATGCAACAAGATCTCCGGCTCCTCAGGCAACATCTCCTCCTCCCAGTCGGCCCTGGTGGGCTCCAAGCTCTTTGGGTGCAGTCTCACAAGTCTGTGCGCCGCCGAGGGTGGCGTGAAGATACCCGTGCAGATCGAGCAACTGATCACGAAGATTGAGATGCACGGTCTGTACGCGGAGGGAATCTACAGGAAGAGTGGTGTGAATTCGAAGATCAAGGAGCTGAAGATGCGAATGTCAGAGAATGCACAGTCAACGGAGGTGGATTATGAGAGCTACAATGTGCACGTGCTGACGAATGTGCTGAAGTCGTTCCTGCGCGAGATGCCAGAGCCTCTGCTGTCCTTTGATCGCTATGATGACTTCCTGCGGGCCGCGGAGTTGTCAGAGACGAATGATCGTGTGCAGACGATGCTGTCGCTGATTAAGAAATTGCCACCGTGTCATCATGCGCTGCTGGAGCGATTGATCTTCCATCTGGCATTGGTGGCGCAGCGTGAGCAGTACAATAGGATGTCCGCCAGTTCGCTGGCCATTGTCTTTGCGCCGTGCGTGCTGCGGACGAATCGCATTGTGCCGGCGCAGGATAGTTTGAATGACATTGGCAGACAGACCAAGTGCATTGAGACACTGATCACGCAGAAGATGCACAATGTGAAGAGCACACTGGCGGACATTGACACGCTGGACACGGCTGCACACACGGCCACGACGCGACTGAGCACACTAAGGAGCTCCAAGGTGTTCACACCGGAGGAATTGGCGCCCAGGCAGGGCAATCTGGAGTCTGAGGCGGAGGAGATCTTGCTGGAGGGACACATTCAGGAGATCAAGAAGGAGAAGGCGCTTCTCACGTCAACACTGCCGAGTTTGGCGCGCGCCAGTTCGGATGATGATCTGCTGTCGACTGATCTGGATGGCGAGGGTGGAAGTCTGGATGATTTGATATTGCTGGGCGGCGGTGGCGGCGGCGGCTGCAGCGGTGGTGGCGAGGGCAGAGATCCGAACAAGGACAGTGTGGATTCGGCGCTGTACAGTTTGGGTGGTGAATCGTCAAGGAACACATTCAACAGTGATGTGGAGATGATGGAATATGCGGCGCAGAGTGGTGAGTTTATGAATAGTCCGCGGAGTCAGCAGATCTCAATGGAGCGCGAGGCGTTCCTGCGGGGCGCCTACAACAGTCCCAAAGTGGCCTCCACGTCCAAGTGGTCGAGCAGTCAGCAGAATCTCAGCCATGCGCCGGTGACGGTGAAGCAGAGCAGCTGCGAATTGCAGCGTCAGAAGCCAATTGTGATGCGGAGCATCTCCACGGGCTACGACACGCCCTCCGTCACCATTCAGCACCACCAGCCGTGCTCCAGCGGTGCTGGGGCGCCCGAGGCTGCGTCCGGGGGCGCCAAGGAGCACAAGGGTGTGGGAGCGAAGGGCAGAGGCAAGTCCAAGAGGCAGAACAGTCTCGATGATGAGCCCATCATGGTGTAGGATTTGTGATTTGGCGACGGCGGAAGCAGGGTGTGTGATCAGTGATGTGTGTGCGTGCGTGCGTGAAGAGAGAGAGCGAGAGAACGAGAGTTTGTTAGGTGATAAGATGGGGAAGAAGATGTGTGCGATTCGCTCACTAGCGAGAAAGAAAGGAAGAAAGAAAGAGAGATTCAACCACCAAATTTTTTGAGTGAAGTTAGAGAAGATAGAGAAAAGAGAGAAAATAGAATTGAGATAAATTTATTTTTTGAGGAAATTCCACTTACTGTAACTACATTATATAAATGTTAAGCAAACTTACATGTGTGTATTGAGAGATAGAAGAGAAAGAGAGAGAAATCAATTTGCGAGAGAATCATGCACTGAACATCAAACGTCGATATGAGAGAATAAGGAGAAGATGTGAAAAGATGCCTTCAACATAAGAATAGAGAAAACAAAAAAATTAATGCAGGAAAACCAATGAAAAATTTATTCACTTTTGAGCGCAAGGAAAGATTGAAGAGAGACGTGAAAAATGTGCAAAGAAAAGTATTAAGAGACGGTGACTTTTTATGGTGTTATTCACAATTTAACATTATATTAAAAGATGTAAGAAATATAAGAGAAACAAAAATAAAAATTGTAACAACCGTAAAATGTGTGTCAACGTTGAAAATAATATGTAAAAGAGAAAAAAGAACCCTATATATTTTAAATGGAACTCCTAAAGAAAGAGAAAGAGAGATAAATTGAAAGATGAAGATGAGATACTTTTTAGACACATTGAGAAAGATATTTCGTATTAAAAAAAAATGATCGGAGAAAACATTGTTATAATTGTATAAAAGAAAAAAAAAACTGAAAATTTGCGATGGAAAGTGAAGTTGAGATGAGAATTGTATAATTGTTCTAATTGTAAAACCTATACAAACAATATACATTTAAACAATTGTATATTAATTCTTCTAATCATGTCTTATCGTATAAGAATTTATTGGTGAGATTATGATGATTGTGTGAGAGAAGAGCAGAACATTTGTGTCTCTTTCTGTTAACTGAAGAAGAAGAAGAAGAAGAGGAAAAACCATCTCTGTATTTAGATAAATATTTGACGAATTGTGAAGGTGAATGTGAAGATATTTAGAAGAAGAAGAAATGTAATAAAAATCTACCAAATTTGATGATGATGAAAAACACAAGCATTAGAAAGAAAAAACCATATTTTAATATTGTGTATTTGAGTGTGACATTTTATCAAAAGTCGCACGCGCACGAAGGGGTGAAAAAAAGAGGGTGAAATTTGATAAAATGACACGCTTCACTGTGTATTTCTCTACAATATTTAAAGAAGAAGATGATGATGAAAAAGAAAAGATAACCTGAAATGTTCTTGTTAGACTTTAAAATGGAATTTACCTTTTTTCTAAATGTGTACTTCAATAACAAAAAAAAAGAAAAACCTACAAGAGCATAGCTGTAAAACACAAGTTATTTAAAGGAAGAAAAAAAAACCAAGAAAAAGTATTCGAAGAATTTTCTTCAAGGAAGCAATCAAAAGAAAATAAAAATAAAATGACGAGAATCATAAAATAAATATAATTCTGGAATGTCAAAAAAAAATAATTGCGCGTGTGGAAAAGCAAGGAAGGAGAGGAAATCAAAAGAAACCCAATCGGTTCAAGTGCAATAAGAAAAAGAAAAATTACCAATCAAATTACTTTTTGCTTCTCCTTCTTTGTCGTCTCCATGAGCGAAAAAAGAGATGTAAAAGAAAAAAAAACGATAGAATTGAGTGGAAAACAAACCATTTTATTGAGAAGTAAACATTTGCATTTATGTGAAACTTTTTGTATGAAGAATTTTTCTAATGATATTTTTTTCTACAAACTCTTTAAAACCCTTTCACTGTGACAAAGAAGAAGAGGAAATGCTGAGAGAAAAGGAGAAAGAAGAGTGAATGTGTGACGATGAAGATGATGATGATGATGATGATGAGGAGGAGGAGGAAAAGGAGCCAAATCTTGAAGACTTTCCACGGGGAAAAAAACACATAAGAAGAAAAACACACAGTTATTCATATTATTTGCGTCTCAATGGAGAAAAACAACTCTTATATTGTAAATATTATTTTTTATATAAATATTATCAATCACTTTGGACGACGCGAGATGATTTTGTGGAGGTGATGAAGATTGAAAGAAAAATTGTTGTAGTTTATTGTTAAGTTATTTTCTCTTTATTGAGTATGAATTAATTATTATTATTTTTCGGAAAACGATGAAAATCTCTTAAACACTATTTTTGTGTGGTTTAGAATTTGTTCTTTATTATGTAAATTCTTGAGCAATTTTATTTACTCTTTCATCTCGACGAATTTGTCCTTTTTTGTCTTGTTTCTCCATTTGATCACTAATTCTATATATTTTTTTGTTTAAAATACATTTAATTCACCATTTTTATATAGGAAATATTGCATCCATATTCATTTGCATTATTCACACGATGAAGAAGAAGGAGAGAAGATGAAAAAATCAACATGAATCGATTTAATTTAAAGAAAAAAACATGATTTTTGAAAATGGAAAATCAAACACTGACGAAATATTCACTATGATTAGGAAATTTATTACTTTGTAATTTAGTTGTGAGATTTGTGAAATCAACAATATTATAATTATTATATTTTTTGGACACTCTTCTGCGGAAGAAGACAAGAAGAAGAGAGGAGAAAAGAATGATTGAGAAGAAAAACAGGAAGAAAATTTTTGATGGGAAGGGAAAGAAGAAAGTAATAATTGTTTTATTGACACCCTTATCTATTTTTATATGATCTTCTTTCTTTTTTTTTTAAATTATAAAGCAACATTTATGAAGATAAAGAAGTGAACAAAAGAATATTTTTCGATAAAAAAAAGTATGAAAAAAGGAAAGAACATGAAATATACTCTTCCATTTTCTATCGCTATTGTTAATTTTTATTAATTATAGAAAATGTATAAAACGTTAAATATATAAATATAATAAATTTACTATTATATATATTAATTTTTGGTGTTTTTTCCCAGTGAAAAATTGAATTTCATTTCAACTTTTTCCATCTTATTTTGCCATCTTTGAGTGATTTTCTCTGGCTCCACTCCACAGATGTCGCTACTGTGCAACTCCAGGACCTAATTTCTTGTGTTTTTCACCGTCGCGCTGCAGTCGCGATTGTCTGATTCATTCATTTCGTGGACGCCCTAACAATTTCCCGGAGATTTCCTGGAAGGAGTTCTCTTTCCGCCCCAGTAACACTGCGAAAAGTGTTCGCATCGACCCCGTGAAGGTGCATTTGGTGGAGTTTGCGTGAAATACGCACTGAATACCCAGTAAAAGTGAGTGTGAAAAGTGCGCGACGGAACAAAAATGTCAGATTTCGGCTCACTTGCGATGAAATGGGATCCCAAGAATCTGGAAATCCGCACGATGACGGTGGAGAAGACGCTGGAGCCGCTGGTGTTGCAGGTGACGACGCTGGTGAACACCAAGGGGCCCAGCAAGAAGAAGAAAGGTGAGTCCCACGGGGGGTGAAGTGGTGTTTTTGGGCGATGCCACAGGGTGTGCCGCGTGAAGTGGTGCAATTCCCACGGTTTCACTCAGTCAAATCAGCAAATTGCTCATTGTGGGAACGACGATTGTCTCTTGCAGGTAAATCCAAGCGTGCCAGCGCCCTCGTGGCCGCCGTGGAGAAGGCCACGGAGAACTTCATCGAGCGCGGCGAGCAGATCGCGTACGAGAATCCGGACATCACGTCTGAGATGCTGACGGCCGTGGAGGAGGTGCGCGAGAAGGGCTCGTCGATGAGCATCGCGGCGCGCGAGTTCTCTGAGGATCCGTGCAGCTCGCTGAAGCGCGGCAATATGGTGCGCGCGGCGCGCAATTTGCTGTCCGCCGTGACGCGTCTGCTCATCCTGGCCGACATGGTGGACGTGCACTGTCTGCTGAAGAGTCTGCACGTGGTGGAGGACGATCTGGACAAGCTGAAGAATGCCTCCAGTCAGGACGAGCTGCTGAACAACATGCGCCAGTTCGGCAACAACGCCAACGAGCTGATCAAGCAGGCGGCGAAGCGCCAGCAGGAGCTCAAGGATCCGCAGCTGCGCGACGACCTGGCCGCGGCGCGCGCTGTGCTGAAGAAGCACTCCACGATGCTTCTCACGGCCTCGAAGGTGTACGTGCGTCATCCGGAGCTGGATCTGGCCAAGGTGAACCGGGATTTCGTGTTCAAGCAGGTCTGCGAAGCCGTGAACACCATCAGCGACGTGGCGCAGGGGAAGTCTTCGCAGCCCACCGACATGTACTCCGGCGCCGGCGAGCTGGCGGCGGCACTGGATGACTTCGACGAAGGCATCATCATGGATCCGCTGGCGTACAATGAAGTGCGCTCGCGTCCGTCGCTGGAGGAGCGCCTGGAGAGCATCATCAGCGCCGCAGCGCTCATGGCTGATGCCGATTGCACGCGTGATGAGCGTCGCGAGCGCATCGTGGCGGAGTGCAACGCCGTGCGCCAGGCGCTGCAGGATCTGCTGTCCGAGTACATGTCCAATGTGGGCAAGAAGGAGCAGAGTCCGGCGCTGGAGCGCGCCATCGGCCAGATGTGCCGCAAGACGCGCGACTTGCGGCGCCAACTGCGCAAGGCGGTGGTGGATCATGTGTCGGACAGCTTCCTGGAGACCAACATGCCGCTGCTGGATCTCATCGAGGCCGCCAAGATGGCCAACGAGAAGCGCGTCCGCGAGAAGGCCGAAGTCTTCACGAAGCACGCGGAGAAGCTGGTGGAAGTGGCGAATCTCGTGTGCAGCATGTCCAACAATGAGGATGGCGTGAAGATGGTGCGCTACGCCGCGGCCCAGATCGAGACTCTCTGTCCGCAGGTCATCAACGCGGCGCTGATCCTCACGGCGCGGCCTAACAGCAAGGTGGCGCAGGAGAACATGGAGGCCTATCGCATGGCGTGGGAGAATCAGGTGCGCATCCTGACCGAGGCTGTGGACGACATCACCACCATCGACGACTTCCTGGCCGTGTCTGAGAATCACATCCTCGAGGATGTGAACAAGTGCGTGCTGGCGCTGCAGGAAGGTTACGCCAAGGATCTCCGCATCACCGCCGGCGCCATTCAGGGTCGCTCGGCGCGTGTGTGCAACGTCGTCGAGGCGGAGATGGACAACTACGAGCCGTGCGTGTACACGAAGCGCGTCCTGGAGGCGGTGAAGGTGCTGCGCGAGCAGGTGATGTCCAAGTTTGCGCAGCGCGTGAATGTGGCGTGCGACGCGTTGGAGTCCAATTCGCAGAAGGATGTGGACGAGAATGACTTCATCGACGCCTCGCGGCTGGTCTATGATGGCGTGCGTGAGATCCGTCGAGCTGTGCTAATGAACAGGAGTTCTGAGGATCTCGACACGGACACAGAGTTCGAACCGGTCGAGGATATGACTCTGGAGACGCGCAGTCGATGTAAGGACGAGTGATGAGGGATGTTTTCGGGACTTTTACTGATGTTTCTGTGTGTTTTTCAGCGAGCGCTCACACTGGCGAAGGCACTGTTGATGAATATCCAGACATTAGTGGCATTACCACTGCAAGGGTGAGTCTTTAAGACACTCAAAAGTGCTTGTTTTGAGCAAAACTGGTTGAAAATTTAATCTTAACCCTTCGAAATTTACCAAATTCACCTCAAATATCCTGTAAAATTGGATTAAATTGTTAATAATTGCTCTGTTTTACGTATTTTATACGGCATTTAGTCAATTTGACTAATGAAATACAAGTCTAATAATGCTTTTAGTAGTAAAACAGATTAAAATTCGCCTCTGATTCGTTTTGTCTTTTTTGCAGGAAGCGATGCGAAAGATGAATGAGGAGGACAAGCAGAAGATTGCACAGCAAGTTGAGCTCTTCCGTCGTGAGAAGTTGACATTTGACTCGGAGGTGCTGAAGTGGGATGATGCCGGCAATGATATCATCTTCCTGGCCAAACACATGTGCATGATTATGATGGACATGACAGACTTTACACGCGGCCGTGGCTCATTGAAGACAACAATGGATGTCATCAATGCGGCGAAGAAGATTTCTGAGGCGGGAACGAAATTGGACAAACTCACGCGTGAAATTGCCGAACAGTGTCCTGAGAGTTCCACGAAGAAGGATTTGTTGGCGTATTTGCAGAGAATCTCTCTGTATTGCCATCAGATTCAGATCACGTCCAAAGTGAAGGCTGACGTTCAGAACATCAGTGGGGAATTGATTGTGTCAGGAGTGAGTGATCCTTTTGGGAATATTCGTTGCTTTCTGGACAGATTGTAAAACTCTTTCTTTGTGTGTGTTTTTGCAGCTCGACAGCGCAACTTCTCTTATTCAGGCAGCGAAGAATCTCATGAATGCCGTTGTTCTCACTGTGAAATATTCCTACGTGGCGTCGACGAAATATACTCGCCAAGGAACAGTTTCTGTGAGTATTTTTCCTCTTAAATATGCTATTAAGATTTTGAATATAATATGCTGAAAGAATGTGTGGAGAGTTGCGCATGATGGAAAATAACTCTTTTGACCATTTTTCGTATGCTTTCGCTATATGAAAAAATGCTCCAAATTGTGGTTGGGAATTATTTTGATGGATTTCTTGGTAATAGAATGCCGTAAGTAGAGAGAGAGGGAAAGAGTGAGGAGAAATAGAAGATTTTTTGTTGTTCTTTCAATAGATTTTCTTGTTGTTCATAAAATGCAATTCAATACATAATATTTTGTGATTTCCACTGAAAAATGACTCATTTTTTCTCCTATTGCAGTCGCCAATTGTGGTGTGGAAGATGAAGGCGCCGGAGAAGAAGCCTCTTGTGCGTCCTGAGAAGCCGGAAGAAGTGCGCGCAAGAGTGCGAAAAGGATCACAGAAGAAGGTTCAGAATCCTGTTCATGCACTGTCAGAGTTCCAGAGTCCGGCTGATGCTCTTTAAAGTGCCACGAAATGGCAGGTATTTTTTATATTTCATTTATAATATTATTCCTTTTTTTTACATAAAAATTATTCTCTTGTGTAACTGAGAAAAAGATTACATGCGGTTTTTTTATTGTTTGGAAAAATTCCTTGACTTATTTATAAGAGAGAAATGAACACACACACACATGAGAATAATAATGAATAGAGAGCGATATTTAGAGAAGATGAAGAAATGATAAATATTTAAGAGCGCAGTATTAGTGGCAATTTATTTTTTATCTTTTAAAGACACTATCGAATATTTTTTACAACACATTTCAATCATGCATTTTTCTATATATATAATTAATTGTGGTGGAGAATAAAAAAAATAGCGATAATTAATAGTGGATTTAAATAGATTTGGAAAAGAGAGAAAAAAAGAGTAGAGAGACAAGATAAGCTTAAAAATGCAACTTTAACCACCAGTTTTTCCCCATTAAAGAGAAGCAGAAAGAAAGAAATAGTAAATAAATTATGTGAAAGAGATAAATTCTATGGATTGCGCAAAAAAGTGAAATGTTGGAATTATTAGAATGAAGCATAAAAATGACACGAGAAAACAGTAAATTAAATAAATTATTATTATATATTTTAGCGAATAATGATTATGATGGAAATAAAACCTTGAAATTACTCTATTGAATAGCAATTATACAATGATGACGATGATGAAGTTGTGTAGAAAGAGTGAAAAGCTAATTGAACTGTGAAGCTTTTCATCGGTGTCAATGTTTCTTGAAGGACTTCTTGGACTTCTTCTTTTTTTTCACAATAAATATTGGGAAAATTCACGAGAAAAAACTGTGGTTTTATCATCACTTTTATTGCCCTTTGTTTTGGGGCGAAAAATAACGCGCAATTATCAATGGATTTCACGGAATATCTTTCCTACTCGTGTTTTTATCAGACGTCTTGGCAGATAAAATGGCCCAAAGAGAGACAGAGAGAAAACCGTTGGTAATCTAATCGTGTGGAGTTACTGAATTATCACCAGAAAATTGCTGGTATTCCGCAGAGTGACTTCTGCATTGTTATTGATTGCGAATGGAGATCACACACGGCGATAAAGGAGTGGCAATTGACAAACACTGCGCCGATCTCGCCCGTGATTCATTGGGTTTTCTTGGGCGACGCTTTAGGGGAAGGCAGGGCAGCTGTGAAGAGTTTCAATGTCTGGAAGAATTTCTCTTAATCATCCTTTTATACACAATTTAACACTTAATTACACGCACAAAAAAGTCACTTCAACACATTTTATTGAGACGCACTGATAGTTTACGAAGAATTCTGTGTATAAAAGACGGTGTAAATTCATTGAATAAATCAGACTTCGCATTGGAATACCAGAAACTTCACGACTTTAACGTTTCCTCGATGGTAGTTCGAACCGAACTAACTTTGGCGATAACCAAACGAAGAACTTCGTCGCCTTTCGGCCTAAATTGTCTCTAATTTGTCTTCCTTGTCTGTTATTGTGTGGCCAAAAGTGATCAAGTTGTTGTCTAGGATTGCCTGAAATAGTTTGACTCATGGGAATCCTTTCTTAACACTCAAAATCTTTGGCGAAATGTGCAAGAAGAGCGCTTTTAATCTTAGAAAACACTATAAAGCCACAAAGAAGTGAATGAACTGATAAAAATGTTTAAAATCAATCTAAACGTGTAAGCGAATCTCTGGCTACAGAGGAATAATGATAATGAAACTGATACTGAAGACCAAAAGCTTTTAAGCTGTTGTCTAGGATTGCGTCCTGGCCATTTAAATCAGGCTTTTGCGAAGCAAGTCGTAATATGCGCTCTTAAGAGTAATAATTAAAAATCTGACAGCCAATCCACAAAAGCCCTTCTCTTCGCTAAAGGAACATTCTCGATTTCATTGGGATTTCAAAGTCAGAGATAATCAGAGAATTCCCATTTCTGCCGACTTCCGACTTCTTTTCCCCGAAGAAGTGTTAATGTGCGGATTTTGCCTCCGACGGAAGATCCATTTATGGTCACAAAGTGGGCGATAATTTCGGTGCTTAGCTTCAAAGGTATGCGACTAATGAATTTACTGCGGGCAAAACAAAGAATATTGGCCAACCAGAGTGCGGTCAATTGGTCATTAATGCCCCCAGAGTTTGTCACCCGGCCAGACGTCATTCATCGGCTGCGCCTCACTGATCGCCCCGATCGTCTGAAGACACACACACATGGAGTAATAATTCTCCGGGCAATTTTGGGCGACTTTGGGGAGCATTTCCAACAGAGATGATGCAATGACGGAATCCACCCTTCCTCAGCACGTCGCCTTCTTATCAATTTCGCGAAGGGGCAAAGCCTGACGATCGCCTCTGATTGGTCCCTGACTCAGCGCCAACTGCAATCTATCCTCGTCTCGCTCTGATTTCCCTTCCACTTGCTGACCTGCGACGCACTCTTCAGTCAACTGGTGAGCGCCACTGTGTTGAAATCCTACTCGCTTTCTGGGCTTGAAGATTTCGGTGTTTTCGAGCTTCCGCGCGCGGCTGATAAACGCCGCAGCATTCGCGTGTCATCACGAAGTGAGTCAGTCGCCAACGGGACGCGGAGTGGAGCACATATGGCCAAGTGCCTGAATTGCGTGTGCCGGCGCCTGAGTGACGACGAGCCTGCGGGCTTGGATATGCGCCTGGAGAGGCATCGGCTCGATTCCCTGCTAGCCTGCCAGGATCTGTGCGTGAACGCGCAGACGCTGGCACTGCAGGGCTTCTGCCTGGTGGCCGAGAAGGCGCCGGATGAGGTGCGATGTGTCTTCTGTGACGTTCGCATCGCGCACTGGGACGCGGACGATGATTCTGTGCGTGAACACCTGCGTCTGTCCAACCATTGTCCACTTCTGCGTGGCGTCCGGACGGAGAATGTGGCGCTGAGTGAGCGACAGTTGAAGCGATTGCTGAAAAGAGTGGCGCGACTGTACTTGAGTGAGCCGGTGAGTGGCTTGTGGCGCGAGGAGGAGCGCCGGCGGAGCTTCCACGACTGGCCGGGTGGTGATGATCTGGGGGCCGAGCTGGCGCGCGAGGGCTTCTTCTACGCGGGCTCTGGGTGGCGTGTGGAGTGCATCTTCTGCCACATGCGCTGGGAGACAAGGCCACCGGCCGGCGACATGCTGGCGCGGCACAGCGACTGTCCGCTGCTCGGCGGTCGAGCCGACACGAACGTGCCACTCGAGCCGAGCGACTTCGGTCGGCTGATCTACGAAGTGGCTGGCCAGAGGCCGTCCAGTGATGCCCTGGTGCTCCCGGCCGAAAGACGTGCAGCGCAGGAGAGACAGAACAGGATGCCGCAGCGCGATTCCAGGCGAGTCAAGGTGGTCTCCGACCCAATGTCCGTGAGGTGAGTGACTCAAGTGGTTTCGCTAATCTCTTATCACTGCGCGCGCGCGTCGATATCTCCTGATATTTCAACCCTAAAAATAGTGCACTGATCGAATCCAGCGTGCGGGCGAAAGAAAAAAAAAACGCGTGAATTCTCGCCTTGTGTTCTCGCCTAATGATTGTGTCAGAAGAGGAAGAACGACTGGCCTCAGCACAATCACTAATGAAGGCAAATATTTGTGGAGTCAGGTAGATTATTCCAACTGGCGAAATGCGAAATTACTCCCGCCGGAGTCTGGCGGCTTTGTGAAGTCATCTCGGGCGGTGCAAATGTGAATTTTGGGGCCGTAAATTACATGTTCAATATTTCAGCTTCACGCGCTCGCGTGAAGGTCAGGAGGAATAAACTTGAATTGAATGTTGGCGCCAATTTCCCAACCCAAACATTCCGGTGAGCATGAATCACAACGCGCGTCTTTCTATGCCGGGAATCAAGAAGAAGATTGACTCTACGATGTTGTGATCACGTCTCTTTGGACACTTTGCACGATTCTCGGGCTAAAATCACGTGTCAGAGACATTCAAGTCTCTCAAGAATTGTAATTGATAAGAGAAACTTCCATAAGAGAGCCAAATGTGGCTGTTTTTACGTGTTTTATCGGTTTGTCATGAATTGGAAACACTTCTACACTGCAAAGCACTAAAGAGAACTGTCTGATTGTTATCAGTTGAATGAGACAAACCACTGATAAGACACAAATCTTATCCATAAGTCTAGAGGAGGAACTCGTGCACTGATTTTTAATGTTGTCTCTCTCCAAGTGACTGAATTGTTGTGTCCTCAAATCCTTCCAGATACATCACAGTGCCGCAGCTTAAGGATCTTCACATGGAGCGCAACAGACTCAGCACATTCCGCTTCTGGCGAGGCTCAGTGGACAAACACCTGCTGGCGAGTCTGGGCTTCTTCTACACGGGCATCAAGGACAGCGTTCAGTGCATCGTGTGTCGCGTGCAGATCTCCAATTGGCACGCAGACACGGACATCGTCGACACGCACATGCGCTGCTCCAATTGTCCCCTGATGCGCGGCCTGCCCACCGTCAATGTGCCTCTGGACGCACCGACGCTCGATCAGATCCTCGATGACGCCTTCGACGCCACTCCCGTCGACGTCCTGCATCCCTGCATCCAATCCATTCGCGCCGAGGACTCCGAGAGCATGTCCACGGACACGAGACGTTGCAAAGTGTGCTTCATCGGCACCGTGGAGACATTCTTCCGTGCGTGCGGTCACGCCGGCACGTGTCTGGCGTGCGCCAGCCGCGTCACGCGGTGTCCCTTCTGCCAGTTGCCCGGCAAGGCGGCGAAGCTCTACTTCATGTGACGCCGGCGCCGGAAAGGAGGCTGTGTTTTTGAAAGAGGAAGAAAATCGGTTGTGCAAAAGAAAGAAAAAAAACTGTACTGAATTATGTTTTACATTAATTTAATTTAAATGGTGTTTTCATGAAATCTCAACACAGTTATTTTATTTAATAGATATTTTGGTTTAATTAATCCTCATCATTCCATGTATTTTTTTTCCTCTGTTTTTCTTCCTTTTTTTCTCTTCCTAAGCTTTATACAAATCCAATTGGTACAATTAACTCGTATAATTCTCTCCACTTCTTCTTCTCTATACACACGCATTCTGGTGCCCATTCTTTCCCTTTCATCCTTCCTTGAATCCTTGGAGGTTTCTAAGGGAATTCGTGGGCCTTTTCACTCCCAATCTCTCCACTTTCCTCGCCACATTCTCGTTAAATAGTGTGTTTTGGAGAAAATTAATTAATATATTGAGCACTAAAGCAGCAGCTCTTATCTTACGTACATTTTCTTTCTCTCTTTCTCAACATTCAGTGTGTCACTGCTGCTCTTAGTCTCTCTCTTCCCGGCCCCTGAAATGCTCGTGAAACAGAAATTCACTCTAGGAGGCAATTAGTCGACTTAAAAAAGATGCTATTTACAACTGTTTGCAATGTATAATCATAATAATTAGTATTAAGATGCCGAATTGAGGCGCAAAACTCACTAAATCGTTGCACGAATTCCTCTCTTTTTCCCTCTTTCTCTGTTTTACAAAAAAATGTGTATATTTTGTGTGTAATAAAAAATTCATCTGTTTTTTTATCATTTCATGTAGAAAATAGGCAAGAAATACACAAAAATATGAACAAAATACTTCTCCAAAAAGTTTTTAACACCATTATTAATATATCTAGTATTTGATCAGTGGTTCTACTTTCCTCATCTTCTTCATATGTTATAAACAACAAAAAAAAGTTTGATAAAGACATTTGCCGCATTTTATACTTATTATCAAATAAATCCTCTCTAATCACCCATTGATTTTCCATCAATTTTTTTTCTTTTAAATACAATAGAAAGTTAATTAATTATATACTTAAATAGCAATAAGGTTTGAAGAACAAAAATTTCTTTTCATCCCAAAATCACCAGTTTTTTTGCAGATTATACAAGTCTGACTTTGTCCATTCCAAAAAATCTTAGCCAGTCCTAACACAATTGTTATTACGCTATTTATATGCAATGCACACCATCTCTCTCGCTCTCTGTCTCCCTCTTTCAGGCTGATTACATCCTTAATTTTAGAGCCCTAACACGCTATTACATTACTTCCAACTTGCCGCATCCAATTACAATCACTACAGTATATAGAATATTGTAGCTAAAATATTACAATATAAAGTCACAAAGTACAATTTTATCCTCTTCACAACTTCCAATTTGACCTCATCCATCCTTCGTCAAATGATGCCTTTCTTGATAAAATGATTTTTTTGCGTTTCCTTTCTTTTTTGCCACTGTTTTTCCTTCCGTCTGCGCTTGTGCTGTTTGTTCACATTGTTTTTGTTGCTTCTTTTTGCTTCTTGTTCACGGGCAGAAATGGCGGTTGTTGTTTTTTTCCTGTTTTAACTCCAACATCCCAGAGAAGAATCCTCTTCACCGTGAGATCAAAGGACTTTTTTAATCAGTCAGACAGACACTCAGCACAATTCCTTCTCGGGCACTTTGGCTCGCTGAAGTCGTCTCTCTTCTTCTCGCCAGCTTTGCCGCCGCCGCGCGTGCGCGTCTTTCTTCTATTCCTTCTGCTGATGCGGATGATGACTGCTCGGCGGCCCGCCGCCAGATCCTGAGCCACCCTCCGTCTTCGGCTCGCGCGGCAACAGATAAACTGAACCATCGGCTGACAGTTGCAAGCTGTACTGCGACGAAGAGTACGGATTTCCATCCTGATCTCTCATGTACTGGAAAGGAAAAGAAGACATTTTAATAACCATTCGTCAATCTATTGATTTTTCATCAATATTCCATTATTTCTAACTAGATTTGCTGAATAAGAATCACTCTCTTAATGCTCATCTCTTAAAAACCCAGTTAAGAAGTGCATTAAACATTATCGATCATTAGAATCTTTAGAGTATCAAGAAGTGTATGAAAAATATTCTTTTGTAGTTTTGTAGTTATTAATTACTTTTCTGATCCTTTTCTATTGTAATTCTACTGAAGTTTCCCGTTTCGCCATGAACTTACGTGAAAAACGTGTCTATAGAGCGCCGTGAACTTGTCCATGACTCTCTTCTGCTCCATCAGCGCCGAATCCCGATCGCTCATGAGGCGAGACTTGCGCTGTCGCACTTCCTTCACCTCATCGGCCAGCGACAGGATCTGATCCAACTTGCGCTTGCGGCAATTCTGCGCCGCCACCTTGTTCTTCCCGCGACGCCTGATGTCCCTGATCAGCGACAGCTGCGTCTCGCTCAGCTCATACTTGGACAGGCGCTCGTTGAACTCATCCATGGGCAGATTGATGATGTCATTCACGGGCATGGGAATCTGTTGGATCTTCTCAGTTATGAATTTCACACCTTTGCAAACAAATATTCTTGCGTTTTGAACTTACTCCAAGTGCTTTGGCGCGCTTCTCATCACGCGTCAGGTGCTCATCTTCGCTCTTCTTGTGCGCCTTCTTGTCCCTGGCCGGCGGCTTGGGAATCACCCCACTGCTCTGCGGCAGCGTGTACGTGTGATTGTGACTCACGAGATCGTGCACGCCGCTGCGCGCCTGCCGCGCGGCGAAATCGTGCGAGCACGAGTATTTTATCTCCAGCGGCGGCGCCAAGTGGTGACTCTTGGCGTTCATCAGCGGTGGAGCGGCTGGTCCCATGGCACCTGCCGCCTCCAGACCGTGCGGCGCTCCGCCGGCGGCGCCCTGCGGCCCCATCGCATACTGATCGTACTCATACTTGATCCCCGCCGCCGGCATCGCGTCCGCCGCCAGCGCCGACGGCACTGTGCTCGTGTTCTGCTCCTGGAAGTACCGCTTAGCGAACATGTGGTGCTTCTTCTGCGCCACCGGCGGCTGTCTGCCGCCGGACTCGCCCAGGCGCCCGCTGTAGCTGTAGTCATACGGACCGCCGTATTTGCTGCAGGAGAGAAGCGATGGAAGTGAGCATTTGGAGGCTTAGAGATCTTTTTCTTCTCCGGAGACTCACCTCTGGTATTCCTGGGCGGAGTCGCTGCCCGCGTCGCCCCACTCGCCATCCGAGAGCGATGGCACTCGCTCGGAGCCCATGGAACTCACTGCACTGTCGCTGGATGTGTCAAGACGATCTCCGTGAGCGCCCGCAATTCCTCCCAGGCCATTTATATTGGTCTGCATGCCCAGCAGGCCGCCGCCGCCGTTCGCCAATCCACCCGCGGCGCCATTGATGCTGCCGCCGAGGTTCGTGGCCGTGGAATTGTTAGACGTGGAATTGTGATCCAGCATTCGCATTGTGTACATGCCTGCAAAAGGAAGTGCGCCAATAAACATACAAGAAAAAAATTACCACCAAAAGTGATTTTTATGCACACAAAAGCACTTCCTCTTCCTGTCAAAATGCACTCTTCTGCATATGCCAAACTTGATGGTGTGTAATCGAAAATTGCACTTTATACAGTCTATTTTTTCTCCAAGTGGAAATTGATAAGAATTTCCTATCATTTCCTCTTCATTAGGCCATTATCACATGGGTGGCAGCATATGCATCGTGCCTATGCTGCACTGCCATTCAAACAATCACTTCCGTTTATCATACAGAAAAGCAGAAGAAGAAAAAACAACTCTTCGTGCGTCATTTTCTCACATTTTATCTCATTCAGCCATGCATCTTCTCACAATCTCCACTCTCTGTCCCTCCCTTTCTATCTCTCTCGCCGTCTCTTGTGCTTAAATTCAATGATAACACACTCAGCGGGACGAGAGAAGTATATTTTCCACGATTACTTGAAGAGGCAGCAAAATGTGGATAAATTATCACCACGATGATGAGTTTCCCTGAACATTAAATCATTGGCGCACACGAGAGTATAAGTGCGCTTGTGTAAATAGTCGATCAACACCCATTTACCATTTACCATTTGCTCAATTTCGCCACTTTCCGGATGAATCATTGCATTTTTCCCTCTGGCGACTTTATTCGCGCCCACAAAATCGTGTCACACACTTTTATCACTGATAATATTCTCTCTGTGTGTCGCTCCTTTTTGTCCCAACCGCTAAATTTATACCGCACACGCCACACACAAATTGTCTCTCTTTCTTAGTCAGCAGCAATCACTCCAACTTTGTGATGATCACACTTGTTCACCAGCAAATTACTTCATAGTCCACCAATATCACACTCCAATGTGTCGCGAGAGAAGAGGCGAAGATGAAATTTCATACGTGATTTCTGCCACAAATTCTCCGTCTCACGTTGTGTTATGTGTTGTTGAAAAGATACGGGAAAAAAGTGCCACTGTCGAAGAAAAATATCACCCAACAGAGAGAGAGGACGAACTTGTGTGTCTCTGTTTCACTTCGCCACACTTTTTCCCCCGAAAAAATTCGCGTATTCAGTCCACTCAATGTAAATATCGCGACATGACTAAGCATTTAAAAATAGTAAACACCAAACGATAATGCAAAGAGGCCCCAACTCTTTCCAATTCCTCTCTCGCACACACAAACACAGCTCTCTCTCTCTCTCGTGTCCGCCAAGAGTAAAGCGCCTCAAAATTCACGTATTTCCATCGATCATCATCATCATCAGCGCACGTCAAAGCCAACTCACACATGCGCTCTTCCTTCACTCACTCTGTGCCGGCGATCGGCACTCAGCCGCCCCAACATTTATCGCTATCAATCGTCATTCCGCGGCTCAATTGTTGCCAACACACAATTCTGCGCGAGTCTGTGCGAATGCCAATGACGAGCGAGAGGGAAAACACACAACTGAAAAGCTCACGTCGCGCGCGCGAAGCACACAAAGTCTCACTGATAAGGCATTCACTCTCTTCTCTCTCTCTCAAGAATTGATAGCCAGAAAACACACCTATCAGCACACAATTCAAGTACAGACGGAGAAAGAATCCGCAAGACTCTGTTATCATCGTGGAGAAACAGAGCGATTAATAAATGTGTGCGACGAACAAAGGACAGTAAAATCATCGTCACTCTCAATATCGCTGACGCCACGGAGCATAAGCAGCATAGGATGCTTTGAGAACTTTTTCAATTGCTCACAATTGAAGGAAATATTGAGAAAAAAGCTCCATTTGGTCTATTAAAGCCTTGTGATCTTTCAAAAAATCGAAAGCTAAGAAATTATCAAGTCAAAAAAGGATCTCAATATGATCTTCTAACAAATCTGCTTCAGTTTTGTCAGTATTTTGATCAAAAATTGTCACAAGAACCAATAATCGATGAGTAAACTGAGTTAATTTCTGTGAAAAACTACAATTTCATAACTCTTACGTAAAGAATTACCAAGATAAAGAAACAGTTTGATAAGAAATAGTGAAAATCATTCGTGTTTCGTGACAATACATTAAATACACAGACTTATAATTCTCAATTTTCTTCTACAGTTCAAAGTGTTTCTCACTTCGCAATATCCTTCAAATTGAATCATCTGAATTGGCTGAACAGCAAGAAAGAGCAGCAGGTGAGCCAATTTCAATGACTGCCAACATATCATCAACGCTGCAATTTGCAGCGAGCTTTCAGTGCCTCTCAAACACTTCTTTTCGCGTGTGTGCAAAATGCCAATGAAAGTCCATTAATTACAAAATTCCCTTTTGGCCAAACTGCAGAAATTCTCCCTCTCCTTCAACACATATTTCATTACAATGTTGCACAAAATGCATTTTATACCAATCTCGCGTCGTCACATTCAATCCAACAACAACAAGCGCACACCAATTCCAATTTACCTGGAATTGCTTTTGAGAAATCATATCAAAGGTACACATTTTCTCTACACCCCGAAGAACATTTGTTATAAAAGCCAACACACACCAAATGATTAATGAGTTTTAATGGTGGAAAATGGAAGGTGATTAAGAAAAGAAAAAAAAAGAACTACAGGGACTTTCTAATGTCGAAGAGATAAGCAATAAAGAGAGCTTTAGAGGAGCTTCAGAGACGCATGATTATTTTTCTTTCAATTGTCCAACTCACCTTGATAGTATTGGCGTCCTATTGGGGAGAGATTCGAAAAAAATTGAAAGCGAAAATTAATGTCGTGAGAGAGGCGCAAAGAGGCAGCAAAGCCCGGAAAACTTTGTGTCTAAACGTCAAAGCCAGTCAACATGAACGTGACAAAGACAGAGCCAATGAAACTCACCTTCATTGATGCCAATGTCCATCAGCTGCAGATCCTCATCGTTGAGGATGGAATTGAGAAAGCCATCGGTTGTGGAATTGATCTCGGACGATGTGTTGGAGTAGTAGAGAATGTCAGGATCCATCTTGTAGCCAGACGCGCCGCCGTCCGTTTCCGTGCTGGAGTTCGTGAGATGCATACTTGACGCCACGGCGGAGCCTAGATTTGGCCCATAGTGCGGCTGTCCGGCGGCTCCCAAGTCCGACAGTGAGGCATTGTGCAGCACAGCCGGATGAGAGTGCGGATGTGTGAATTGACTGTGCTGAGGAATCGACGGTGCGGATGGCTGCAAGAGAGAGAGACACTTTGTCAGACAATCTCTGGCATGATAAGACTTGCACATCTCTGTGCTCACCTGATAAGAGTAGTGAGATGAGTAGTGTGGATGCGATGGGATGTCCCCAACGCCCATGCCCACTCCCATGCCCGGCGACAGGCTCAGCAAATTGGCCAAATCCTGCCAGCGCTGCTCCATCGACACGGCGCGGCTCAGCGGCACTCGCGGCTGCAGAAGAGAGAGAAAAAAAAAACCCTCATTATTCAAGCGTCTCACTCCACCCACACTCTGGATCCCTTTAATAAATGGTCACGCGAGTGGATTTCACGTCACATCACCATTTATTATTAACGCGATTCAGCCCCCGGACGAGGGCAAATGGGGTGGGATTTCGTGTTAAAAGAAAGCTCATTTGTCGCCTCGATGAGCGTGCGAAGAGAATTCCATGATGAGAACTTTTCCTGGCCTGATAAGGAGTCGAAGTTTTGCGTGAGCGCGATATCGAGCTTATTTGCAATTTTTCATGCATAAAACATGATGGTGAGCTTTTAAGAGATGGAATCTTTTAACACAGAAAGATCGCAAAGATTCAGATGAAAAAAATAATCGTCTTAAATCCGCCATTTTGAGTCAATTCGATCAATTCAACTTCTTTGAATTCCTTTTATGTGCTTTTATTCTTCAGTATTTCGTGTTTCTCAGAAATGCAGCACAAATTTATGATTAATTCTTACTTTCTTCAGCATAAAAGTGGCAAAATGTAGCTTTATGCAACACTTCTATGTTGTCTAGCCATTCGAGAGCAACTATTCTAAAAAGCACTCTTAACTTGAGGAAAAATTAAGCATTTTTCACAGTTTTACATAACATTATTCCCAATAAGTAATTTTCCCAATGAGTCCAAGGGCAGAAGACGTCTCTCTTCCCACTCATCCAACAAGCACTCATTTGGCAAGTCTCTGGGAATTTTGCACGTGAGGGCGAAGGAGCGTGGAAAAAATTACATACAATTTTCACGGCATTTCTGCCCAACTTCCCCCCGCTCAAGTTCCATTCCTCCCGCGCGCACTCAAAGCTCGCCTGCCGCGAATGGAAGATATATATGGAAAAAAAGGCATTCAATAAATTGCTACTTGTGGTCAATTTTGGCGAAGTCTCTCGCATTGCGCTGTGTCACACACAATTGACAATCAAACCAGCAAACATTAATAGAGTGCCTGTGAAATTAATGTGTGTTGTGGAGTAACAAAAGAAGTAACATCAAATGCACACACAACGCCGCGAGAACCGCCTTTTGCACGCAATCCACTGGACTTGGGCAGGCAGAGAGAAGAAAAAAAAACAACAAGCGCAATTGCTGAAGAGAGACACTAAATTATACACTTTATAAGGTTCAAATCTCAGGGAATTCTACAGAAGCTCACGATCGAGAATTTTCACGGAAAAGGGCGGGAAACTTTTTGCAATGAACATTCCCAAGTGTATTTGTTGTGCCTTTAGCACAGGAAGTTATCTCACCGTGCGCACATAAAGTGATGTTCACAACATCGTCAAATCACGATAGATTGACCTTGAAATACATACCTAAGAAAAAAAAGAAGGCAAAAAGCCACGCGCAATAGATTTTCTTTCACTTCTCAAACGCTTCAAACCAAAACCCAAATGAAGCTTTGTGCCAAAAAAGCTCCTCAATTGCGCGATGATCACTCTTCTTCTCTCTTAACGCCGATCTCTTTGCACGATAGAAAATGCTTATTCACCTTTTTGGCAACTGCAAGTTCAAATCCTTCGATCATTCAAGTTCAACAATCTTCAGCGTCACTTCTTTTTTTCAAGTAATTGCCATTTCACCACGTTTTTTCTTAAAATATTCACACTGAAAATGATGCCAAAACGAACTGAAATATCACAAGAGTTGTATCTTTACCGGTATTCACGTTGATACTGAACTAAACGAAGCATTAACATTAATAATCCCAGCTGTATTAACTACAACTCTCCGCTTCTCTCCAGCGCAATTCCACAACTGTTGTGACTATTTTTCAAGACCAAAAGTCGAGGCACGAAATTAATAACCGTAATTGATACTGTGGCCAATTGTATGCCATTTTTTTCCAACAATTGTCAACATGGATGCTGTGTAATTAAGGTAACTTCAAAGTACTATTATTGGCTCTTTAGCACATTCGCGAAGATGGGAAGCAAATTTACACTTGACGCATGCGAATATTGAAAAAAAAATATCCAACAGAAGTATCAATTTTTTCAAACGCTCTCATATTCTAGGCCTTATTAAAAACATACACACACAATTATATCAACTTGTTAAAGAATCTAACTTATAATTGCTCTTCATCATTCCAATTGTGAAGGTGTTGGCAATTAAAGATCGAGTATTTGAGTGAGGAAGGAAAAATGATGCAAATTATTGTCAATTAGTACAAGAAGAAAAAAAAATTCAATAATGAATATGCAAATTATATAATACCGCACATTTTACGTCACATAAAACACAAATTCTTTCCTTTCTTCCCAGAAGATAATCTCAAACATGCCATCGGGTTTACATTTCACTTCTAATCTCTCCACATACACATTTTGTACATTTGTAATTAACCCAAAATCTATCACTTTAATGATGGTTAAAAATTTTGCACAACTTCATGCTGAACAAAAGCCCCAATTGTTGGCCACTTTATCGATCTTTCCAATCCGTAAAAGAGAGGCGGAGGAAGAAGAAGAAAAAAACGCTAATACAAGATTTTAATTGGATTTTGCATTGAAATCTGATCTAAACACAAAAATTCCACCGGCAAAAAAAGTCTCAAGATCAGCATCAGGAGAAATTAAATGGGACTATTAGAAATGGTCTTTTGACCTCCGTCATCTCACGAGGTGGGAAGAGATTAAACTGGAAAGAGAGAATGCGAGAAAGTTCCGCTGAAGACGTAAAAAGGGATTTGAAAGAAAGTCAAACCATGCTTAATAGGATAAGAACAGGAGAATTTACAACCCCTCAAGTGACAAATTTCTGGTGGTTGAGAAGATCTCAATTTGTCCCTCTGACGCCCATTTAACTTGTGCGTACAATTTCTCCAACAAGAGGAAGTCAAACACTTTTGCTGCTAACCTGCAGAAGAGCTCAAGGAGGAAACTTAACATTTTTGTTGAATTGTGTATAAATCAGCTTATGCGATCCACTCTTTTACATACAAAATAACCACAAGACTCCTGTCACTCACTTGTACCACTTTTTCCCTACTTTTTCAACCCTCCCTCCCTCTCTCACCTCAGGTGATTCCTTGTTAAGCAAACACTCAAAGCGAAAAGGTATGCTGGCTCTTGACAATGTCTGAGAATTTTGGGAAATTATCCATGCCGATAAAATGTCTCAGCACAAATGTTAATGGTTCTTACAAAGTCTATTCTTCATCATGCTTCGAATCTGCATTGAGAGAAAAGTACTAAATGCTCCTCAGTGACTAATAATTTGTGCTAAATCAGCAATTTAAGCTCCAATTTTTGACTGTGCAACGGATTTCTCTGAGTGCACGAACAGCCAACTGACCCAAACTGTCTTGTCAATTGATTTCATCGCCAACGCTTCGCCACTCTGAGTGTTTTTCCTTTTAAAAACTCAAGTGTGTTTTTACAAGAACATATTTCATCAGGTATATAAATTCTTGGATTCCATCAAAATATCCCCACAGACAGACTGAATAAACACTGAAACACTGTTTCTCAGTCTGGCTGGGAAAGTGTGTCACACAGAAAAGGGATTTACAACTCACCTGATGATGATACGAGGACTGACGGAAGGAGTTGACTCCATGTCCGTAGCCCTGAACAGATCGCGGATGCTGAAAAGAGGCGCTGGAGCTTTGAATCATCATATCGCAGAGGAGTTCTTCTAATTCATTCGTATCGTCACTCTTAATTGCGTCCTCTGACAAGTCAAAGGAATTCTCCCTCGTCAGCGGCGACTTCACTTCGTCACCCAAATCTGAGCCAAAGCCATTCGATGATACGGAATCCAGTGGTTCGCGCTTGGGTTCGAAATCAAAAGCATCATCCTGGAAGAGCGGAAAAGCAGCGATCTTCAAGTGTCTTTCTCTCCAGGCGCCAATGTCTGCTGGGGACTTACCTTAAGGGCATCTTGTTCCGCTGAGAGATCGTCTAGCTGATGCAGAGCCTCCTGAAGCAGGGAGTCATCCAACTGAAGTGGGAGCTTCTGGATGTATTCACCTGGAAAAGCCAGACAACATGTTGGATTGAAGAGGTCTCTCTCGGTCTCTCAATTTGGAGCAGAATCATCAAAATCAAACATTTTTGCCTCTTAAGCATGACTCATGATGACTAATTACAATTTTCCCTCAAAAAAGGTTAAAGCCCAACTCGCTTCTCTTCTATCAAAATCTAAAATTACACCGTAATGTTGCAATTTTCTCTCTTTCACGCACACCCAAAAGAGACATATGTATATTCCCCCCGCTGAAAAGTGTAACACACACTGGTCATCATCCTCTTTACGGCCATCGTATGACCTCTTCTTCTCTCTTCACCTACAAATCAAATATTGTCTGTTAATATTTTCCCTCGCGCGTGCATTTCACCGTGTGTTGAATTTCCAAATATTTGCACAGGATTGCTTTTCTCTCTCACATCAAAAACTTTCTGAGGTCAATCGACGGGTTGAGCAAAGTTCAACGGTGTCAATCCAACTTGCGGGCGGGAAAAGCAATCAACTAAACAGTCAAACTCTCTTCTTCCCAGTCATATCATTAAATATTCATTGAGCACGAAATTCAATTTTCTCCACTCTTTTCCTCACACTATATATCGATTAGATAAAGAGACATTCTTCGGCGGGAAATCAAACTAAAAAAAACAGTAAAAAATTTGCCACCTCAACCTTGGTCACATTTTATCAAATTTTCTTCACTCATCAATTTGCACATTAGCGTGCTTTTTTGTTAATTCAATCGGCAAATCGCCAAAAAAAATAGTGAAATCAATTTGTGCTGATTGGCTATAAATTACTCTTTTATAATCGATTGTAAGTGAGAAAATTCTCATTATTAAAATAACATTCAAATCACAGAAATCTTCCCGTCGGTTGAAGAAATGAGTGACTTTTCTTCCCTTCTTTCCTTTTTTTCTCAACCCATCAAAGATTGTCTAGATAAAGTTTCGAAAAATGAATTTTTATTATTTCTTTTAAATGCCCTTTTTCGGAAATTTCATAAATCATAATTTTTAAGCCTCTTTCAGGCGACATTTTGCAAAGCGCAAAAGGTGCAACAAAAGGTCAAATCATTTTTCATAAATTCAGTGACATATTCCGTTTATGCGACGCAGAAGGACAAGCGAAGAAATCCTTTTTCTTTCTTTCTTTCTACCACCCAAAAATCACACAATTATTAATCATGTGTCATTGAAATTCTTGCCAAAAAGGAACTCACAGAATTTCTTCTTTGCCAAGCGACGCTTTTGTAATCCACACAGGATCAACTTATAATCCAGACAGCGCACAAGTTTTTCTTTAGTCCGTTCTTTTGCACACTCTCAAATAAACCACACTTTGCACACTTTTGTCAACTGATGTCCTGAAAAGTCCTTCGATCACGAGGATTTTTCACAAAGAATCACTCTCTTATTTCTTGCACAAAACTCTCAAAGACAGATCCACAGACTCTTTTTCACTCTCTAGAACTCTACTCGCAACTTTTGAGACTCCTGACTCTCTTCTATGGCTGAACTCAGTTGAGTGTTGCGCGTTCAAAGTGCCATGAAAAAGAGAGTCGAAGAGGCGAAACGTTGAACCAATAAAACAAGATGAAGCGATCCGTTGAGGCTTGAATTGAAGAGGCGTGGCCTCGAAAGTTTCTCGGATGTGTTTGATGTACATAAAGAGACGGGAAAAAAGAGAGGAGAACAACTCTGCAGCTTTATGTGGCACACATGGCGCGCAAAAGCACTAAGAATCAACCCATGGAAGAATGAGACGACATTATATATTCTGGATATTCTTTTGCCTCGAGAATTTTTCAATACAAGTATGTATATATAGAAGAAGAGCCGTTGAATATACTTCAACTCCCTCTCGCCCATCTTGTGTTTTGTAAATCATTAAAGAAGTTATGCTATATTCTTCATTTTTCTTCTTATACACCACTTTTTTCCACCAACGTCTGAGAGATTCTTCTGCTACACGAAGCGTCATAAATATTAAAATCATAGAGAAGAAGTTTTGAAGCGCGAGAGGTAGAAAAAAATCCTCACCTTCCCAACCATATCAATTGAAAACAATTTCAACACTTTGCATCCATTTAAATTTCTTATTTCCATCTCACCATTCGTCTTCATCTTCTCTGCTTCTTCTTCTTCTTTTTTTGCTCATTTCACAGCACGAAACACAAGAGGAGGAATTGGAAGCAGCGCGCGAATGAAGCGCTTGAAGATAGCAATTTGGTAATTAAAGTGGAATTTAAACAATAAGTCTAATAAATAACACACTGTGTGATGAGAAATCCAATTTCTTTTGCGTCCAATCAAAGCCCCAAAAAAAGGAGAGTCAAGATCCTCTTCTTTCTCGAAAATCCAATCAAATTTGTCCTCTCTCTCTGCTGGACTGATCAATATTATAGAGTAAAACCCTTGTGTTGAGAAACATGACCAAGATTATATCATCTCACTTGAACCCGGTCAAAATTCCCTTTTGCCACGGAGGTCCACAAGTATTCTGACGGTGGAGTGAGAGATTCCGATGACTTGTCCAAATTAATAAATCGACAGGTAGAGCGACAGATGAAGAGGTGAGACAAAACAAGATGACAAACAGAGCAACTTCTTCCGACACACCGGAAAAGCCCATCGCCAAAGAGATCGCATTTGGACAAAAGGTAAATAAACCATCAGAAATTTGCCTAAACATTATTTCCCAGAGTCACACTCATTCAGCCAATTTGGGAGTCATTCACCATCTCCTCATCAAAATCTCTCCACTCATTGCACACAAACACAAACTCAAACACAGAGAATTTCAACACCTGAAAACAACACACAACACAACTCTCTTTTTCAAACTATTAAACCTCATTTGGGTACGTTGAAAAATTTTTATTTGATATTTCGGTAGCTAGACAGACTCTAGACATCAATTGATGAAAAGTCATGCATCATGATTTAGCTTTATGACGTCAAGATGATGATATTGCATTATAATACGTACACTGACCACATTTTCTGGTGTTGTGCCGAAAATCTCTCTCGTAATGGTGACATAGTAAATTCTCATATATATACCACGCGCGCTTCCAGAATACCCCCGAAAACCAGCGCACATTTCACAAGACAAACCATTCCAGAGACTCTCGAGTCTCTCTCTTTCTCTGGTGATGGTCAAAAGTGAAGAGTCAATTCCAGGGATTTAAACAAGACACCACAAACCAATATTGCAAAAATCCCTCAAGCAAAACCGGAAGAGAATTTATCAAGATAAAGAAAAAATCATTCTCCAACAAAATTTATATGATGTTATCCCGCATTTCTAATATCTACAACTGTAAAAATTGTTAAATGTTCATGAAACTTTATCTCATGAGCACACATTTTTCTCTGGTAAAAGCTTTATCTTCAATCTATGGCAAAAACATATCATTTTTCCAGGCGAGAGAACGTGAAAATAGGACAAATATTGAACCGCGTGAGAAGATATAACATTCTTTATATCATTACATAGTAAGTAAAAAGCATCAAGCCAAAGATCACAATCTAATGAGATTTTCCTTCTATAGAAAATGATTTGCTTGTGTTGTTGTGAGAGTGAAGAAAGAAATGCCAATATAAGATTATATCGAGAAATTCATTTTATCCACTGGATTTTTCAATTAACCACATCTGTTTTCCATGCAATAATGCCGGAAAGAATTACCAAATTGAAACACTCCTTCTTCACACTTAAACATATAACAGCAAAAATCTCATGTGAGAATTTGTCATGAAATTTGTTATTCATAAACTCATACATTGAATTGACTTGTTAAAAATCCAAAAAATTCTTCTGTCAAATCGTCAATGCTTCATTGTTAGACATGTTTTTCGATTCGCCTCTTCTCGGGGAGAAAAAATAACATTTTCATCTCTTCGATTTCATACAAATGTCCATAATAAATGTTGGAAACTATTAATTTTCCACCAATTGTAGGGATGCGCGCGCCCTTCGTCTGCTCTCTATAACAATGCGGGTCACTGAAAATCGTGCGTGTTTGGAAATTTCCTCTCTCTCAATTCCATGATAAATTATTATTGGGAGGAAATTTAAAAAATGTATACAATTTATAATCCACACATAGTATATTGGGAACTTGAGAGCGCGAGAGAGCGAGAGAACATCGCAAGTCTTGAGGCCCTATTTACTTTATAAGCCTTGTGTGCACACACTTTATATATTTATCAATTCCCATGGTAATATTTTACCCTCTCTGACAATTTGATAAATGATGATCCAGTAATTCTCTATGGTATGGAAAAAATAATAATAGAATGGATGGAAAAAAACGAACCCACAAGAGGTGGAGTATAAAAGTTGAAATTCGATTAATAAAGCTCTTTCGCTCTCTTTCTCTTCACTCCTCAATCGTCGCGCACACATCCTATTGGCCAACTTTACAACCCAGGAAATTTCTCAGCCACTTTTTAACTCACACACAAGACACTTTCTTGCATTTTCCCCCTTTTCGCTTTTTATATCGATTCACTGGCGAATTAGAGACGCATTCGTCGATCAATTGAAGAATGTTTGTCAATAATTTGCAGTTAATTGCTTTAACTTCACTATCTCCCGCACATAAACATATGATGGAACATTTGCTGTTGGTTTTTCGACTGATAAATTCACACCACACATTTTCTATATAGGATTCAGTGTCTCTCTCACCCTCCTTTTCCCGGTTCGACGCAGCCCAAGAAGCGCAATTCGAATAAAATTACACCGTGCAACATAGCATACACAACAAAAGAAACACCATCCAAATCCGCCAAGTCATCCAAACCTCCTTCTTCGTCTTCCATCAATTTCAAAAGCATCCACAAGACTTCCCAGCCAGAGTCTCTTTCTCTCTTGCCAGCAATATAATAAATATCCTATCAAACATTGCCTTCTGTTGTATAAAATGTTGGAAAATTCACCAACAAATTCTCGCCTTTTCTGCATTTTTTTTCTCCTTTTGCAGTGAACCTTCATCACACAACAAGTCTCTGCTGACCATCTTCAAAAGACAGAGACTTCTCTTGTGCATCATCGGCCATCTTTGCTCATCATTCGTGGAAGATGCGCGCGGCATTTATTAAGCCACATAAGCAACATATGTTGCCCACCATCAAGTCGGAATGGTTCTTTGGTCAATTTTGATTCTCAACACGACTGTAATCTTTTTACCTCACATCCTCTCTCTCCCTCCCTCCCTTCCTCCTCATCCACTCCTCTTTTCATCTTTTCGACCATACAACACAGCCTGCAAGAAAAAACCGCCTGCCTCAAGATGTTCTCCGCGCGAGATCACCTTAAGAAAGAGATAATTTTATTCACGATGGAAGCTCAGCATTGCCAAAGCAGTGGCGGCGATTGTTGTAGCATTGAAAATTGAACTAAAAATTGTTCTAATCCTGATGAAAAATCGAGATTAGGAAAGAAACATTGATGTTTAAACAATCCTGTTTTTAGTTTACATTCTCTTATCTTATCAATGAAATGTGAATGCTTTCCAGAGTGTGTCTCCTGATCAGCAATAAAAATGCTTTCATAGTTCTTACATTGAACAGTACACAAAGATTCTCAGTATTAAATACAATTGAGTAATCACATTTATCAATTTCAAGCTTATTTCTTAAATCAAATAACAATTCAAATTCTGCAATTCCTACGCCGCTGAGCCGGAGAAGGGAAATGATCAAAAAGATGGGCCTATGAACTTTTTATCTCAACCTCTGTTTCTCATCAACCATATTCTTCTTCTCTCTCAAGCTTCGGTGAGAAAGTGTCTATCAACAATATGAATTTCTTTTATTCGCTCATTAGTGAGAATTTTTGGCCAATAGCTTTAATATTCCAACACACACACGCATTTGTATTTCTGTCTCCATCATAATCTTCATGGGAAGATTACAATGGCAGTAAATTAATTAGAAAATTCCTCCACTCCTGACATTCCGCCCAAGAAAACCTATCCAGTGTTGTGTATATCGATGGGCCAACCACTCTGGGGGGCTCCCCGGTCAGCACGGCTGGAGTCCCCCAATCCCGCGCGCAACTTCATGCTGGAGTCATTAATTAGAGTCATGTGTGTGTGCGGCGCATATGTTAATGCCGGGGAAACAAAATGGAATTCGTTTTGGAGCCAATTGAAAATGGACGCACACGAAAACTCCTACGCGATCCGTATTTGGCCATCGGATTTTCACATGAATTGTAAATTCCCTTTAACGAGTACCGCGCCAGAGACATAAATAAAAGTCCCCATGAAGTAACAATTAATCTTCCAGTCCAATGTTCATGAGTTCAATTTCATATTCACAGCATGAGCACTTTTTTAAAAGATATTTCTGGTTCTCTCTCTCAAGAATAATTCCATCAATTTCAATACAGGAATCAATGCAGGGATTTTTCCCTTATGAAGAGGCACCAAACTAACGGCTCAATTTTCTTCCAAATGCCCTTTTTCTCTATCTCTCTTCCCTGGACTTCTCTCCTCTGCCATTCCATCTCCGCCTCACATGCCGCTGAGCCCCCAGAAACGCAACATTGTTGTCGGGCGGACAGAGAGTGGTGGTGAATAATTCTTGAAAAATAGAAATAGGCCCTATTCATTTCCCAACAAACAGTTGAGGAGCCGAAGAGAGTACACAAGTTGGCCGTATATGCGCATGATTTTGGAAGTGCAAGTAATGTTTCGTTCATTTTTCATTCTCTGGTGGATGGCGGCGTTATTTCGGAATAATCTAAGCACGATATATCCCGCATTCACCATCTCTCCTAAATACATAAAATCCACTGCTGCCTTTCGTATACCGGGGAGAAAATTCCACGCACAGAGAAGTGAGATGGGAAGCATAGAGAAATTTCCACCAGGCATTATATGTTATTATGTTTGTGTGTGTGTGTGTGTTGTTGGAATTGAAATGAAGAACACGAGGAGCGTGATGGTGAGGAGAGAAAGAGGTCTACACACAATCCACTTTGGGAAATGGAAAAACTCCTCATGTGGCTTTTGTTAAGGAACTTTCTTACATCACACAACCCAAGAGAAGAGAAGGGAAGTTATATTCCCTTCCTTTTGCCTGAAGACGCGTCGCTTCCCAACAAAATCAATAATATTATATCCTTCCCACCATTTCTTCTCACCACCATCAGAAGAATCACATTTGGATTCTTCTGAGGCCCAGAAAAGCACGCACACATTTCGTATCCCCTTCAAAACCCAGAGAGATTACAAACTTCCCTCCAAAGCCCAAAGAGAGAGAAAAAGGACAATTTTCTTCCGCATCACACAAGGACACAATGATATCGCGAAAAACAAACCGACAAAAACTCACCTGTTTCAGCATCAATTGGCAAATTAGGCCAATCATGATCGAATTCCTCGTCCTTCTCCGTGTTCTGGGACTGACAAAGAGAGAAGAAAAGCAATTGTAAATTCCATCAAATAAGGAAAAGTCTCAAGAAATCACTAATAGTTACTTTCTCATTCTTCAACTCAAGCAGCGCATTGAGTTTCTCAGCATCATCCTCGGCACTGTGAGTCTCTTCCTTCTTCAAGGAGGTCGAAGGAGGCGCCAATGAGAAGCCCAGATCAACATCTTGCTTCCACAGAACCTCAATCAATTCGCTTTCCTGCAAGGAACATTGGAAGAAAAAGCAAAGGATTAGAGAAAATACATTGCAATAATCATATCTGAAGAATTCTTCTGCCAAGGAGAATCGCGCGCGCCTTTCAATTTCGTCCTCATCATCGTGAGAAACTTGGTCACTTTATCTACAAATCCACATCGCCAGGCATTTCGCCATTTCTTTCCCCAAAAATCCAAACCCGTAAACCCATCAATTAGTGAATTGTAATCCGTGTTTTGTGCGCATTAGGTCTATTTGGTAAAAAAGTGTGGCCCATTGTTGGCCATTTCAGCAATCTCTTTCAGGCCATTCTTCGGCTGTTGCCGCCAATGTCCAAACACACGACACACCATCAGAGGAGAGACTCTTTAACTGTTGAGAGAGTGAGAAAAAGTCCCACATCTAATCAATGGCACAATTCCTCAATTTTTGCTAAAAGTATTGACCTTCGATGATGACCAAAAAGCAGATTAAACCACTCGGAAAGCCTCGATCTCGGGCCTCTTGAAGCGTACAGAGAGCAAGACGCACACACAGCAAAGACGGCATGCCGAAAAAGAGATTGAGAGAAGTTGATAGATCGGCAGTTTTTTGTGATTATCAAAATTTGTCAGGTGAAACAAAAAAAAAATGAACACAAGATGCCCAAGAGAAGTGACTCAAGTACGCAAAGAGGCATCGAAAATAGTGGAGATGGAGTTTGAAGAGAGTGAAGAGATGAAAAAGCCACACCGCCAGACGTATAATCTTCCAATATCGTCTCAATTCTTGTAATGTAATCTCATTAATTTTATTGCATAGTGTCGAGAACATATTGTTGAGCATTCCAACCAAAATTTCATCCATTATTTCCCATCGCAATCTTCGTAAATTGTGGTTCTTTTGCCTCCTCTTCAAATTAAAAATTCATGCAATTTTCATATATAAATCCCAACCGTTAAAGTGGGTATAGAAAATCAAATCACGTTTCTATTGAAATAAACCCCATGGCAAGAAAGAACAAAGAATGAGGAATTCTGACGTATGAAATTTAATTATGTGATTTTCCACGAATTTATCCAACACACAGTTTTGCTGGTAGAGAAAAAAAAGACCAAGAGATTTTCCTTTATTCCTACACAATTTCCTCTATACATTCGCTATTGTCTTTTCGCCATCCCCGGGAAAGGGAAAAACTCCGCCTTTTTCCAGGCAAAAACACACACATATGAACAATGCCTTAAATCGTGGCGTCTTCCTTTCTATTTGCCATCACATTAGCGTGAAAATGCGCAGAAGCTTGAGAAAAGCTTCTTATTTTTCAAAGAAAAAATTGCCAAAAATGCATTTTCCGTTGCACTTTAAATCGCCACTGACAGATAAAATCTTGTCAAATTTGACATTCGCCTGTCACGGGAGTTTTTCATTTGATTTTCCATCAATTCCCAACCGAGAGACATCAACAAAATGAATTCTTTGCAGTGTATTAAATGGAGTCCAAAGTCATCGATCACTTAAGCTCCGCCTTCCAGAGATTCTCTCACTCTTTCCATCACTCATCTCACTCTCTTATATACTTTGCCGGCTTCTTTTTGTTGTTCGTCGCGTACAGTGAGAAAGAGATGGTGGAATATTGTGGCAACTGGAAAACGTCTGCGCAAAAGAGAGCAACAGAAGTTCAATTGGAATTTCAGGAGGGGATAATTTCTACATAGCCACAAAATTGTGAGAAAGAGATGCGAAATGCGAATTGGTCAGAGGTTATCTATGGTCACTTTTCGCGCCATAATTCGCTATGTAAGAACACCCAGTCGAAGAACCGTCTCTTCGCCGTCCAGCCAACAAGAATGTCATTGATAAAGATCATCCAGACTTGGAGGGGAATAATTAATAATTACAGATTATCTGATATTTAAACATCTTTCAGTTCGGGATACAATCTCTTGATTGATCAGCGCACTCAATGGGATATTAATAGTTCCCAAATGGACAACGAGAGGAATATCAAAACCACAAATTTCTGCCGCACGCCTCAAAAGAATCAAAAAAATCTCGAGAGAGAGAAGATTAATGCGAAGAAAGACTTTCTTTTATGCCTCAAATCCACTGGGGGTCCATTATTTTTCGCTTAAACATCCATTTTACAGAGACACCGACAATTGATTTCTTCTAACTTTGTCTGCACACCCTTTTTTCACTCCCACCGCGCGCCACAAGTGAAGGAGAATCTTATCGACATTCATTAATTACTCTAACATTTCATCGAGACAAATTCAGACACGCATTAGTTCAAAACTCTTTGTCAATTTGATGGACCACCGGAGGATCATTAAAAGTCACCTTTTCTCCTATCTTTTCTTCTCTCTTCTGTGTTTACCTGTTTTGATGTTTTGACGTGTGCGTCTGTGATGCAAAACTGACACACTATTCATTTGTCACCTTGTCAAATCCATCAAATGTATAATAATCGAAAAGATAGGGCGTTTATTAATGATTTCTGAGCATCTTTTCCTCCTTCTTTCTTTACTCTGTGAAATATTCGTGTGAAATTCTTCAAAATCACAGACACACAAACTCCTAAAAGTTATGCCATAACGCAGCTGAGACACAGTGAAAAGCACATGCACAACATGTTATTTTATGGCACAGTTCCACAGCTGAGACACAATTGCGGTGCTTCTGATGCCGCCAAAAATAAACTCTTACGAAATAAAGAGTCAATGAATTTCCCTGAGAACGAAGATGTTTACAAAAATACCAATGAGTCTAATAGTTCTGCCACTTTTTGTTTGTCAACATCACGCAATTGTGATCTATTTCGCCTTATCTTCAACTTCTCACGCCAGACAACTTTCAAGTGCCTTCACCTTTGGTGTCCGCTTTTTTTTTTTTACTTTTCAGAGCGCAAGAGAGAAAAGAAAATTGAGGCGTCCAAATTTTCACATTGCAGCCGAAATCGTTATTCTTGGATTGCTTGCGATGAAAATGATTGCAAACAGACGCGCAATGTTGAAAGTCAAAAAGTCTTTATCCTCTCTCGTGAGCGCCTTTGTGACCAATATAGAATGATTTTCCAACTTTGTTCTACCTACACCATTCAATTTTTCAGTTCAAGGCAATCTTGGTGTCTCACTACAATTTTCTCTGGCCATATTTTCACTCTCATCCTGACCAGTTGCTCGTTTCCCTCCTTCTTCTCCCCAATCTTAATCCCATTCCATTGCGTCGCGCGCGCAATCGTGTGCAAAATAGACGTAAAAAGACAACAAGAAAGAGTTCAAACTGGGTCAAGTTGAAAACGTGCTTCATCCCTCCCCACCCACCCGTCGCAGAGCCACTAGCAAATGCCTGTGTACAATTTATTACATTTGACGCTCACATATCAAATGCACACACAACGCGCGACTTCTGCTCCTCACTATAAATGGTCTGGCCACTCAAATGCGACCGAGAAAGGTGAAATATTGCACTCAGTGCGCGCCTCCTGTCACGCTGGCTGCCTTGCGGCGGCTGAGCAAAGTGGCCGGGAAAGCGAAAAGACAGACTCAAGAAAAATACCAGGAAAACAAGAAAGACACAAGCGCACTTCTATGTAAATTGATAACAACAATATTTATCATGCAATTCTGCTAAAAAGATTCCAAATCAGTCAGCTGAAGTGAATCAAAAACAACCGGAGTTTTATGACAAAAAGTTTCTTTAATTCAATCATATAAATGAGTCGTTGCAACTTTACAGAATTCGTATTTCAATTCATAAAAAGTTAGGAATTTGCCATGAAACTCTACGCTTTATTGACGGTTGACAGTGTGAAGTTTGAAATGACAATGTTTGAATTGTTTGAAGTTTCGCAGAAAATAAATTCCTCACTTTCGTAATTTCATAATTTTGACACTTGCTTTGACAGCATATCAAAAAAAAATTGATTGAATTAAAATAGCAATGATTCCAAAGTAAATCTTTCCAATCTCTGACTAAATGAAGACAAATAATAATTAATACTTTGACAGTTTATAAAAAAATGAAAGGGAATTAATGTTGCAACGCCCCCAAAATTAAATAAATTTAGTGCAACACTTTTTAAGACAAAAACAATTAAATAAATCCGCCGCTGAGAATTTCCTCAGCTCACAATTCAATCGCGAAAACTCTCAAGAATGCTCGAGAATTTGATTCAATATCAATTCCAAAACAAGTCATTGAAAGACTCACCATGAAAACATAAAAATGACCATCTCAGATGGTTTAATTAAGTCTTCATAGAAAATTTGAAACATTTCTCTCTCATTGCCAACCACAATAAATCGAGTGTGATCCAGTTTTTCATCATCAAGACACTCGCGCGCGCACGAGACTCTCGAGCGCCTCTTTCGCACTCTCGTCTCAACTATTAAATTAAATTTAATGAGCTCCTAATAGCCACACAAACTATTAATCAATGAAATAAGAGAGATTGCACAGAGAGACGAGACGTGCTTTTAAAACCCCACATTAAAGCTCCTCTCGTCGTCACTCTTTAGCGCGCGCACACACTTAATCAACAAAAACCCCAATGAAAGACCGCGCGAAGCCACTATAATTCATCATAAAACTTGCATTGATTAGTAATTTATACACCAGCGGCAGTGATAATGCTGTGAAGGGCAACAAAATGAATGCATGATAAGGAATCATAGTGAGTAATTTGCTTTCTCTGCGCAATAACCAATTGCAATTACATCGAATTATCTCTCTCCCTCATGATATAATCGACAGTCAATTACAACTTCAGCTGATTTTCAGCAATTTTTTTTGTCTACAATCGAAAAGAAAAATTCTGTCTTGAGACCTTTTCACACCCCCAAAGAGCCCCCGGAAAAAAGAGTCAAACGTCGTTTTATTTAGTGCTTTTTCTCTCCACACGGAAATGTTGAAAAAAGTGTTCTTCTAGGAAATTTAGTGGTATATAATAAATAATCAATTTCTCCGCTGAGGCACACGAAAAGTGGGCAAAAAGAAACGCTACGTGCTCACATTTTCTACCCATTCCCACTTTTGTTGGTTTGTAAGTCAATTCTCAATATGGCCAGAGAGTTCATCATACTTCTGAGCCAATTTAATACATACTTTTCTTGCCCATACAAGTCGCGATTCTCTGACTCTCTGAGATTTGCTGTGTGTGCGCCAGAAAGAGAGCGAAAGAGATGCCCAAAAATGAGTGACCGAGAAGTGAAATCACGCCGAAAAACTAAAGAAAAGAGACGCAAGAAAAGATGTTTCGTGGTCAAAAATTATCACATTTTAACTCATTATATTTTCACCAGAAACGCATCTTTTCTGTCTTCTTCACTTCATTGTTCTTCTTATTCGTCATCGCATTTTTAACAGCCCCGAAAAACCTTTTAATGGATTTGCCTCAGAAGCATCACGTTGTAATGACATCTCTTTTATAGACACAAACACACTCAGATACTCTATTCTTTCTCGAATTATAAAGCAAAACAGTGTCGCATCAAAAAAATAAGACACACACAAACCACATGAAAAGCAGTGGTAAATAAATTTCTTTTCAACTTATTTCGCAATTAGTTCCTCAACGACGTGTTTATGCTTTGCATTAACTTTTATACACTTTTCTATGTGTCTCTCTTCACATCCTCTTCTAATTGGACAGATTTTGAGCCCATCATTTAGGTCGAATACCAAAGCAAATGTGTTAAGGAATTTGAGAAATTTTCGGAAAAGCCAATCAAAACACACAAACTCGAAAATTGGCACGGAAATTGAAAGTTTCCTGACATATTTCCATTAGAAATCCCTTCTTCAATGACAATAAAATCTCTCTTTTCGCCACACAAAAGTTTTCCAGGGTGGATAAATTTAGCAAAAATATCGCACTGTTAAAATTAGACAGTCAGACAAAAGAAACAACTAAACATCAAAAGAAGAGGTCGCGGAGTATTTATAGATTGAACTTGGATTTTTCAGCTCAAGACCTTCAAAAAACCGATCAGCAGACTTTCTCTGCTGACCAATTTCTGGCCAAAAATACCTCGCAAAATTACAAAGACTCGTCTTATAGAGACAAAGCCTCTAAACAACAAGAATCTTTGTGCGATCGTGAAAATGTTGCGCCAATCTTATCGCAACACCCACAATTTCTGCCTGGTTCTTGACCCATTGTCTAGATTGTCTAAGCCAGAAACACGGTAAACAAGGTGGAGAGCGCGCTATTTATTATTAGCTGGGATTTCAGCACTCTTCTGTGTTCGCATCATGAATTCATTGTCGCGAAATATATTTACTAAGAATAGGAGAAGACTAAATTTTCTGCGAAACTATTTGTAATAATTTAATTGGTTGAGATAAACAAAGCTGTTAAGCAACAAATAAGAAATAAACAGGATTTTCCCACTGTTCTAACACGAATTTCACCACTTTTCTCATACGAATTGCAGAAATCTTGTCAGAATTCTCTCCCTAAAATCCCATTGACACACAAGCTAAGACAAATCGCGAGCTTATCAGCACATTTTTCGCCACAAGTGGCAACAAAAGGTGAAAACATTTCGTCGTTTCAGCAGTTGTGAAATTAGTTCGCGGTGTTTTGAAGAATATTATTGAGGACAATGGCGCAGGAAGTTGCTGATGAATTTAGGAGGAGTCGCGAACACTCTGTGTGGGCATTGGCTTCGAGAAGCTTCTCTCTCTCAGCCGCGCTTACCTCTGGCGTGAGCACAACAGACGACGATGACTCACAATCGTCGCTATCAGCTTTGACTGTTGCATCAGCGCTGAGCGCGGCGACGGGCGACTCGGGCCGCTCCGGAGGCTCCGTCTTCACCGTCACGCGTCCGCCGGCGTCGCCGTAGAACTCCTCCCACTCGATCAGCTCCTCGACGGCGGGCGACTCGGGCATGCCGTAGTTGGAGGCGCCGTTGAGCGCCAGGTCGTCGATGGCGGGCGCCTCGGGCGGCATGAGCGAGTCCAGCAGGAGTTCATCCTTGGCCGGCAGGCCGAGATAGGGATACACGGAGGCGATGCTCTCGCCGAAGTCCGTGAGATCGGCCAGGTTCTCGTCGAAGATGCTGGCGGAGTCGGCGAAGGGCGCGGCATTGAGGAAGAGCTCCTCCAGTTCGGCACTGGCCGCCGCCGGACTCTCCTCACCTGACGCAGTCCGTTGACCCGCCGTAGCGTTGGCCGCGTCTGACGCGCTCGCCGAGGCGGAGCCCGTGAAGTTGTGATCTTGATGGACGGAGTTGAGCAGGTAGGCAGTCACGTCGTTGGAATTGTGGTTGAAGCGCACGAGGTCCTCAATCAGCGGTATCACAGCCTTCCGGTTCGAGTAGTGGCTGATGTCCGTGAGCGGCGTGGCGGCGCGCAGCTCCAGCTGCCAGCCGTCGCCGTCCTGGAGCGCCAGCTGCGACTCCCAGCCATAGCCAAGGTAGCTGGATGGGTCCACGCGCAGCAGCGACAGCACCAGCGCCACGCGGAGCAGCTGATCCGCGTGCACCTTCTTCAGCGAGATCATTGTCTCTCCCCAACACAGAGAGTCTCTTGTTTCCTTTACAAAAGTATCAAAACACACAGTCTCACAGCTTCATAAACTAAATGCGCCCTCCTTTGTCAAGCGTCCTCCGAAGCACGCACACTGAATTTGGGCAACGCAGGTGAGGAGCGCGCCCCAAATCTCATCACCGGAGCCTTCGGTGCTCCATTCTCCACCAAATTACCCCCAAATTAGCCACTGATTCTCAGTCTTTCAGCCTCCACTCAACTCAACCACATCATCTGTCCTCACCGCGAAATTCCACCTTGCTTTTTGCACACCAGTCAACTCGTGGGGGCCACTGTCTCACTCCCGGACCTCAGAAAAACATGATGACTGTCAAAAAACCCTAACCTCCAAGTCACTTTTCCTGCAATTTTCACTGCTTTTCCACACTGAGCGACACGTCTCAGTCGCGAAATCCACTGGGGACACGTTCACCTCTGCTGTGTGACCGCACAAAGTGGCATCGACAGATTATCACTTGAAGAATATGAATAAAACACTGCGGGAATCTATTCCGAAACTCTTTCTTCTTGCCATCATCTCTCACTCACACACACGCATTGCATCACGCACGCTTTCGTCACCGCGCGGGTTGCCACACGTCAACCCAGGCGGACACGTTCACCCTCGCGGCTCAGCACGAGTAGCGCCACGCGAAGGGAAAACGTCAGTGCTTTCAGCGAAAGAAACGATAAAATACAATGAATCGCTGCAAAATTGAGAATTCTTGCTCACAGCGCAATTTTGTATGATAATGCAAGAGATTTAACGCACAATTTCTATAATAAATTGATAGAGGTTTAAGTAGAAAATCCCTTCAAATGCACCACGTCTTGGCGCGGATTCCTGGCGATTTGCCGCGCGCGCGAAATCAATTTCAATGGCAAAGTAAAGACGCTGAAGACACTCACCTCAGAAATGCGTCGACATCCAGTGTAGGAAGCATTGGACAGTGCATTCGGAGACAAAGGCTCCAATCTGGGTAGATCTTCTAGCATTTTCTTCTTTTTTATAATCCTGCAAACAACACAGATTTCCATCAATTTTCCCACCTCATATCTCTCGCGCAGCATTTGCTTAAGGCTCTTGTATTTTGTCAAACAACAAAAGCGTGTTACACTCTAATCGCCATACACTGATAAAGATTCATCAGCTCTCCGCGCGCGCAAAATTGCCGCCGAGGGAACAAAAAGTTATCTCTCGTCGTGAGCACAGAAAACAGAGGAGAAAATTGTGATAAGATCACTGCGAAGAAAAGAAAATCCTCTTCTGATCGCGAGAACTCTCAAAGATATTTCTTGCGCATGTGAGTGTGAATTTACTCACGGGCGGTGGTGGTGAAAAAAAGCTCCCAGAGTCAAAATGGGCAGAGAAAAAAGTCATCATCTCACTCGAAGACAATTCACTTTGGACACAAATAACGCGAGATTTTTTCATCGTCATCATCAGTGCTCAACTAACAAAACTTCCAGCGTCAATATCAAGGTCAAATGACGATCTTCGAACATGTATTTTTTCACCGAAACACGTGTTGAACAGGCAAAAAAGACCTCAGCATGATTTCAAGTTTCAATCACATTGCGTGAAAGAATTGTTCTTGGAAAATTACGTACTTGAGATTCATGTAATTGCAGAAAATTCACAAATAATGGTTCGTCCTGAAGAAATTATATTTCAGTGAAATATTTCCACTGAAAGCAATGAAATTTATAATCAATTCGTTATGCAAAAACTCCTGGTAAACAACTCAATAACATACTGTTTTTCGACCTAAAACGCCTTTCTAATCTTGTCTAGAATTCTAGAAGGACTCATTCGACTTCCTGACCAGTTGAATTTTGCCGCAAAATCTGTCCAATTACACCCGCTGAGTCGTTACACAATAATTCTCTTCACGCTCAGTACGCATCGAGTGTAAAAAAAACCATTTGGCTATTGATTTTTTTCTGTCAGCTCACAAATCCGGCAAAAGTGAATTGTTTATTCAGTAATTCACATCTTCTGTGTGCGAAATCCTTTTTGGCGGGAAGTCTCCTTAGCCACAATATGCCGAGGACACGACGGCGCAAGAGCAGCACAATTGTTGTGAAATTCCTCGCAAGAACGCGCGGAGAATTCGCGCGCGGACTTTTTTCAACTTATGGTATTGTATTTGTACAAACAGAGAGAGAGACACTCTCACAGGCCAAATAATTTATAATGAATGATAATTAATGAGACGGACATGTTGAATGACTTCACAATTCTCTAGTATCGAAGACTCGAAGGGGTTGGAAAATGTCATTTTCTAACTTGCAGCGCTGTGATTTTGGCGCTGCGCCGCGATGCTGCACAAGAGATGCACCAACTTTACGTACCAAGAAATCACACACAGTCGTCGGATCGATGGGAAAATCCAGCCACGGCGGAAAATCAACTCACTGGCAACACGGTGTCACAACAAGTACCAAAGAGGGCCCCACTGAGAAGCGCCAGCAGCTTTCCTGCCACTGTGTGTGTGTCGCCTATCGCGCGCTCAGTTACGAAATTGATATGAAAATGATAACAAAACGCCACGCACAAACACACGCGCGCCGCCGCCAGTCCATTGTGGCCCCACAGGCGTGTTTGTGTTCTTGGTGGGGGCAACTCTGGGTGCTTTCGTGGTGTGAAAAAGGAGTAAATATGCAGCGATCGCCACTCTGGGACGGAAACTATGAGAAGAATATTGACTATTGTACAGAATAATATTTCCCCCTTGGCGCCGCCACTCAAGAAATCTGACGTAATGCCGCGTGTTTGAACGCACACACACGCAGAACAGCAAGTACAAAATGTGTTTTTTTCTTTACTGATATAGCCAAAAAAGCATAAATTTCTTATTCTTCTTCTCTGTGTGGCTTTTTTCTTTGATAGGATGAATGAGAGAGACTAATAAAGCAATAAATTCACAGCTCTTTCCTAGTTATTTCTTTTCCTTAATGTGTGTTATTACAAGAGACTTTTGCGCTTAAGAATACATCCTTTAGAATGATCTCTGAGGTTTTAATGATTTCCCATCTTCTGTGTGAGTTAAAAAAAAACAAACAAAATAGTAAATCAACGTGAAATTAATGTTACAATCGCGATCTTTATCAAGGAGACTTTTACAATTATTATTATATACCGAAGGAAAAGCCAGCTGTTTCTTTTTTCTGGTTTGTCACTATACAGAGATTGTTTGTGGAAATTTCTTACGATTATACAAGTTTCTTTTCCCTTTTACAAGATTCTTTCACTACATTTTTTTCTGGAAAAAATAATATATATCTCTTCTGTTTCTCTTTTTTCCTAAATATCGTTCTTCAATTAGAGCTAAATATTTTTCTCTAGCTTCACTTTATCATCTTATTTTTACACATATTTTCACACAAAAGTCCTCATCAAAAATGTCTTTTTTTCCAAGATTTTTTTTTATCATTTTTGTCACTTGTTCAAAATAGGTTTATATAGAAAAATGTTAATTGTGCATTAGTTGATTTTACATCGCCCGCGAAAATTCTCTTACCTTTTCTTCTTTTCTCTTCTCAAAAACCCCTTTCAAGCTATTCTCTTCTCATGCTTTCGCACCCTTTATACACGCACACGCACACACTCACCCACTATCTAGCTATGTTAGGACAGAAATGATTTTTTTTTGGTAAAATTACGTTAAAGTTGCTCCACGCCATTTTTGGAATAGGCTGTCGCTGTGGACATTCAGGAATGATATTATTGCGCGTGCTCGAAGGCCTCGAGCCAGGAGGACAGTTCACGTTGTGATCGACTCACCCACTCGACGTTCGTGGCCACGCTGCGCAGCGTCATGTTGAGGACTCTCATGCCAGGACCGTAGCCGAATCTCTCCACCAGAGACTTCAGCTGAGCCGAAAGGAAGAAAAAATGTCAAAACAACACTCCCAAATTTACTCTGAAAAATTCCTTTTCTCACCTCTTCATAGTCAAACTTCGTGGCGCCGAATTGCGTGATCGCCGTGATTACTTGGGCGAACTGTTCACTGCCGGCGCCCAATTTGGCCTGCAAATCATTCCACTTGGCCTGCAGGAAGCGACACGCCATGGCACCGCCAGTCGGCGTGCCGGCGATCACCTGCAGGACCTGCACGAGCTCAGCCGACGGCAGCGTGATCACTTGCGACAGCAGACGATTCTGGAGCCTGTGGGAAAGTAGAAGAGGGGGAAAATCAATCAATTCAACCCACAATCACACGTCAAAGAACCGCCTTCAACTTGAGAAATCAATTGTGCGCTCTAATTGTGAGTCACAGAAGGAATTTTTAAAATAAAAATAATCTTATCTCCCATAACAACGCACTGTGTAACACATCAGAGATAGCCAGACATTTGTTGGTCTTTCCCCATAAAAGGAGAGGATTTATTGTGATGCTTTTTATCTTTCATATTTTATAAACCAATTGAGAAGACATTGAAGAGACTGAATTACATTATTAATAAGCGTTCAAAAAACAGGCAGAATGCAGAGATAAATGCTTGATATCTTCTTGATTCGAGCCAGAAGCAAAACTCTCTTATCTTTCTTCATTGGCGTAGGCAAAGAAGGGGCGAATGGAGTCAATTGGCCACCATAATACCTTTTAATATCATTTACGAAAAGAATAAATTGAGAAAGAGGAGAAATTAAGGACTAAACTGCCTAAGTTTGCTGAAATTTGGACCTTTACCCAAATTATCTCTCTCTTAATCTGAATTTAATCAATAGAAACGGAATAAAAAGTCAAGAAACACAAATGGTTTCCTCAATTTCTTATCAAAGTGTCCTTTTTCACTCACCAGGCATCTTTGGTCTCCCCAAGCGCCCGCAGCAGCTCCATTCTCTCTTCGTCACCCTCATTCTGGCTCAGGAGAACATTGAAGCGATCCCAGCAATATTGCCAGTACTGAAATTCCCCGGACAGGACGGCTCCAGTGTAGATGACTTCCCTCAGATTAGACGGAATTTCCGTTCCATTGGTCAGATACAAGTGCAGAATCTGCTTCGATTGCTTTATGGCGTCCATATCCTCCCACAGAACTGACGCCTGAAGCACTTCAGGCCTCAAGAGTCTGGGAAACAAAGCCACACTCATCAGCATTATTCACCACACACACTCTCTGACATAAATTGCTTACTTTGCAGAATCTGTGCCGTTGTTCTTCCACCCCAAGCCAGCGATGGAGCGCGTGAGAATGCCTCTGACGAACTCCGCCAGCAAGAAGAAGCACTCAGAGTACTTGAGGATCTTCCGCCACTGCTCCAGATGCTTCAGGCCGGTGGTGAGTGGGCCCCAATTGGCCTCCTTCGGCAAGTATGTGATGAGATTCATCGTGATTGTGCAGGGCATCAGACTCGCGTGGCACAGCGTGAATACATCAGACACGAGGCCAATTCTGTCGTTCGCCGTGAAAGCTCTGTGATTCTTCTTCAGCTCATCTATCAAATTATTCCAATTCTGGTCCGCATAGAGAACCCTGTAGTATCCGTTCTGGCCAGTGTTCAGCTTGATCCACGTGACGCTGGGATCCAGATGGATTTCGGCTGTGGAAAGAGTCAGAAATTAATCACTGAATCACCTTAGAAAATCCTCAAGATTAAAGCTACTCACTCTGATTCGAGTGCAGCCAGACTGTTTGTGGGCAGGTTTTGTTGAGATTCGTGACGAAACTCACGGGGAAGATCCATTGGGAGATGATTCTCTTGGCATTCACGGGTGCTGGTGTGGTTGTGGTCGTTGTGGTGCTGGACAGATTGTGCGGCAGCAGTGATTCATCGGTGATGGCGTGGAATTCGGCGGGCGCGAAGGGCATTTGGGAGATTGTGAAGTTTCCACCCTCAATCGGACCGACAGTCACCAGCGGAAATCCCGAGTGGGACGTCCACAGATGCATCATCTCCTTGATGTTCTTCGTGTTGTTCATCTGCTTCCCACACATTGTCCACAACTCAGTCGGTTCGGCCGTCTGGAATCTGTGCGCGTGCAGAAATCCGCCCAGACACAGCCTGAAGTTGTTCTCCTCGAGCGCATAATGCAGCATGGCGAGAATCGCGGCTGACTTGTCCACATAGAAGTCCTCATTGTTCCCATCATCGCGACTGCCGTCGAGAACACTCGCCCAGCCCTCAATGGCGTCCACATCCAGAGACTTCATGGTCGTCTCCATGAGATGCATCTCGTCCAGCGGCCACTGCGGCTGCAATTGGCACAGCACCGATCGTCCCAAGTACTTGATCAGTCCCTGCCACAGCCAGTTGTGCTTCCACACCTGTGGCGACGTCACGCCGCCGAAGAACTGCTTGATGATGGCCTCGGCCACTTTGAGTGTCGCCAGGTGATACTCCTTGGTCTGCAGCGAGTCAAAGTCATGCAGAAAGGACGATCGGATCGTGATAAGGCCAAGACTGCTCATGATGTCCTCCTCGAGTGAGGGAAGAGCGACAAAGTCTACAAAGAAAACAACACAGATTAGCCCGCAATTTGGCGAGGAAATTGCCTTTGAAACTCACCCAATTTGGTCAGCGGATAAGGCGTTCCCAGCCACGTTTGCAGATACTCCAGCACGTCGCGCGACGTGTGCAGCAGGAAGTCACTCTTCTCCAGCAGGTCCTTGGCGGCGTAGAAGGTGTACGTGGGCGCCGTGACGATCTCTCCCGTGTCACTGATCGTGCCGTTCTCCGTGCTGTTGCGGTGCTCCGCTTCCGGCGGTGGCGTCTTCGTCCTGTTGATGGGCGGCAGGATGTGGAGGGACTTGATGAGGATGGACTTGCTCTTGATAGGCCTCTTGTCAGTCCTGAGATCCGCCGGCCGGCTCGTGGTGGCCACCGTGGCCGGCGTCGTGCGCACCGTTTGATATGTTGCAGACGCCTCGAGAGTGCTGCGATGGAAATCGCTCACGACCCACGACACGGCGTCAGGCGGCAGGGGCGGCGTCTCGAAAAAGTCATCGCGCAGCAGCCCAGTGCCCATGTAGAAGCCCACGTCGTCCGTGGCATGGACAATGGAGTTGGACAGGCCGATGTGGAAGCGATCGCGGAACACGGAGATGCGAAAAGGCGCCCGCAAGTGCGCCTCGTCGAAGCAGGGAAACGCCTTCCGGGCGCCGCCGGACTTGAACACCGTGGCCGCGAGGATGCGCCTGGCGCCGGTCTCGTCGCTGAACGCATCCACGTAGAAGCCCTCCGGATCCGGCACCAGTTTCGAATACCAGCGCAGATTCAGCGTGTAGTTGACCTTCTTGCGCAGCTTGTCCTTCACCTCCAGATACAGCTGCTGCCGCGGCGGATACTCCAGCAGCCGGTTGATCTTCAGGGCGAATCCCTTCGGCCCAATTATCGCCTGCGAAACATAAAAACATCAGCACATATTGCGTGTTTAATTGCTCTTCTGCCCACTGGCAATTCTTCTTTTCCCTTGGAATTAATTCACTCGCCGCCGTAATTGCGTCAACTCTCTGGCCAAAGTTCAGCCACATTTGCATACTTTTCTTCAAGCAATTCTTAAGCATGCTGAAGAAAAATTAGAAAATTATGCAGACAGAATATAAAACATTCTGTCTTCCAAATGATTTCCTCGACAGAAAATTTCTAAATAATTCCATAGAAAAACCTCCGTTTTTGGAGAATGAGAGTGAATTTCATATTTTCCTATTTTTAATATATATATATTAACTTCGTGTGAGAGGAAAAATCGATAAGGTAGTAAAGATAGAAATATTATGTGTTGTGCTATTCATGAGCAAGAGAAGAGAGAAAAAAAGTGTGTTTGGAAATCAATAATTTCGCATTTCAAAAACGTCTCTCAATTCCCTCAATTTCATAACATTTGGACACGCAATTTTTGGCAATAATAACACATCAAAATGTTATTTAAAATTACATCAAAATTGCACAGTTGGCAAACATCAAAATATTTTGCACAGAAAGCATTAATTATATGACAAATTGGAACGTAGAAATCGATAAATTTTGATGTAAATTTCATAGCAATGAACGAATCTCGTTTTCAATTATTTTATGGCCGCTGTGAATGAAATTATAGATAAAGTTTCCTGTTTGAACTGAGCAAAATCGGCTCTCATTTCACTCTTAGCAGAAATTTTTACCCAAAAACCAATAAAAAAAAAAAGATTCATAATTTAATTGAGGAAAAAATCAAATATTCACGGTTTCAATATTATTCCTTGCATTATTCAAATTCAGATCGAATATTCATTCAATAAGTTTATAGTCTGAAATCACAAGTGACTTTTTTCTTGCTTCCACCAAGGGGGAGATAATATGCCCCTTATACCTTATAGGAAGTATTTAAAATCTCACAATATTACTTTCCCGAATCCTTTTCCTCATTAATCATTCTGTTTTTTGAATCCCTCCTGATTTTTGAGTTATAAAACATTTTTGAAACAGCCTAAAAATTTCAATTTCTGCAAGATTTAAGGCATATTATTTGCCCCTTGACGTGCAGGATTCACAACTGATTGTTTCCTTTGCATGGAATCCTCATTGAATGACTGATTGCATTTCATTCAATAGAGAAGTGAATGAAGGCCGCTGAATGAGTAAGAGTCACTCACCCTCTCCGTGATGTTGAGATCCTGCGAGTGCAGCACCAAGAAGCTCGTCTCGCGCTCCACGTGGAACTCCACCGTCACCTGTCCCTTCACGTCCAGATTCGTGAGGTTGGGATGGATGGTGAGCACGTAGCGCAGCGGCCGCACGGCCGTCGGCAGCTCCAGCTGCAGCCACGGGAAGGGCTGCCCGTTGGTGGCGATGGGGTTGAAGGGCTCGGAGTTGTTGTACTTGTTGAGAAAGTAGTCGGCAGGCATCTTCCCCGCACAAGGACACTCTGCAAAGGCCAAACACAACATATGCAAATCAGCGTGCATTCCCAGCGGCCCAGGCGCGCGCCACACTTGCCATTTTGCGGTCCAGCGTAGGCAATGATGAGCGCAGTGGCCACGAGGGCTCCCATCACGATGGCCGTGACACAAATCGCCTTCTTCTGCGAGCACATTGCGACGCCATCGCGGTTTTTCCTCACGCTCGGCGCCTCTCCTGTGCCTGAAAAGCAGCCACAATTTGTACTCCTGTCGCGGCTGGGATGAGAGATTTGGGGTGGCGCACATTTCTTCTCACCTGTGAGGAAGGCAATGTCGTCCAATTCCGGCTCAGTCATTTCAATTCTCTCCCGCCGCCAAACTTTCGAAGAGTTTCCAGCCTGATTTCCGCCACTACTGCCCACCACGGACACCTTCACAGGACCACTCGCCTTCTTCTGATCGGCCAATGCTGCTGCCTTGCTTTTCCCCTCGCGCTTGAGTTATCCAAAAAACCACCCAACACTCCTGGTCGCACACAATTTTCATCCCCCTCTGTCCGGCCGCAGCGCGTCCCTTTTCGTCTTTCCGCCCTCACACCCCCGCGAGCCGCATAAAATCCACTCGAAACTGCCCTCCACACTTCGCACAAATCCCACTGCCCAGAACCACTCTTCCACACTCTGCAATGGCCAAAACTAGCGCGCCTACGAAATCCTACCCCCCGTGAGAGTGTCTGAGAAGCTCAGCAGCAATTCACTTCCTGTTCTTTTCTGGCCTCTTTTTGTACCCCAAAAAGGACGAAAATCCTGTCACTTTGACGCACGCATGCGCGCCTCTCGCCAATCGATTAGGACTTGATTTTACCTACATTCATCTCCCACCCACTCTCTCGCCCCCTCGCCGCCCCTTCCGCCACTGTCGCTCAATCGAAGGGATGCGAGGGCACGCAAAAAACGCCGGCCGGAGTGGGAGAACCCTTCATTCCCATTAATACAATTATTGCTGTCACGCACACACTCTCGCACTCAGCATCCTTCCTCGCCGCCCCAGGACAATATCGCTCTCGCCTCGCCGGCCACTCGCGCCCCCGTGATTGTTTACACGGCTTCGCGTGCGCCGGCCAAGCGATATCGCATATCAGATTGCTGGGCAAATGTTGGCACAGTCTGTCCCACTGCCGAGGCACAGATTGCAGGACATTCGCAAGGATTTTCACTTGAATCACGCAAGACTTTTTTGTTTTCTATTGAGTTTCTCTAGATTTGCTCTCATTTTGCTGCAAGAAATTCATTCTTATGTGCTTAATTTCTCATTTTAAATGTTGATCAATTTATGCTATATTTTTCAATTTTAAAGGAAACATAAAGGATAAGAATTGATAATTTCGCTTGAACTTTTATTAACATTAATTTACAGTCTCTTAACTCTCAATAATCTCAATATTAAATTTCAAATTTCATCTCCATCGGTCGAAAAAAAATTAAATTAAAGCAACACAGGAAATTAATCGAGCACTCCGCCCAGGAAGCAACCCTTCGACTTCACCATCTTTTCCATTCCAGCACACCCTTCGGAAATTGACCTGAAATTGGTCGGGAATTCCTGGCATTCCTCTGAATTGAGTCAGTCGGAAGTTCGATAACGAAATTTTTAATGAATTAAATGGAATTTCTTCTACTTCATCGTCCCTTTCTTGAACACACAATCGAGAATTTCGCCCCCTTCCATCTCTAAGTCTTGCAGCGTCAGCGCCGGACCCAGAGTCTCGCCATCGAATCTACAGCCGAAAGCCGCAAAGTGTCAGATATTGAGCCAATTGAGGAAGAGAGAAATTGAAACTCACCGTAGGAAAATCTCATCTGTCGAGCACTTCAGCTCCTCTGCACACTTTTTCAGCAACTCCTGGACAGTGTCCTGCTTCCCCGCCGTGATGATGATTGGCCTCTTCCAGCGATCCGACTGAATCTTCAGTTCAATGCCGGCACGGAGCTTCTTCACCGCCTTCTTCGTCTTCCCGGACTGCAGAATATTCTCAGCCACGCAGCCGGAAATGAAGTCTGCACTGCTGTAGCCGATGGAGCTGGGCGTGTCGACTGGAGAGACAACAGTGCCGTTCATGGAGAGCAGGATTTTCCTGGAATCCGTCTTTTCCCGTTGGCTGAGCGTCTGGAAGAGCGCATCGAAGGGCTTCAAGTGCATGTAAGGAATCCTCTCAAAGCCTCCATTCCACTTCAGCTTGATCGTGATCTCATAATCCAGCTCCGACGAGAGATCCACGGAGGATATTGTTGTGGAATTGCCTGTTAAGTCTATTGAGCACGATGGTTGAGGATCCGGAGGAGAGCCGACAGTGATATAATCTTCGCAGTCTTCATAAACAGGCGAACTTCGGACGTTCCGGCGTCTTCTTCGCTGTCTCGCAGGGGAATTCCTCGGTGTTGAGGTGGTCAGGAGATTCATCAGTGCTTCTCTGCGCATTTCAGTCTTCTTTTTCTTGTCCATTTTCTTCTGGATTTGCTCCTTCTTCTTCTGATACCTGTGAAAAGAGAAGACACAAGTTGAGAGCTGCCTTTGAATGTTGCGGTTTATTTATTGAGAAACCTCTTCATCAGCTGCTCTTCCTTCTTTGTCATTGGTCTATCAGTGTTGCTGGACAAGTTTTGACCAACACTGACGATGTTGTTCCTTCTCTCAGGCGAAAAAATCGCCACCGAAGGACTGGAATCATCCATGGCCAAAGGCGTCACAGGAAGCGATACTGGAGGCGAATCTGTCAAACAATAAAATCATACAGGGATAACCGCGATTACTGTTGATTTTCACTTTACCATCATTCAGATCATCAATGTTAGCAAACAGATCGAACGCCTCAGCCATTTCCCAGGGGATTTCCCTAAATTTTTAGTTAATATATCGCCACAAAAGACACAAACACGCACTGGAACACCGCTTGAGCTTTTCTGAACCACCCTTTGAAGCTTCCTTTGGGACGCTTTTTGGGACACTTTGAGGTTATGGTGAAATCACCTGTTTGGACTTGTCCGGACGCGCGTTCCTAGATTTTCCCTATTTTCCATCAAAAATACCGCGGTGAATGTGCTGAGAAATGGCAGAACTGAAGGATGGCGTTCTCTCGGCAACAGCCCAGAATATTCAGTGAGTTGATGAGTTGAATTTCCGCCTTTTGTAAAGAATTCAATGCTAACCTTTCTTCCCGGTCTTTTCCACTCTACCCACAGAGATCTCATTGCCGGAAACAGTATGCACCTGAAGGTGGACGCACAGGAGCAACAGGACTACGATTCGGAGGATGAATTCGGCGAACAGTACGAAGAGGCGGCGAGAAAGTGGTCAAATGCGGACTTTGTGCAGAAGAGCTTCGATGAGATTCGCCAGGAGATGACAGAGATTGGGATGGGAATCTACAAGAAGGTGGTGGTGGAGGGCAGTGGAGATACCATTCCTGCCCAGAACGCCAAGGTGACGATGGTGTATTCGGTGTTTGCGGAGAAGGAAGCCTTTCCGGTGGATTCTTCGCTGCTCACCGGGAAGAATCACTCCTTCGTCACGGGTCACGACACTGGCCTCCTGGTGGGCATTCAGCACGCCGCGATGTCCATGAGGGCGCAGGAGCAGGCACAGTTCATCATTCCCTACCGTCATCTGTACAACGAACACGGCTGTCCGCCGCGCATTCCCGCCAAAATGGACGGACTCGTGCTGATCCGCATTGTGCAAGTGGAGCCCGAGTGGGTGGATCCGCGGGCGCAGGAGAGCCAGCCGAAGGACTTCAGCGGTGTGAAGAAGTCCGTGGAGAAGCTGAGCGAGCAAGGACGTGCGGCAATCGTGAAGCATCGCTTTTCTTCGGCTCTGCGATCTTACAACGAAGCCATCCGGATTCTGCACAGCGTCAGCCTCGACACCGGCACTGCTGGCAAGGAAGAGGAGCAGGAGAGAATACGTCTGATCGTGCGGATGCTCATCAACTCTGGCATCACGTACAACAAGATGTGTCAGCCGAGCAGCGCTTGCATGCGCTTCGACGAGGCTCAGAAGCACTTGGCCAGCATCTCGGCAACACAGAAGGGAAAGCTGCTGCTGCACAAGGCGCGCTCCTTGCGCTCCCTGGGCGAATACCAGAAGGCCGGCGAGTGCCTCAGCCTAGCGCAAAAGTGCTGCGATGCGCCGGAAATAATACGCGAACTGCGCGAGCTCAACCAGGATCGCGCCAATTCCAACAAGGACATGTGCAACATGATGCGGAAGGCCTTCAACATCCAAGATACGACGCCGAAGGTGAAAGTTTCCACCGTGAATCGCAACTTCGAGGCGTGGTTCAGGCAAACGGTGAAGAAATTCGTGGAGAATGAAAAGCTGACGAAGCAAATGATCTCTTTTGACATCACGAAGGATCAGAGGAAGATCATTGACGATGTGCTGGCCAAAGAGAACGGCGTGGCGCTTCACGCGCAACCCTCAGAGAACACCACCAGATACTGCCTGGCCAAGGAAGTCAGTCAGGAGTGAAATTCCTTGATCAAAAAGTCTTGCATGACGAAAATTGGACGATTTTGTATCTTTGACTCATTAATATCATTGCTAATCTCAAGGGGAAGATAATGTGGCCAGAAGTGGTGTAAAGGTCAGCAGAAGCATTTAGAAATTGTAATATTATTAGAATTTTAATTAATGTAATGCGATAAAGTTTCTTCCCGCCTTTAAACCGCTCAATTTCAAATTCATCGACTGCGATTGGCGCTCATCGATTGTCGAAATCGGCCACTTTCGGACAGCGCGAAGAAGTGCGCGCGCGCATCGGTTGGTGTCAAATGGTAGTGAAAAACAAGTGTTCGCATAAAAGTCGCAGAGAGTTACAATCTAATCGCGAGAAAAGGTATCAAATTATCTTGTAACAGCAGTTTCTGATCCCAGCCAAGTGCTGAAGAGTCTCATGAGAACAAGAGCAAGTGCTGAAGTAGTGAAAATTGTGAATTGACTAGTCGTGACACGGAATTTTGTGGCCCTGAATTCAGGCACAGCAATTTTGCCATGTTTTGCAACTTTCTCACCAAGTTTTTCTGCATTCTCCTCGCCCTTCACGTCTGCCATGGGCTGGACAAAGTGGTGAGTGTACCTGTTATCAGTGGCTGATTGCTTTGTTCTCTGCGCTTATCTCCCGCTGTTCAATATAAACTGCAAATTGGGGGTTTCGAGACGCAAAAAAGCCATGAACTCTATCTGAAGCTTCTTCTGTCCTTTGTTTCTTCCGCAGGAAGTCACTGGCGAAGGATGCAAGCTCACGGAGCCGATCTACAACAGCACCTTCGACCTGTCCGGCCTGCAATCCGACCTGAGCCATCAGGTGCAGCTGGGCAGGAAGGACAGCATTGAATTCAATCTGTGTGGCGCAATGTCCAAGGCGTGCGACAATTCCTCCGGCGTGGGCGCTTGTCTCACCGCCGGCGGCAAGGAAAAGATCCTGGGCAGGGAGCATACGCTGAAGCTGTCCAATGGACGTTTCCACTTCGAGTTCAGCGGCGACAAATGCTCAGACACGAAAAACTTCACCTTCTCCGTGATCTTGCAGTGTGATTTCACGTCCGTGAAGGACATGATCAGCGTGCAGAAGAGCACGGACAAATGTAGCCACTCAGTGGTGTTGCGCACGAAGCTGGCCTGCATTCCCACGGAGTCCAAAGTTCTGGACTCCTGCTCAGCCTCACTGAACGCCTTCACCACGTTCAATCTCTACTCGCTGGCCGGCGTCAATCACGTGGCAGACGATCGCAACGGCGGCACGTTTCTCATCAACATCTGCCGGCCCGTGATGTGGGATCTGGACGCCATGTGTCCGCCGGACACGGGCGTGTGCTTCGTCAATCGCTCAGAGACGGATCTCACGAAGAGATTCGTCAGCATGGGCGCCGTGGAGAAGCCCAGCGTTGAGGAAGGCGTGATTTCGGTGAAGATGACCGGCACTGAAGCCTGTCCGGAGGACGCGACCAGGAAGATAAGCTCCGTGATCACGTTCGAGTGCGAGAAGAGCTCACGCGTGGACGAGGTGGAGTTCATCGGCTTCCGCGACTGCGAATACAAATTCGTGTGGTCAACGGCGGCGGTTTGCGAAACGCTCGAGCCCTGCACGGCCGTCGATCCCAAGACGGGCTTCAAGTACGACTTGCGGCCGCTGTCCAAGAAGCCCTTCAACGTCACGCACGACAATCACACGTACGCCTTTGGCATTTGTGCGTCTCCGCGCGCGCCGTGCCTCGAATCCTCCGGCGCCTGTGAGATCTTCGCGGCGGAAACCCGCGGCCTCGGCCTCGTGAACGACAAACTCCTGGTGAATCAGACCGGCGCACCGTATCTGAAGTACGAAGGCGGCGGGCTGTGCCAGTCGACGAAACAGCCGTGGTACAGCGTGATCGAGTTTGTGTGCGCCGAGCAGGGAATGCAGCAGGGCCCGAAGGTCATCGAGAACACGGATTGCCGGCTGATCATTCAGTTCGTCACGGATGCGATCTGCCAGACGCGCCAAATCTCCTGCCAGACCACCAACAACTCCTTCGACGCCGTCATCGATCTGGCGCCGCTCATTCGCAACACGGACAACTACGTCGCCAACGTCAGCGCCGGCGTCAAGGGAGACGACGCCAAGCGCAAGGTGAGATGCGCCGGACATTCGCTGGTCGCCAGTGAATTGCTAATCAGCACTTTATCTATGGCAAATATTTAGTGAAATAAGCGAAGTGTTTAGACTTGAAATAGTCTTGGAATTTGGATGAATAACTCTTTCTTTTCCGTTGATATTCTCCAAGGGGTGTATAAGTGTCGAAATATTGCACAAGAAGAATTTCTAATGTGAAGAATAGAGAGAAATTACACAATTGAAAGTCTTAAGCTTGTTATAAATGGTTAAATATCAACTTAAACACTCTGAATTTGATTTATTAGGTCGTATTTCGCCCTAAAATCATGCAAATCTCAATGGAAAAGTAATTGCGCTGTTCTCTTGAGCTGCAAATCTGTTCAAAAATTGATTTAAGTGCTCTAAAGACTTTGAAATCGACGCTCAGTTAAAGCGTAATCGTCAGTTATTCACCCCTCGATCGTCATACTTTTTTTCTTCAATAGAGTTATTGAAATATCTGTGATGCTCTGGCGACTGGAGTAGTAAAATATCTTATGACGCTTCTGACTCACTTTTCTTTGAACAGCGACAATCGAGCGATAGCGTGTGCGACGTTCAAAAATGCGGATTAACGCAAGCCAATATTTTCTTGATAATGCCAAGACTTGGTTTATTTGCTTATTAAGAGCCAAAAAAAATTGAGAAATTCGGGTTTATCGATGCATAAAGTCTAGAATTGTTAGTCAAGTTCAGGGAGAAAGAATGTCAATTAATTATTATTGAACGTAACATGAAATTAAATAATAAGTCTTTATTGAGTTATTTCAGTAGTGGAAAAGAATTGAAATTGATCAATATTAACCGTTTAATGCATGATAAAAGTGATTTATTAGCGTGATAAGTCTCAAATTTCAACTCAAACTCGTGAAAAAAATGCGGTTTTTTGGGCGATTTTGAGAGGAATCCAAAGTGATCTCAAGATGGATAAGAATTTTAGAGAATTCAGTTGATTCTCTGCCAATTTTGTGGGTAAAATCATTTGCCAACAATTTTCTTGCTCGCCTAAGCTTGTGATTTAACACGCCAATCTCACTCTATTTCCGCCTCTCTTGCAGTACTTCATCAACGTTTGCCGTCCGCTTGTGCCGCAGTACGGACTGAGTTGTCCTGGAGGATCGGCGATTTGCCAGGCGACCATCGAGAATGGGAAGCCGGAGAGCGAGAAGAGTCTTGGCTATCCGGACGTGTCGCTGACGATGGTCGGCGCGAGGGCGCAGCTGAAGTACTTGCGCGGCAGTCCTTGTCCCGCCGATAAGGACACCGAGCTGTCCTCCGTGATTGACTTCTACTGCGATGCGAAGAGCGGCCGCGGAAATCCCGTGCTGAAGAGTGTCACGCACGATTGTCTGTATGAATTCGAGTGGGCGACGAATGTCGTCTGTCCGGCGTTCAAATGTGAATTCTCCAAGAAACACTGCTCAATTCACAACGAACAGACGGACAGTGACTTCGACTTGAGCGATTTGGTAAATTAATCACGACAGTTTCTCCTTCTGGCCACGAAGCAATCTTTCACGGGTGTAATTTATGATTTATCCAAAGGTGAAGTCCAATGCGAAGCTGGACAAGCTGAAGTTCTGTGAGCTGGACAAGTACGAAGTGATGGCTGATTATGCTCAAGGCAGCGTGAAGGTGTTTACGAGCGCCAAAGAGAAGAGTGGTAAGTGTGATGGCAAATAAATCACAGCGAAAATAGTTCAATATTCAGAGTGAAAATTCCCGCATTTTTTTTTTCTTTGCGCACAGATAATTCCGAGAAAACCGTGAATATTGAGCTGAGACTGAATTGCAATGGAGACGAGAAGAATTCTTCATCCAAAGATGTGAGTAAAATATATTTATTTTCATGCTATTTTTCACAACACAATCGCAATTGGAAAGAGGGAGAATTTTGATGAAAGATTTCCAAAGAGCGCGGATTTTAAGAAGAAGAATGTTTGGAGTTTTACAATTGTTAATTCAATTTCCAATGCGGGTCAATTGATGACAACACAATGAGAATATATCTGTTGAGAATTACGGACGAAAGAATGCAATGCAGCGCAAAGTTCCGCCAATATTTTTCAATTAAACTCACACTATTAATATTTAACTCAGTTGGTTATATTAATATTCAGCAGCGTTCGTGTAAAATTTTCCCATTCAAAAACATGCGACGTTGTGGATAAATTTCATCCCAAAAAATATATATTTCCCGATTTTTTTTTCTTTCACATCAACGTGATTGTGTTTTTTCATTGTCAAAAATTCATCTGCAAATGCAGATAAAAAAAATGCTTGTGATACTGAAAATCCGCGCTCGAATTGCAAAACTCGGGGAAAAAATAAGCATTGAAAAGCTTAGCGAGGAAATGCTAATAAGAGAAGCTCTTAATGGAAATATCACGAGTAATTCCCAAAATAGGAGTTTGTCGTATTCTGTGACTTTTCAGTTTCATCATCGGGATCAAGGGGGAGATAATTTGCTCTGAAATATGATCAATTTTTCCTCAATTTACATAAAAAACTTGTTCTAAAAATTTATTTGGTTCTTCTTTCTGCATTTTCTAAGACCGCGAATTCAAATAATGGTTATAAAATGGATTTTTGCTACATTTTCTTTATCGTACTTAGAATAATCTTGAAAGATCTTTTTAAAAATTCCGTTAAAAACCTTTAAAAATAAAAAATTGGACGAAAAATGACGATAAAATGATATTTTTCAGGTCATGTTTTCTATTTAGTAATTTTTAATTAACAACAAATACTTGATTTTGCTAATAAATTAATGTTTTTTGTATAATTAGGCGTAAAATTGTCGTTTTTAGGTGTTATTTTGTGACTAAATCTGAGCCTAAATTAATTGCTTAGCACAAAACAGAGCAAAGAAAATTGATTTCTGATCAAATAATCTCCTTTTTGTTCTCTATAAACTTCAATTAAGTTAATTTTCTAAGGATTTCACCATAAATACAAAAGTGTTTATTCAGCACAAGAAATAATTACGACAGTTAAATGGATAAATTCTAGTCAATTGATTACATTGAAATTGCATAGGAAAATGCAATGACAAGTAAAATGCTATTTAATAGACTCTTTTATGGAGAATTCACGCGATTTCTCAGACTCATATAAACTGTTATAGCGTTAAATATGACTTGCTGAACTTCTGAAATGTTCAATATGAAAGTTAAAATGCATTTTGTGCTTCGTGTTCAACGTTATCGTGAACATCGACAGCAAATTATTGTGCGGCGCTTTTTCCCTAACAATGTTAAAGTCTCTTTTTTTCCCTCCTTGCACTCCACATTCAGTGACACGCGTTGGGTGGTTTTCGCCTTCGGGGGGCGCTAAGGGGTGGAGATTGTGTGTCTAATGAGTTAGTGTGGTTGAACACTAATTACATAATTTCTCTATTATTCTACCCAGAGTCAGCGAAAGAGGGAAGAAATTGTGAATTTTTTCTATATCAAATGGCGCACGAATGTGACAAGTTTATTTCATTTTGTGTGTATGATTTATTGTCGCTAATGTGACTTTTTGCTGCGATTTTCCAACACTCATGGATTGGCCAGAATGAAGACAAAGCCAATGAGTGACACTATTAGCAAATGTAGAGCAACTATTTGCCAATTTTGACATTCTTGTCGACTTGATCCATCATGGATTTCATAGCAAATGGCAGAGAGAAAAGGACGTTGTCTTCCCTGTTCTTCCTGCTGATCTCCTTCTGAATTTCTTCCCCATAAAATTGATTCTTCATTTCGTGAGTGATTTTCACGTGAATACTCTTCATACGAATTATCTTCTGTCTTCACGCTAAACATATTTCTTGGACGTTTTCTCTGTCCTTCATATGGCATACTGTTTTCTGCCTAAGGAAAAGGAAAATGAGTGAAATGTTGAAAACAATACAATCATCCCCAAAGTGTTAAAGTTAAGAGATTTGCTCTGATTTTTCAACAGCAAAATTTTCAAACTTTTACGTGGTGAAATGCAACAAATGTGTGGTGAGAAAAGAACAAGTTAATTTTGCCACTTTAGAAACTTTCTTCCAAAAGAGCAAAATATCCTTTTTTACCTCTTCGTAATATTGTCTTCTTTCGGCCATTGGCATGGAATTCCACACTTTTGCACCTTCGATGGCAATTTGAATCATGGTTTTGCCGCAACTCTGCTGACGAAACCAGCGCAGGAAGTTGAAGAAGGGATTTGGCGTCACTGGTCCGGATCTGTGGCAATGTGACATGTTTGTCCCTAATTTCGATGGTACTTTGAGGTAAATTTTGGCACTGTTCGTATCTCAAATTGAGGCTCTTTAAGTGTGCGTAAGAAAAGCAAATCAACACAATTTTGGTGACGATACGATAAAAATTTTTCTACTCTATTGTTCTTCTCCAATGCAATCTCGTTTGCTCACTTTTTTTTGTGCGTGTGTGATTGAGGCAAAAATTGATTGAATGTACTTAATTTTTCATAACAAATTTCCCCCCTTCCAATCGTCTCATCATCAGCGTTAATGCAAACACACATGCGGGAGAAATGTGTTGGCTTTAAGCTTTTGCCTCTTCGTCAGCAATGAAAGTATATACCTAATATGATAACGAAGCACGCAATTTGCATGTCCATATTCCACGACGTATAACATATTACAACTTTTCCACATAAACGTACATTTGCCATACCTTTTTACCTTCTGGATGAAATACTTTCGGTGTATTAGCACGAGAAGCGGAAGTACTTTTACGAGGCGTATTACATTAGATTTTTTGGGTAACGCAGAGGTGAAGATCTTCTATACAGGATTGTAGGGAAAATATTGAAGCATTTTGCCTTCAGATTCACTTAAAGAATATTGGAAAAATTCATTTCCTTCGCCATAAATTATAAGAAACTTGACTTTTAATACAAAAAACCATTTTTTTGTATCAAAATCAAGTGAAAGCTATAGAAAATAATTGGAATTCAGCAATAATATCACTTTAATTCACGATTAGAAGGTGTTTAAGAGTGCCCAAAGACTGTTGAAAGCAGCTTCATCACTTTTGCCACAATTCTGTGCGCGATGTTTGTTATAATTTTCCAGCAATAATCCAGGAGAAAAGAGACGAATTTATCTTGGCAACTTTTTATTACTTTGTTCATGTAATTTTTCTCACATTACGTATAAAAATCATTCCATTTTTCATAATTATACTGCGAAAAAAAAAATTTCGAGTAGTGAAGAAACTTGAATGAAGACTAAAATTTGGGGCTTTTGTGTATGTTTGTTTGATTGAGTGTGTGTGTGTGAAAAGCAAAAGCATCATTACGATCATTGCATATTTCTATCTATCTTTGTCTCAATAAACACCTATTATATATATAATATTCTATCAATATGTCTGAGCATCAATGTGAATCAGTCAATAATGCAGCATAGTAATTTCTTATACGTCTTACAATCAATAATCTTCAGGTAATAATAAATCCTTTCTATCTAGAAATGCTTAACGATTAAATGATTTTTTTCTTATACGTTCAATTATATAGGCTCAACTTCTCGTGATATATAAACTCTTATAAGTTATAGTTACACATCTTACAATTATAGCGAGTTACACATACTCTTATTAAATATAATGAGAGTGAAGTGAGGGGAAAAAATTATATATTTCAAATGCATTTTCTCTTGATAAATACGTGATGAAGTGTTTCTATAGTAATCATAATCATATAAAAATGGGAAGAATTACAGCACGTGTGAATGCTGTGCATAATAAAAGTTGTCAGAATGCGGGAAAGAGAGATGACAAATATCGATATCACATTTAATAATATTTCGTCTTTAGTTTTATAGTTATTCTATCAATACACACACATATAATATATATATATTGTAATTTAGGGGAAAAGGACACAATTTCATGCACAATCTCTATACCGTTCTTTTTCTTAAAATTCCAACAACACTCCGTCACACGATGAGGAATAGTTTGCTCGAAAATGTGGTGTATAGCCTGAGGAAATGCTCTCATGATTGTGACGATCAATTAACAATCAAACATCACTTTGCTTGCTGTTCGTATTGATGATGAATGCACCATTCACGTGTCCATTGAGGCCACCATTGGCCACTTTGCCATTTCGCGCATACGATAGTGACCCGTTGAGCTTGGGACTGTCGACAGGTGATGCTGCTGACGGTGGTGTGATTGGTGATGGGTGAATTAATTCTAATTTATCGTCTACCGAGCTCTTTATCGAAGTCTTGAACAGTGCACCTGTTGAAGACAGAGAGAAGGAATTTCGCTGCTTAGTTTGGCAAGAATTTGCAGCTGGATGACTGAAAATTACCTGCTCCGCCACCCTTGCTGGTCTTCACTGTCCGCAGGGCATAGTGGAGGCGCTCCCAGAACCACGCGTCGCCCCATTCGATGTACGTGTTCATGTCAATGTAGCTCTTGAGCTCCGGATCTATATTGCTCCTGTCCACATCGCCGTACATGATCACGATGACACGTGACACGTTCTCCTTCACTGCCGTGTGATGCGCCGTCCGGAACTCCATTGTGCCCCACACGGACTCCACATAGTTGGGACTGAGCACGATTATCGTACGACGAGATTCGGCCACGGAGCGGATTATCTGTGGAAGTGGCGCATAAAAATATTTTATGTAAGAGCTTCATTTCGAGCAATTTTCCAGCTACTTTTATCGGCCCCAAATCGAATTGTGTATCAGAGTTGAGTGAACTGAAGACGATAGATTGAGGCTTAAAATAGGTTTTTGTAGTATTTTTAGTTGGGTTTTCCAGCCATTTTTGGACTCTTGAGGTCAATTCTGAATCACATGTTTGATGTGTTAAGTGAAAGAAGATATCTTAACACAATCTTGAGGTATTGTTGTGCATAAAATACATACAAAATGTTTTCAAAGTTACAAAAACCAGAAGCTTTATGTTTTCCAGTGATTTAACTTAAGAAGGAACTGTGAAAAAAGACTTCCAACCATTCATATACGTCACATTTAACAGAGTTGTGATTCAGAATTGAGCCCTTCATATTCACCCACTAATTGACATTGGAAACGTCTTCAATGTTTGTAATTACTTTCCGAACACGTGTTGTTCATTATGAAGCTTCTGAAGATGTTGTATTTACTCAAAATTCTGGCCATTCAACCAAGACATTTAGTGGAATGATCTGAAATATTCATTGTCCACTAATTGACAACTCTACCAAGAGATGGTTCAGAGCAAACTGTCTTGGTGATAATGGTTAAAAATTGACTGTTAAAGAATCGTGCACGAATCATCGAAAGACGCGGTTGAGTTTGTGAATCGAAAAATTAGCATTAATTTCCAACGATGCTAATCAAATCAATCACCTTTTGGGTGTTTATCGCTAAAGGCTGGCAAAAATTTCATGACATGGCAAAGTGAGGAATTCTGTAAGTTTCTTACCTGATCGGGAATAAAATCACCAACAGTCCAGTCGCGTCTGTGAATGCATAAATTGAACTTCCGTCGCATTTCCAATTCCGGCACAAGTGTATCGGCAACGAAGTCCTCATCCTTGTGTGAATAGGAGATGAATGCGTCGTACTTCTTGTTGGCATCCAGTGCGTCACTGTTGAAGATGAAAGGGCAAATGTTGTGCCAATACATCCATATCTTAATTTCCTGCTGATACTTGTAGTAGAGCGCAGCGAGAATGCCAATAAGAATACCAAGTAGGGCGAGTGTTATGCTGAGCGCCACTATTGCTTGTACATCATCTGTGCAAATATCTCCGGGCACCATTTTGTTAATTCTCTGTCCATCTGAACACTCAATATAATCATAGTCATTCACTTTCTTGAATTGACTCTGGATATATATCATCAAACTGAGTGCTTCACAGTTACATTTCCATGGATTATTGCTCAGCGATATGTTTCTCAATGTTCTTGTGTTGTTAAATGCTTTCAGTACAGTCTCATTGATGTGGATCATGTTGTTATTTCGCAAATCCAGCGATTCAAGCTGTGGTGGGAGATTCTCCTTCACAATACTCGTAATGTTGTTGTTCTTCACAAACAGATGACGCACTTTGTCATAGCCAATGTCTGTGATTCGTGGTAGATTGCTGATGGAGTTGTTCTCCAAGTACAGAATGATGTACTTGAGGGAGGAATTTGTGGGTTCTGGCAGGACGGGGACGGTGGAGAGGCCGGCATTGGAGCAATTCACGAGGAGAGCCAAGTCTGCTGTGCGCACGAGGCATTGACAGCCGGCGGGACATCTCTTCACCTGACTGTTGTCCGTGTCGTAGTCGCAGAAGAGGTCGTGCGGATTGACGCTGGCCACCAGCTTGCCGGCGTGCTGTGGCGGAGCGGCGCATGTCAGTGAGCCGGGGACAATCTTCACCATCTTGTCCGTTCGCTCGTCCAACTCGTGGCGCAACAGGCGCACAAAGTACGTTATCAGGCAGTTGCACACCACAGGATTCCCATCCAGATAGATCGTGGGCACTTCGTGAGGACTGTTGAGGGCATCCTGGCCACTGGCGAAGGACTCCAGCTCGTACATGGAGATCTCTGATATCTGATTGTGTGTCAAGTAAACTGTGATCTTGCGCGAGAGGAATTGCAAGTCATTTGCCGTGAGCAATGTGATGTTGTTGTAGCTCAAGTCCAGTCGCTGCAATTGACTGAGATTGAAGAGCCAATCCTGGAAGATGCGCAGGATTTGATTGCGACTGAGATTGAGATCGGTGAGTTTGGTCAGATGTTGAAATGGTGAATTGAGATCAATTGGTCCGGGTTGATTTTCCATGAATGTCAGCTGATTGTTGGCCATGTTGATGACTTCCAGTGATTTTGTGGTCGCAAATGTGTCCATGGGAATTGTCTTGAGCTGATTGTTGTTGAGGTACAATCTCTTGAGATTGTGGAGTGATGTGAAGAGATGCCTGAAAAGAGACGTATGAATGACGTTATAATGATTCTCCTATGCCTTTTGTGGTAAATCTCTCATGACAACATGGTATGAAAGGGAGTTGAGAGAGCGAGAATGGAGCGAAGAAAGGCCAAAATCCACTCAAATCACGAGAAAATACACATTCAATATCCTTTGGACATGGTTTTTTACGTTAAATTCTTCCTACAAAGGACAGCAAAGACATCAACTACACCACTGCTTGATTGTAATCCTTTTTTCCAGAGTGCACAGCAATAGATCTCTCCACCACCCATAAATGTATCATGCGCGAAAATGTAGCTCTTCTTTTGCTGAACTTTGCGAATATATTGCAGAGACATGACTTCAGCAACTACTTGTCTCTATGCCGGGAGAACCGCCACATTATTCACGACTGTGCGATGGTTACAAGGGCCTCGACACACAGAGAGGAGAGAAGAAGGTTCATTGAACGTTGGCATAATAATTTCCGCGTGCTGCATAAATTTGGTTTGGTTGAAATTTCAATGAAATCGAACTCTTTACATACAAATTATGTTATATGCAGATGAGCGGTGTCACTCTAGCCTCAGACTATCTGCTCAAAGGGGGAGATGATGTAATCTAGTGAAATTCCTTTCGGCATTTCCGTGAGAAATTGATGATTAATAGAAAAACACTTTAAAATAATTGTAAAGACTGACAAAATAGTCCTAATAGAAAGTTAATGTTTTAATTTGTGGTTAAAAGCACGGTTTGATGCAATAAAATAGGTTTAATTACTCCAAAACTAAAATTAGAGAAGCAAATTTCCATCGGGCAGCCCGAATATTGCTGATTTGCATTTTTGAGGTTATGTTTGACTTTTTCTTTACACAATTTGTAGTGTTTCTTAACTTGAAAGCTTCAAAATAGTAATCTAGTCAGTTACTAAAATATTCTTTCGACTTAACCATAAGAATTGATCTGTCATAATGGTGTTTTTCATCCAAATTTCACTTAAATCGGGAACATAACCTAGGAAAACAATTGAAATTATTGTTTCTGAGGGGGAAATCGAAAGAAATACAATCAATTTAGGTTAATTTATCAAGCAATAAACATTGAACAGCATCATATTGTAAATATTTAAACAGTTTTATTTCTTAACATCACTTTTAATCACTTTATCTCCCCCTTTTCCGTGCCCACTATAAAAGTTTGAAGTACGGACAGAGAAAAAAAACGACGGGAAATCTCATCACGATGGGTGAAGTGGATGGACCTAGCCTATATATGAAGTGTATGTGTCGAAATTAAAATTAAGAGCGAATAATTTGCATTTTAAAGAGAATTTCCAGTGCACGGTTAATGCACACAATATGCTATAAGATACACAAGAGATATTGAAGCTATAACATGGTGTATAAAAATTTCCTCTCTCTGTGATTGTTGAGAGAGCACAACATCGACGGAAAGCCGGATGAGAAAAAAGGCCAAAAATTTATTAGATTTTCACGGTCCACTTAATAATTCTCATGTACAGACACACAAAACTGTGGTAATGAGTTGAATGTATGAAAAGATAAACTCTGGGGTGTTTGTGTGCGGCGGAGTGAGCAAGAGGGGAAGTGAAGAAGTGATTGTATGTTGAAAATGGGTATAATATGAAGAGAGGTGGGCATCATAGCAAATTGTGCCTAAGAATGGAATGATGGTTAGATGGATTGCTGAAGACATGAGGGCATTCTATGTGGCGAAAAAAAGTGTGTGAGAGAGAGAGAAGTCTTGCCAAGGAGTGGTTTCCATACATTTATAATGAATTCTCAAATGACACGCTAAGTTGCATTCTTGAAAACCTGTTTGGTGATGCTCCAGCAGTCTCGCTGGGCAGCGACTTTGGCTCTTTTTTTTGTGCAACTCTCCGCAATCTTGCAAGAGAGCGGAGATTGTAGTACGCGAGAGTGTGTGTTGGGGGGAATTCTTATTTCACTTGTTTTTATAGCCCTTCCTGGACTTGATATAAAAGACTCAACATCCAAGGAGGTTATAAAATAAATAAAATAATCATGGTTTAATGCGATGAGTCGCCATATGGCTATTAAGGTGGAACTAAAACTCATATATATGGTCAGAAATGGCTTCAATCGGAAATGGAAGGCATTCTATATTGGCTGGGGAGAGTGAATAACCTGCTAAAGCGTGTATAATTCTCACCTGGCAAGATGGGTGAGGCTGTTGTTGGCGAGATTCAAGTCAATCAGAGCCACTGTGGACTCAAAGAGACTCACATCCAATGCACTGAGCTTGTTATGACTCAAATTCAACTCCTCAAGACTGCGCTGAGTGGCGAGTAATCCCAATGGGAGTGACACTAATTTATTGTACGACAGATTGAGTTTTCTCAACTTTTCCGAACCACTAAACACATCACTGGGCAATGTTTCCAATGCACTTCTGATGTCAACACTCGCGAGTGCAGTGAGATTGGCAAAGAATCCAGCTGGAAACTCCTTCAATGATCCCTGATTGTATAGCAATGTGAATTCACTGAGTTTTCTGTTGTTCTTCAACAATCCCGCGGGCAATTCGTGGAAGTTGTTCTTATTGAGATGCAACACAGTGAGATTGGGCAGGAGATCAAAGACATCAGGGTGGAAGGATTCAATTTGATTGTAGCTCAAATCGAGGGTTTGAAGTGATTGAACGCCAATGAAGACGTCCTTTGTCAAATTTTTCAACTTGTTTGTCCAGAGATTCAGACTCTTCAACTGGGAATTGTTGCGAAATGTTCCCTCATTGATTGTGTGCAGATCATTTTCACCCAATTCGAGAAACTCGAGATTCGGCAGCTTGGCAAAAGCACTCTCAATGGAGTGGATTTTGTTGATTTTCAAGCTCAGCCACTTGATATTGGGCACATCGTCAAAGAGATCATCGGGGATTTGTGTGATGTGACTCGAGCCGATCACGAGGCGCGTGAGATTGTCGAATCCGCTGAGGTGTTGACGGATGAGTTTATTGCGGAACTCCTGGCGGGCATTATTGATGAAGAGTGTGTTGATATTCCGCACGCCGAGGCGATTCAGCACTGACATAATTGACGCACTCCTTGGCAGTTCGCAGCTGCTGATCTTCGCCTGACTGACGTCCTCAATTGTGATGTTGGGCAGTGATTTGTACTCCTCATCCGCCACACTGCAGCTGATGTCGACGTAATTCACGGGTCTCTTAAAGAATGGATAGCTCACGCGTATTGTTGAGCTCTCGCGCGGACACTCCAGGACATACTTGTCCACATCACTGTAGCAATCGCACGTTGTCTTGCACACTTCGTGCTTCTCCTCCGCCTCGTATTGCGACAGGAAGTCGGCGGCTGTTGTGCCGGCGACAAGTAGAATTACTGCAACTAATCTAGCCCGAATCATTTTGCGAGATAAAAGAAAAGACTGAAGCACACAATGCACATAAAACGTGGGTGAGCAATTTTCACTTTGACTACGGATGTCTTCAATCACTGTGTTTCATTCCCTTCGCGACGGATTTTAATATGATACCGCCTTGCGAAATCTTAAGTATTGTGTCATTTTCTCCTCTTCTATTCCCCGCTTATGATGCTTTTTCCTATTGTTGATGGGCTGAAAAGAGATCGGAGAGTAGGAAACTCATTAGAGATATATACACAGAGAGTGAAGTGTCTTAAGAAAAGCAGAAATAATGAATCTCTCACAAGTCTCACTCATTCGTTCACACACAAAGTGTCTTTATTACTTCGGAAATCAACGAGAGAAAAGAACCCATGATTCATTGAGAAAGATTCTAATATCTTACTTTGAGAGGCAGACAATGGCAAAGCGTAATGATATAACCTTTGCATGGCCTATGAGGAATATGATTCTGACATTTGAAGGTATAAGAGAAGAAGGTCTGAAAGTTACTCGTGATTTCAGGCTTGATTCCATATAATTTTGAATCATTTTTCTTAAATATTCAAAATATAACTGCTAGAATTTGTTGTTATTCGTGGAAATTTAGGGAGTTTCAGATGATTTTACAGCGCAATGCCGATGTTCAATAACTTCAATTGCACGTAATTGAGTGAAAAATGCTATTCTATTGTTATTTCTTCATTCACTGTAAGCTTAAATCATTTCCAATAACCGTGAATTTTCGCTTTAAGCATTCCATAGGCGCAATTTACAGCAAGGTGATGGCAAAATGCTGTGTTTGAAGATAGTGCTAATGCTTCTCTTTCGCAGATCCAATGGCGCTGTGCGTATTTGCCTTGATGTAATGACGTGGAAAAGAGATTGTAAAAGCGACCTAAAGTGGTTTGCTAGATTGTTGTTCTAAAAGTGCGGTCTCTTTTTCCCATATTGCTTATTATGAACTGATTTTTGCCACAGCCCATTGTGAAATGGGAGCTTGATGAAAATTTACTGCTTCACCGCTTCAATAATTTACATTTAATCATAGAGTACGAGTGAGAGAGAGAGACGAGATTACATCCACACACCCATATGTTATAAACATATAACGCCTGTCTTTCCCTCTGCAGAAGACCAACAACTCATAGAGTATTAAATTTCATGGAATTAGTGTTGGAAGAGCAAATATTCTGAGCTATGGAAAAGCATTTGGTTGAGGAACAGGGAGAAGAAAATGTATGTGGAAAATTGGCGACTGACTGGATGAGGTTTGAGGAGGTGGGAAAAGAGAGAGAGAGAGAGAGAATGAAGTGTGTGAGAGTGGTATCAGTGCAGAAATAGGGGAGAAAAGGATTATCGTCGAGTCTAATTGCATAATGCATTCTATCCTGGGATATTTTCCATGCAATGTTCACTCTGGCAAGTGATTCTGCTGCACATAATATACTGGATGGATTTCAGTTCGCGCGGTAGTCAAGTGTTGAGGGAAGATATATATGCATATTTTACATATCTAACTGTTACTTTTCTCTCTCTCTCTCTTTGCCTAAGTCAAAAGCGCGCCTCACACATGAGATTTGTGGCATACATCACTTGGCACGCGCGTCTAACCGTAAATATCAAATCAAATCAAATCTGGCACATCTACAATTCATAATCCATTCGCTATGCCGCGGACTGTCGGCAAAACCAATCTGTTGTGCGATGAGGAACCGCACAGTTTTCTCTCCCTTTTACAATTACCCTTGCACAATTAAAATCCAACGCTGTCACACTTCTTTTTCCGCACATAACTTCACTCATTCTGGAGGCATTTAAAGCATGGTACACAATAGGGGGTCTTGATCAAGGGGTGAAACTCTCTAAGCCATTGAAGTGTGATTCATCTTCACAAAGTGACGGTCTTTGAGTTTTATTATGAAGAAGAAGATGATGACTGGGAGAAGATTGAGCGGGGCATTCTCGTTAACCCAGGATTGCGAACTATTCTCATAGATATATATTGGCGGAGATGAATTCGATTAAGAGGCCAAAGTCGGGTATAATAATCTTTTGGCACATTTGTGATCAATCTTGTGAAAATGGAGGGAAAATTGTGACCCGCATGGTTAATTTGAGTAAATTGATCAAATATTCCATCCCTTCATTAAGTTCTCCAACCGAAAATCTTCTAAGTTCGCAACTGTGACCACTTAATTTAAGATTTGCACGTAAAACTTACGACCCTCTCAATGGTCTCACAATGATGGAGTAAAGTTTTCCGATTGCGTTCGCTCTTTGTGTGTTATTTTGGGAGGGAAAGAAAGTCAGTCAAGTATGAGTTGGTTTATGTGGGCATGTTTGTGGGTCTTGCCTAATCAATCCTTCTTGTCATAACAGGTAGAATATTACCATTGTTGCTCTAATATGTAACCTCTTGCTGATGGTGGAAGACCATAAGTTCATACACAAACCAATAACATGATTTATTTGCTTTATTTGGAAACTTGCTCTCTGATCCAATTTCACATCAATCTCCGATATTTTTCCTCCATTCTCCGGCACGCAAATGAAATTGATCCATTCTCACATGTGTGTGTGTGTGTGTGTGTTTTTCCGGAAAGTGCTGCTTTATATAAGACTATTTCTATACTGTTGAAAAACAATTATTACTAACTTCGGAAATCTCTCTTCATCAACACACAATTTCATGGTTAAATTCTCAAGATTCAATATGCAAATATTGACTGTAATATGTGTGTGTACTGAGAGAGCCTAACTTTGCTAGATAACGCGGTCGTTCTTTGTTTGAGAAACTTTTTGAAGGCGTCGCAAAAGCATTTAATCACTTTGTGTTTAAACGGCAAAGCATGGAAAATAGAAATTTCATAAAGTTATTTTCAGCAATACAACATTAATTTCAATTTTGAAAAGTTGGCAAAGTTGAGTTCAACAATTAGTTTATTGACTCTATGTGCAATTTGCTTTATTATTGAGTTGTGCAAGTTAGCTTGATTAAATGATTTTATATAACATGAATCTGTGGCAATAATTGCTTTTGACTTCCCATGGTTCAAAATGATGCTCTGTGTTTAATATCACTTCCGGCCAGAGGCAATCAAATGAAAATGAGTTATTTAGTTGCACTATTGCAATTGATTTCAATTTGTCATGTGACAACAAAAGTCAACCAGTAATTTGGGGGCGAGGAATTCTTTCACATCAAATGAAATCAACCAATTTCAATACAACATCAATCAATTTAAGCAATTGAGTGACAAATTCTGGCACAACTTTTTACCCCACACAGAAAAAGACATCTTCGAAAGACAATAGAGTGGTTAAAGAAAAGTAAAAGACACAGAGTAAAAGTCACAAGCTTTCCCGCAATTCCACTTGAAAATACACACGTACTAAACCGTATAAAATGTGAGAAGGTTTGCAAGATTAAAATCACAATTTGGTATAATAGACGAAAACATGAAAGCATAAATATGCACGTATTTTGTATTAAATGTTAAAAAAAAGAAAGAATGGATAAGAAATCATGGAAGAGAAAATTCACAAAAAATGTGTATAATTTCATTTTCTATGTCATCTAAAGTGAAAAAAAAGTTTTCAATTTCTATTAATTAAATTTCATGAAGTCTTCAATGAAATTAACATGGTTTTCATGAATGCGAGGCGGCGAACTCGAGATAAACTTTAATTGTAATTGCATTTTCTTGCAAACGGACATTCTTGACATTTTCATTCGCAAAACAAACTAAGTTCTCAACTCATTTTCAATGAGAAATTATTGGGGAGGGATGGAAAATGCTGAGAATTTGCATCTGATATTGCTTTATCAATTTTAAACTGCTTGAGATGAATGTAATAGGACTGTTACAGTAAATAATAAATCGGGTTACGTAAATATTTACAGAGAATCCAGGGTGAGTTAAAGAGTATTTTTGGGGTCAAAAGGTCGATGGAAATTTGTAAAATAACAAACATTGATAACTCGTCAAATATTTTCATACATAAAATATGAAAAATTACAAGGAAATTGATGGAAATTGGGAGCAAAGTCATGTTAAAACACATAAATATAAATTTTGTATTTTACCTCTGATTTCACATTAAAAAATCCACCTTTCCCTTAAAATACAATTTTCATTCAGTATCTATAACAGCAGAAGAAGAAAAAAACACCGTCCAAAACTCTTGAAGAAATCTCAAGTGAAGAGGCAAAGCAAATATTTTATGAATGTTTACCATTGTGTTTGGGATTCTCTCTCTGGCTCAAATATCGAGCATCTATCAACAGGACATGTATTGTGAAAGCCTCTCCAGAATAGGCACTTATTCAATGAGATTGCAGTCAATCTTGTGGAGGGATTGAATAACAATAGAGACATATTGATTAGTCATGAGAATCCATCAGAAATCCTTATATCAAGATTTACTTGTTTATTCTAAATCTCCGCACATTTATTCTATTTATTGGGGGATTTCTCAGCTCACACCATTGCCTTCTTACATGCGAAATATCTTTCTCCGGGCGACTCTTCTTCAGAATGGGAAGAAACTTTCTTATCAGCTTATGTTATTTTTCAAGACGGCGGCTGAATGGGCTTTTTCTTCGGCCAAAAACGGAGACATGGGTACAACAACAAAAAAAAAGAAAAAGAGATGAGAAATCAATGTGAGATGTGTTTTCCGTGATGCCTTTGCATCTTTTTCTCGGAGCGAGAGAAAAAAGGAACCTTGATAAACAAGACGAATGACAAATATTTCTGTGTATTGCAGACGTTTTGCCAAAATGGGACTTCCCCATCAGGCACTTTGTGGTGGTGCTTCAGAAATCCACTGACCATTTGCCATGACGTAGGTTGTGTGAGTTCTCGGAACTTATTTTAATTTATGCTGCAACGATTGAATTCAATACAAGTGGTTATTTCCCATCTTGTCGCTTAGATTCTTGGGAATTTCCCAATGCAATTCTCATTCACAGAAAATATTTCCTGTGAGCTTCAAAATTGCAATGGTTGAGAAAGTGTTGCTGGTGGAGAAAGCTTGGAGAAAAGAAGGAAGGAAAATTCTATGACACTTCTTTTTAATTGCACTGGGGAAGCAGAGCTTAAGGGTGAAAATTCCTTATGAGGAGAAGCGACTGTGAGAAAAGAAAGGCAAGAGAGAAAAAAGCGCCAGCTGCTGAGGATCTTCTTCTTATGGATTAGCAAAAAGGGCAATTTTCCCAAAAGTGCGGCCTTTTAATGGTCCCCTGACACAGACATAAGGGCTGTAATTACTTTGCTGGCTTCTTTTAACCGTCTAGAGTACTGAGAAAAATTTTATTGCCTGTCTTCTGTGTGCTAAGGCTGATGTGAGGAATTTCTATACCATTAAATTCACATTGGAGGGATTTTCCAAAATATGGCCCTCAACATAAATTAGGGTTTCGTGCAGAGGCTTATGCAAATGTCTGCTTTGAAAATGAATATGCATTTGATAAGGTAATTCTGGGGCTTCATCTCAGTGCCTACGCAAAATCACGTGCGTGTCTTCACTGGCTTTTCCTTTTGCAAATGTTAACAGTTTGAAAAAATTATCAATATGATGCAAAATTCTACGATCTTCTCTTGATCTTTGCTTCTTATTATGACAAAGTATCGATAACACTTATCATGTTTTTCCTCTCTCTGTCTGTCATTTGAATGCCACCGAAAATGTTCCGTGGAGAGAAATTTCACTTGAGGAAATTAAATTGTTGGTGTTAACGAGAATGTTATTAAATTTGTGGGATTCCCAGAGACTTTGCAATAATCTCTCAAGATTGTTTCTGCAGAAGTGAATGTCATGTGTGTGTTTTTATGATGAAAAAAAAATACAGCTAATTAATACGTGTGCCAAAAACTTTCTGTACATTTTCCAACACCCATTGAAAACGTGAATAGAATTTTTGGAATAGATTCTGTGGCAAATGTTGCGTTTTGCGCATTAAAAAGCGGATGTTGTGATATTTTACGTTGAATTTCTATACTGATAACTTGGTGATAATCATGGTCATGTTTCACTATTTTTTGTTATTCAAACTCTATAATCAAAGAGAGCAATTGTATGAAAAATTGTGCTGAAACTCTGTGTATAGCAAATATAAGCGTATCCGTTTGAGCCAGATTAAGTCTGTCGTAAATATCTCGGTGAATTCGTGGAACTGCACTAAATTTCCATTTCATATAAGCGGGTTTTTATTCTGAACTTGTTGCATCTTATCAATGAATTTTACTAAATCTAGTCTGAGTGAACGGAAAATTCGGTAAAATGTTACAATGACATTTTCCAGGAACTGATATTTTCTCTCAATTGATGAAGAAAAAAAACATAGAAATACCGGAAAATAATCAGGGATTTTCATCGATTTCCCAACCAGGAAAAAAGGGATTTGGTTGAATAGCTCCTAAATACATATTCACTTTTATATCTCTCCTCCATAGAAAGAAAAGAGAGTGAGAGAGAGAGAGAGAAGTGTGATATTTTTCCCAACTCCACAGAAACCTTTTATTGTAATGCTGTGCTTGTGAATTTCCAATTAAAATGTGTGAATAGAGTGGGACGCTCTTTTATGCCGCAACGGAGAATGGTGGAAAAAGGGGAGATGATATTACTGAAGAGTAAAGAACTGCTTCCTTTTCGACATATAAAACAACCTTTTAACCCCCAAGATTGTCCCAAACATACACACACTTTTTCTGCATGAGGCAGAATTGGAGATCCTTTGAACGTCACACGAGCGTCTTTTATCAATGCCCAATTTATTCCTTATGAATTCATATTGATCAATATTTCATATATTTGTGAAGGAACGAATTGTAAATTTAACGAGATGTTCTTAAAGTAAGAAATTCTTCGGCAGACAAAAACGGAGATTTCTTCTCTGCAATCGTAAACCAATTGAATTTTCTCAAGTGTTGTTTTGCATTTAATGCTATGTACGCAGTGTTTGTGACTTGTAGTGCTTTGACAAGTAAATAAGGAAACCCCCTGGTCGTAGTGAAGAGTGCTAATGACGAATTTTTATGCATGTATTTTTCCCAACATTCCAGTTTTCAGACAGACATAGACATCGTGAACACAAGAAAAGGCACAAAACAGTAGACTTGAGGTTGCTTGAGAACCTGTTACAAAGTTAGCCGCTAATTAGAATTTTCTATTTTATTTCTTCGATATTACAGTTTTTGTGTTGTGTTGCAACGCGCTGAGAGAGTTTCACACACACCTGAATTGACTTTGTATTTATTTCTTCACATATTCAAGACAATTGTAAGATATATAAAAATGCGAGAAGTTCAATTCAACCGATATACAACTGTAGCACCATGAAAAGACTCCCCCAAGACGCATTGTTTTAGTTGGGAAATGCGAAATATTTTTGCTTGTATTCCATCTCAACAACACAATCTCCAAACGCACACCTTCACTATGCCTTTAATTTCAATCATGTTTACCTTGACGAGCAACTGAACTTTCGGCCAACGTAATACCCAAAGACGAATTGTTTTCTCTTTGATTACGTATGCAAAAGTGGTTAAACCCGTTTTTGTTCTCGATTCCACTGTGTTTTTCCTAGTTTCTTGTGCGGGATTTTGGTAAAAACATCACACAATCTTTACTCTTTGTGCCAAATAGTCACTATCTGCTGTCAATGTCAAGATGTACTTGACTACAAGAGATTGCTTTTTATCTCAACCACACACTGAATTTTGTTTAAAAAGTCTGTTTTTCCGCGGTTATTTGAATTAACAACACTTTAAAGTTGTTCTTGTTGAGTATCTTGATGAATCAAAAGAGTTTTAGCACTGATATCCAAATATCGATGATTGATGTCGTTGATTGATTAACTCTTCTTGCGATATTCACTTAACATTCAAATGACCATTTAGAGTAAACGCGCAAAATGCTTCCGATCACACGAAAGTCTGCTGGAAAACTGACGTGTGAAGCAATTCGACAGACTTGGAGAGGCACTGTAATTCCCCTTCCACACGCTCTCTTGCTGTCTTCTTCGCTCACACGAAGAGGGGAAAAGTGAAGTCAATTTCGAAGAGCATTAAATTGAGTGGAAATTCACATTAACCGAAAGGTATATCCACACCTAATTGAATAATTTGAATATCGCGAAAGTGTAATAAAAGTTCACAATAAAAACTTACTGCTGTTGTGCTATAAAAATGATGTGTGATTGTCAAAGGGTAAAGAGGGGAAAGTTTAACTGTACGGGGGAAATTGTTAGGGGTATATTTCGGTATTTTTCGCACAAACTTCGTGGAAAATATGCACTTTCCGAGTGTGAATGGCATGAATGAGAAGGAGAGAATCTCTCGATAGCCTAAAGAATTCCATGCAACCCAGAGAATTTGTGTTTCATCAACAGAATTTCGTACTTCATTTGTGTGAAATGCTGCACAATATATTTGTGGAAATTGTACATATAGAGAACATCTCCATGACACTCCTCTGGGGGATTTGTGTGTATAAATAAAAGAGCGTGGACAATTTCTCCATGGATCGTTTTAATGGTTGAGGCTAATGTCTACCGGAAGGACATGTGAACTTTGTCATTCAACTCTAACCATTTCTCACTTCATGAGCATAAATTAAAAGTTTGTCTGTTTTCCACGATGTCTTCTCAACTCCAAACTTCCGCATATTATGCTCTTTCTCTCCCTCTCGAGGGGGTTCTTTATGTGCGAAAAGGAAGGATGTTGAATTACCTGATGAATTTTTTCCAAGCATTTCTTGGGCTGCGGAAGTGATTCATTACCCTTCTTCCTTTGCCACGGATGAAAACCAGTTGCAATGCTTGGAAGTTGACTGTATCCTAATTATAACATCATCATGATTATCTTATATGAGATTAATTGCACTTAATATATAGAGAAGTGTCAAAGGATGATGAATTCTGTAGCATTTTCTCTCGACAACCACTTCGCTATAAATGTTGACTTCATGGCATAAAATATTCCACTCTTCCTGGCTTTTAGTGTGAAAAGCATAAAATCAATTAACAAGTTGACAAAACAAGCTAATTGAACAAAAATAACACAATTTTGATACACTATTCAATGATACAATATTTATGCTTTTCACAGTCAAATCTCATATTAACTGACAATATTTATTGAGGGATAAAAGCATCCAAATAAACCTCTCAAATTTCCACTCTGCATTTGCATTATCGCGGAAAAGAGTGTGAGAAGTGTTTTAATGAGTTCATTATCACGTTGATGTGTTTGGGATTAATTTAAATGGAATATTTTTTGTGAATTCAAATATTTTAATTCTTGCAATAAGTGGTGATAAATGACAATAAAATGTGTTGTCAAATTGTCATGAATGAATAATAAAAATGAGACTAAAACTAATAATTTTCATTTTATGAATTATGGAGAAAAAAGATGGTCGAAAAGTTGGCAAGTGGAATGAAAATAATACAATTATAAATCATTTTTATATCTGTTTTAAATCATAGAATACAGATTAAATTTTCCCAGTTCACATCATGCACTGATTGAGCAGATATTCATAATAATTTTGAAAATAAACAACAGTTGAGTTCACATATATTATGTCCAATTAGTACCAATTGATTTTAGTAGGGAAAACGATAAACGTTTTATTGTCATTATCTAATTAGTATTATCTTGTGGCATCTTCAGTGAGTGAAAGAATATATGTAGAGAGTGTTCTTGATCTATGCTGCCCCCTTCGTATTGTTTAGGAACGATATTGCCGCAAATGCAAGTATTTCTTAACAATTGTTAATTACACTTTTCCATTCTTGCGCGATGTCCAATTAAGGCGGTTTGGATGGACAAAACAATGAAGTTAATTTTATATGTTATTTAACATAACGATGAGACTTTTTGATAAAAATTCTCACATTTCTCAGTCGTTTTACTTGGCTGAACAAACTATGCCTCTTTTCCACTTGGCATACTTGAAAAGTTTTGTGTTGTTGTTGTTGGTGTGTTTTTTTTTCTCTCTGCCCAGACAAGATGCGGTAAGAAAGATGCCACACAAAAAAATGCTTGAGTCTCACATAAGGGACATTTTCATTGTGTGAACGCGCAAAGGCGGCAATTCAAATCAAGACATTCTGAATTTTTGTGGAAGAATATTATATTTCATCGTGTGTGGATTTTTTTTTCCCTTTGTTTATACTCTCGTTGGCATTTATTTATTGACGAGAGTGGGATTTTTATTTACCACACTGTATTCCATTTCAAGAACTTCCTGCACACAGTTGTGTCACTTAATTTCATATGAATTTTGTCAGTAAATAAATTGTCGCGGGTTGGGAAAAGTGAGTTTTGCTGTGTAGCTCAGTATGAAAACTACCCCAGTTTTGATATACTTTTGCACGACATGCGAAAGATTAAAATGTTTTGCGCACAACGGAAGCTCCTTGTCGGATGCAAATATTATTCCATACAGAGAGAGGAATTGTGGTGTAGGAAGAGACTGACGTCTGTGGTAATAGCTCTATCAGGAGTGCGGGTGAGACTTGAGAAAGTTTTCTTTTAAAAACATAAGCGTTCATTATAGTATTCTACATGCGCTCATTTCTCTCTATAAGTTTTATCAATAAAATTCACAGGGGAAATTTGTACGAGGAAAATAGTCCGGGATAATAAACTGGGACTGAATGTTTTCAGTGGGTTGGAAAATTTTCATGGGGAATAACATAATTGGTGAGGGATTTCTCAAATTATACTCTCATGACTTGGGAATATTTATTAATAAAACGTTCTGTGTTATTGCAAATGTGTGCAAACGACAGATAAATCAAAATTGCCACAATTTCGCACCTGATATCGCTACATTTGTACATATGTAGAGTTATATAAATTTCATGCACTGGAAGATATTAATAAATAAAATGCCTTGCCGTAAATGTCATGGGAGAGAGAGAGAGAGTGAATAAAATTGAAAATTTCGTGGGTTTGTCAGCTGTTTAACTTTTTCCTATTATTCCACACCAAAATTCTCTCACTCTCCACATGTGGTTCATCTGCCCAAGATAAAATATCTCAATCTCTTCTCCACTCCATGATAGAGAAGGGAATGTTTTGTTTGCGGTAGGTAAGAAATAAATTGAGAAATTTCCTATGTACAATACAACACTTTATATAAATCTTAATAAAGAAATCAATGTTACAACTCTCCCATCGTCTTCTTCTTCGGGGGTGAAATGAGAGAGACAGGAGGTGGAAAGGATGTCTTGAGGTATAGAAGCGAGGGAAAAAAGGAATATAGTACGTGATGTCTTGTAAGGAGATGCTATTTCTCACAGGTAGACAATTTTTTTTTGTTTCTCCTTCGTTACATATGTACATAATGGAGGGCAGGATTCAGGGAATGCTCGACGTAGTGGCGTCGGTGTATGTTAATAGTGAAGAATGGTTTCTTCGACAAATAAATAAATAGCCGGGAATGAGGGTGAGGCCGAATGATGTCTTTACCAGAAAGGGAAGAAGAAGCGTTGGGAACAATCAGCACTTTTGTTCTCTAAAGAAAGACTCCTTTTTCGCCCATGATTGTATTGTCATGTGTGAAGATTGTGTGCTATTTCTCCTTCTCAAGAGGAGTAAATTTGTCCAAAAAGACCTCAAAAGGCGCATCGAACATGAATAATGAACATATCACACTTCGCTACAGTGCCTGAACTTATACGAGAAACTTGTTTTCGGATTTTAGAAACTATTATTGAGAACATGCAAGAGACTTCGGATACAATCCATTCTATTCTAACGCTGGAGAAGCGAAGAGAAATTCCTCCCAACATAATAGAATTTGACACGATATGCTGAAGAATTTCACCTACAAAAGAGGAGAGAGCTTAAGCTGTCAACTTGTATAGTTTATTAGAATGTTGCAGTTGTAATCTTTTAAATGAGCACGCCCATCTTCATTATGTGCACTTTTGCAACATTCTTCTCTATCACAAAACTTGTCCAAAACTTTTCCATTGTGCAATTCTTGGGGGATGGGGGTTGAAAAAGTGGGGAAAAAGTATCTTCTACCCCAACATTTTTGATACATAAACTTTCACGGAGAACTTGCAATGCAAATTACACGTAAAATATGAAGTGGCTGAGATGAAAAGTTGCTTTGGATTTGGAGCCCTCAAAAGACTTGAATGTTTAGAAGCACTTTCTCTTAATAAATGTTCCTGCCGCGTCTTATTTATGAATAGCAATTTGCATCTGCTTTTTGTCATCAATACCCACGCTTCTGTTTAGAGATATGTTTTGAGGGGCTTAAGTGCGCATCTCACTCATAATTAGGGAGCATCATTTGTGACTAATGTGCGCTTTAGTTGGGTAGTAAATAGAAAACAGATGTACTACTATTAGATCACATTCGAATGGCGCTTGAAATCTGGAGGAATAATGAATGAATGATAAAAGCTAAATACCACGTGATGGATTTAATAACCGTGTAAGCGATTAAAAGCATATTACTATCTCTTTATAAGCTATATATATACAAAATGGATGTGAATATTTACATTTTGAATACATATGTTGCCAGATAAGCCCTCTTGTAGAACAAAAAGTATTTTTTGTTTGATTAATGTATGTAATTTTAAAATTAATCTGTTGGAGAACTTTTTCAGATCCACTTTTCTTGTATTTTTATCATTTGCATTTTCATAGTGCACTCTGCTATTCCTCTTTCACAATTTCAGGTTGAACAAAATGATGTTAAGTACAGCTAAAGTATGCTGAAAGGTATTTGGATTTTGGATTTATATGCAAAATACATTGTAATACAGCATGGCCCATAACTGGTGCTCCACCATAGCAGCTCTTCAAGGTCTAGGTGGTCTATGGGAGCAAAAACAAATTAAAGATGACGTTTGATTGCCTATTCATAGCCAAATCAGGGATTAAAGCAAATATTCGGGACAAGTTTT